ATCACAAGACGTAGAATTTGGATATTTTCAGTTTAATCCATATTGAGTACTTCTCAGAAGTCAATATGACTAGTCAAACATTGACCAATATCCGTCGACGAATCAAGGTGTAGTGGGTAACTTATTTGTCGTTGACACACCAGAAACTTCAGGTAATGTATTTCACAAATTTCATACCCTTGGGTTAGAAGAACCCAATGATTAACACTTCTTAATTGAGTCAAACTTGAATTAAATTGTAACAATGATTAGGCGCCAACACTCCTAAAGTTATTCTGATATTTTAAAGCTATCTTTATAAGAAACTTATTTATCACCGTAGAATAAATAAAGAAGTAATTTAAAGTAATCTACACATTGATTAATTTCGTTAGTTTATGCTTGTTAACATATTCTTTACTAAATAATTCAGTGGTAACTCCTGAGACTCAAAAATTCTATGGTATCAAAGTAGAGAATTCGGCTTCCTAACTAATATCAGCTGGCATGAAATCTAAGTAGTGGCTGTTTTGGAAACTACCTCCCAGTCACCAGTCTTTCAGATTAGTGGTTATCATTTCTACGTATGAAATAAAATTAACTACTCATCATACTGATGTATTTATTTTTAAAATTCCTCTCTAGAAGTGTTGTGAAATAAGTAACAGAATTGTTTTACATACTTTTGGAAGATCAAAGAGAATCTGGCATGAAAACTTTACTTTTGTCACTTGTACTACTTATAAGTAATACAAAACTTGTCTGACAAAAAGGAACAGGCTACTTGTCAAACTGTGCCTTCCGGTTGTTGATCACTTTTCGTTACGATAATGTTATCAGTATGAGTAGAAGTGCTTCTAAGACTGAAATCTGCAACATACTCGGTAACACATTTATTGATTAATCGATATGTATGTATGAACATAACCACTGGAATACATATAGACTCAAGTGGAATAGAGTATTCTGGGTCTCGTGAAAATAGAGCGTCAGATTCCAAAGTTTAAATGCAAACAAGAACTTGCTGATGGCTTATGGTCAACGGATACTCTCTATCTTGATTAAACAACTGCTAATAAACACTTAAATCTTGTGGATCATGGCTTTCGAAGTTCTCCAAGTTTCCGATCCATACGATAAAACTGTTTCGACGTTTATATTGAATATTATGACTATGTTGTTGGTTGACAGTTGTTATGAGTCTCAGAATTTCTTCAGTTGTAGAAATGCTACCGATGCTTTGTCATTTCGTGTCTTCATATCACCACCTTTGTTAGGACTTATTGCTGCAGACTAACTTGAATAAGTTGAGTTAACCAGTATCCCGAAGAATGTGCATATCAAACATTTGTGATGCTATTCGTCCAATTGTCCACTGTTTTTTCACTTTCATGATGGCCACCGACAAGTAATGATCTGAAGCTATGTTGGCTCATCCCTTTGTTCTTCATTGCTGATTTTCAACGTTTGGGGATCTACGTTGTTATCATCTCCTTTCCTAACACCCTCTCACCACTCCGATCTCCATATTTATGTGTTCATGTACGTTGTGCTTATCGTGCATCCAGTTAGTATATAAAATCACATTATAAGATCAGCCATTAAGATGATGCACAAGGTACGAGAAAATTATAATATAACCAATGATCAAAGTAACAAATATCATTTGAACTATCCAACATTAAAACAGTATTGATGATTTAAATGTGTGAAAATAATGATCTCCGTAACTCTTATTGAACAAATCGTTCAATGTGCTTACTAGTGACTAGTTTCGTGAGGAAATCCTTTTAGTTCTAGTGAGAAGGCGTGACCAGTGGTGTTCAACCCTGTCGGGTGTAGGCGGTAACTACAGAAGGCGCACAAGATCCCTAGATTGATTAGAGTTGGATATTAACACCGTCGGATACCGACCCAGTGGGTAAGCGTTCACGCGCAAGACGAAAGGTCCTGTGTTTGAAACCTGCACGTAGCAGGAGTCATGGATGCGTACTGCTGATGAGTACCAAAACAGGACGAAACAGCCGTCCAGTGTTTCCAGGTTGATTGATAGATTTCAATGTGTATAACAGTATTGTTACAGAGTAATTAAGTTAGATTTCAATGTATATTTCCATTGCTTTTTTAATTATAAATAGTTTGTCAATTAAAGATTTTGAAATCAGTTAGGTCTACTAGTACTATGTAATATAGATTTGATGAACAGTATCGTATTTTCTAAGCTGAACATTCGATAATCGTGAAGCTTTCATTGTTACTTTGAACTAGGATATTGATGATTGTCTATTTCAAACGTACTTAAAACTCAGTCTGTTTAGACAGCAATAACACAGAAAGCAAAATTAATTGAAATACGAAGATCCATGGAGATAGTTAGTTATAAAGAAACTCTCATTAATGTCCAAGTTGACAACAATAAAAATCTACAAATTCAGCCATCAAGGGGTTAAAGAACTTAATGTCAATGAATCTAGGCACTTGTTAAAATTCACGCTCAATGATTCGATAATTGACCATTTCAGTTATCAACAACAACGTGGGACAGATTTTCATTGACTCAGTTTATTAAGAAGACACATGAAACCAGGAAAATGGATGAAGAACAATGAAAGCTCCATAACCAAAACATCCAACTGACAGAACAAAATGTCACCACAAGGGATAAACAAGTTTAAAAATGTATCAACGATAGTAGAAATTCAAACACACAAATATTCGTGGTGTACAAGGTTGCAGAAATTAATTACTTTCCAGTTTAACAAAATGAACTGATTCCAGTTAGTCAGTAGTCTAATTACCTTTATATCATAATGATATCAAATAATTGATAATTCACGTATTGTTAGGCAATATATATTATTTCGCGAAAATCTAACCGTGATCATACAAAAACGACATTTCCAAATGTTACGTACAAACCAATTGCAGCTCCTTGGAAATCTAATTCTCAAGAACACTTTACAAGTTTCTATATAAACTAGCATCTTCAATCAAGGATATGACAGGAATTCCATTCTCCCCTTGTCTTCCCAATTGCTGAGATTTGAGGTTAGGAGCTATTAGGGTAGACACAGAGTATTTCGGTTGTGATTTGTATCTGATTTCCAAACCACGTAACCAAAGTAATACATAATGAAAAATAGTGTTTTTGAATTGTATACACTTAGTCATTTGATTCAGACAGCGTAACTTGTAACAAAAGAAAACTAAGTTTATTACAGTGATTTTCTTACAACCAGCGTGTAGAAATCCATGTGTAGACCGCGTCCATCAAAAACTGTTGAACTCTATTATTTGTGTAGGCATGCCAATACTGTGAATAGAATCATGGAAATTGTTATGACAAAAAGCACAGTATGTGTGCCCCGATACGGTTGAGAGACGATAGTTCACTCTCCATCTAGAAATACTCTCATATGACAACTATGCGTAAATAGCAACTCACACGCAATTACTACTCACTCACTGCCTTCTCGTGGAAGGGGTCTTAGTTCACCAAATTAAGAGGACTAAAGCAGGTGTCCAACAACGGCTTACACCGAGTTGGCCAGCATACATCATCCACCTAGGGGAGTTGGAAAACCCTGATTCCAAACCAGTGTACAGCATACTGACATAACGAAAAGAAGTAAGGACCTATTTTTAGGTCAGAAAGTGGTCCCCTGAGAAAGGCACCTGACACAGTAATATCCCAACATACTTTACTCATGAAGTTATCATTTTCTGAAGCACAAATATTTAGGTGTTTAATTTGTACCGATTTTTTTATGTTTTAATAAACATACTTGTTCAGTAAATTGACTCGCAAGTTCAAAAATTACTCTTGTATTCAGCGTATCGTATCGAATAAAGAGATCATTACCAATCAATGTAATGAATTTATAACATATCTGATTTCATATGCATAAAAATTTTGGTACAGGTACTATTGGTAGTCCACTCAGTTATAAAACTTAACGTGATAGAAAGTAGGTACATAGTGATGGAGCTGAGAAAAACTTGCAATAATTGAGAAAGTAGTTTCTTGCCGACTACTAAATCAGTAATGCATGAATTGTAAATACCTCAATGCTACAGATCAGGCGTTGTCCAAATAGCTTTCCATATTGCAGAAGCTTGCTGATGTCAACCCACTAGTGAAAAAACATACGCCTACAGAGTTCCCTATCAACTGTAGCCCATAAGAAGTTGAATCAATTATACATTGCAACTTCATCGATAGAATTCGCTTAAAAAAACCGAAGGACCTCACAACCTGATACTGAATATTTTGTCAGTGATCGATCAATTAACTGTGGATACACTATGTACGTGTAAACTTTAGATCATTATCAAAATACAAGTTTATGAATCCAAACTTTAAGGTCTTTTTTTTGTGTATATGTGGAATTCAAGAACACTACTACTACTACTACACCTACTCGGGTGATCGAACAAAATTAGGTAATGTAAAATTGGGATATATATAAAACAAATAGTGTTGTAACGGTTGCTTAAGATATTTCCCGGCTAAATCTTATTGCTTAGTATTCTTGACACAAACACTGGACAAGTAACCCAAATCAGAACACGGTTGAACAGGAAGGATTGTATTCCAAAATAGCAAGGAAAAGAAGCTGGAGGTGATGGCGAAAGCCAAGGCTTGAAGGCAAGAAGGCGAAGAAGGCCAAGATAAATACAATGCGAGTCTATTTATAGCCTTTAGATGAGAAAACTTCTGGAAGAAAATTCACGTGATCGACTGGACTGGATTTGACCAATCAGCATGCAGCTAATAATACGAGAATTTCCTATCCTGTTCTCCAAGCTTCGATCAGGCGCTGATTGGATAGGAAATTAGCCAATCAGCGCGTAGTGACGTAATCATGCTTTAAATCCATCTATGTCCCACTAACAAATAGTTTTATTTACAAACAACAACTCGACACAGTCCGAGTACTATATAGATAATGGTCCTGTTTCCCACTCTTGTACACATCAGAAAACATCCCCTTCATTCACAAACTAATTGATTCACACTAAAAAAAACAAACAAATTTATAAATTAAGAACAAACTATTCTCATTATTTCATTTTTCTTTAATAAATAGAAAAAAAAATTATATCGTGCACAAAGTTTCTACACATTAATTAAGGGATAACTGTTAAAATTGAAGAGTAAATAAAATATAAAAAAACGGGATAAAAATAGGGAGGGATACAGGAGAGAGACAGAGAGAGGGAGAGAGAACGGGAACGGGAGCAAAAATCAAAACGTACACAAAAAACATACACAGAACATTGTTGTTGTTATTATTATTATTACTAGTGTCACAGTTGTTAATTGAGATGATATAATATTTGAATCAAATTAAGAAAAAAGAAACGTTATTATCCAACTGATATTTCTTGTGTCCTTTTATTTTGTTTTATTGAACTTTTTGTTTTCTGATGAATCTTGGTTCTTGTTTTACTCTTTCTAGAGGCACAGATAAATGTACATAAGTATGTGTGTTTGGTTTTATGTTTCTACTTCTGCTTCTTCTTCAAATTATTCAGTATTCGGTAGTACGCTCGCATAGGTGTGAAAGACAACACCGGGTAGGAGCATCTTAACCTTCTTGAGATGATGTAACAACAAATATTTATATATGTGTGAAAGAGACTTGGTTGTCATTGTCGTCATCATCATCATCATCAACATCAACATCACAATACACAATGATACACATTCATTGTATATAATTATACAAATTAATCAAGAGGAATAATAATAATCATAATAATAATTTCTATCAAATATAATGATTCATCATTGTATTTTGTATTGTATTGTATGATAGATAGATAGTTAGTTAGTTCGTTCATTAAGAATTAGGTATTATTGAGCAGCAATGAACAGCAAAACACTGTGAAAACACAGTTTTGCGACTTTTGAAAAAAATATTATACTGGTTGCAAGAAAGAGTACATACACATACAGGATGATGTTGTTGTTGTCTTTGTGTTATGGTGGGTGAGCTGCACATATGAGCAAAATCGATTGGTGGTCTACATTACATTAATCCAATATGATTTGAATTTTTAATTTTATTCCTATAAAAAAGAAAAACAACCCAGGTCGTAGTAGAAGGAGGAAATAGAAGCATGAAAAGAATAATAGAAAAGAAGAAGAAGAAGAATTAAAGTCTGAGTGGTGGGGCGGGAGGTAAAAAAAAAAGAGTAAACCATTTTTATTATGAACACATAATACAAGCACATAATCATTTTCTTCTGTCTTCACACATACGAAATCAACACAATCATCATTATCACGATCGTCCATAGTGTCATACACTACAGATAACAATAATGGGAAGGAAAGACAGAGAGAGAGGAAATAAAATGAACCGTATAAAAAAATAAGAGAAATGACCGAGAACGGGGAAAACAATATGAAACAAAGAGTAAGTAATGGGGAAGAAGCAGTGAGGAGACCGGCAAAAGAAATCGAGAACAGTGATAGTAATTCAAGTGAAACACAACACAAGCAGAGGAAAGAAAAACGACCAAGGGATAACGAACTGAAAGAGAAAATTACTAATGATTGTGTGTGTGTGTACACTCATGGCAAGTTTGTGTGCTAGATTCATTGATTCCCCAATCATGGTTATAAAATGAGCGTGAGAGGCAAAGATGAAAATTAATGAAAAAACAAAAATAAGTAAAAATGAGAGAGAGGGAGAGAGAGAGATAGATTGGGGACGATATTGGAACAAATCTACCTATCACCACCGGCAACTAAAACCTCTTTGTTCCGCCGCTAGATAAATTAAGAGTAATACAGAAAAAAAAAATGAATAGAGAAAGAGCATTTTAGTTGGTTGAATTACAAATTAATCAATCAAGTTGTTGTTGGTGATTGTAATTTTTTGACTGCTTACAAAAATGTATGCGAACAGTGAGTGATATGTTTCTTAAATAATATTAATTCTTCAGTGACAGGCAACGCATGTTATTTTCTGATATTCTGTGACTCATTGACGCAGTAGCAATCATATTTATGATTGATTTGTCAATTATCAGCTGACCTTCTACCAGAAGATCCACTCGATGAATATACTGATGACATAGTTCCATTTAGTGAAGACAGTGACAAAACGCAGTCTTCTGACTACCATAAGAAACAATGAAAGCATGTTCGGAATGCGACTTTCTCCCCCGAAATGCAAAATGCTGCCTTAGGATTGGCTTGCATCGGCGCCTGAACTAATAATCATAGGGAGTGAAGTAGTTGAGCATGTTAACCGCTTCACTTATATTGATAGTGTCATTAGTGCTGATGGTCTGGTGTCTGACGATATCTCAGCATGGACATAAAAAAGGCTTGATTGGCTTTTGCCAACTTACGTCACTTATGGCGTAGATGACATATCGGGCTGTTGACCAGACGATGATACTTCTTGAATATAATATCTTCGAATCCTAATCTCCATTACCGCTAATACTCTTACTACTACCTCTGTAACTATGGGATTTGAATTTACAATTTGATCTCGCTGTGTTAATGTGGTATGACAACTTGAACTGATGTAAGTACGTACCAAGTTCTATGTTGTAGCTGACTGATGAGCTAAGCAAAACTTATAACTGGAAAAAATTATTATCATTAATTGAATGCTTCAAACCGATTTTATAAGACTGATATGGCAAAGAAAAATTTGCTATTACATTTCTTCAGTAATCATTTATGATCTGATGCCCATAGTTTCTCTAATAATTGTTACAGTATATTCATCAGTAAAGAATTGTCACAATACAACATCCGTTAATGAAAACTTACTTGTTTAGTTCGTCACATAGTAGACAAAAGTTGAACAGATATGATATCATATGATGTTTAATTAAAATAAGTTTGATAAATGAAAAAACAAAGCAAGAAAACATACTGATTCTTGAAAATTCTGCTTTGTACGTATCCCCTGAGTTTTCTCCTCATTCATTGTAACATGAATTGCTTGTTTTGAATTGTGATTAAAATTTGTATGATGATTGATCTGATTTGGTGTGTCCAACAAAGGCATACTATTTAAAATAAATGGTTCCACTGGGTTTCCACCACTGCATGGGTTACGAAATCTAAATTTATTAGAATGTGATGAAACTGATGAACTACGATAACAAGAACCAGGAATAACTTGAGATTGAGTAGATACGTGGACATGATTTAAACTTGTAGGTGGATGCGATGGAGGTGGGAGAGGTAGGTTAGTGATAAACGTGTAACCAGTACCAGCTGATGGAAATCGTGTAGACTGTGAAGAGGGCTGATTTATTTCAATATTGTGCTTTTCATCTATTGTATCACCGAAACGTCCACGTGGCCAACAGCCATATAGTGTTGGAGGTCCGACACGCAGAGGTCTTGTTGTGGTAGCTAATATTATTGAATAAAAATACACGCCAAATAATAAAATCTAGTGATTTTTCAAAAAAAGCAGGAATATCAAGGTATTGATTGCTCGACAGATTGTCAATGAAACATAACTCTTGATTATTGACTAAACAGTTGAAAAATAAAGGTTATCAGACTAAATGAAGCACAAACCATAGAGAGATTTAAAAGTTTACGACATGAAGAAAAGAGTTGTCAAGATAGAGAGTGGAAAATAAGTGAAATGCAAAACAAATTAAGATATGGTAATAGTAATAATAGTACAGAGAATATTACTTTTAAGAGTAATAAGATACGTAAATTGATTTGAGAAATTTTAAATAAATAGAACATTGAATATTTTATTTAAATAATGAATATGATGCATACTATCGTTAGCTTTAAAAAAAACAACTTCTGACCTCAGGTAAACTGTTTCTCTTCATCATATATATATATATATATATATATATATATATATACTGAAAGGCCAAACTAAGTTCATTTTGACCAGTAGATACATGCAATCAAGTCTAAACATGCTAATTGTTTGTACATGAAATACTTTTTAAGTGTACTATTTATTTGTATACACTTACATAAAATGTAATTTTTGGGATATATGGGTCTAGATTGATAAAAGGTTAAAGTTTTGATGATTGTCAAATCGCAATAGAATTGATTATACATACAGTAAGTAACCTTGACTTCTATTTCTAGTCAAACTCTACATGAACGTTAAAAATTTCTGGCAGAGTAAAATACTTAACACATTTGAAATCATCAATCAATCAATCATTGTTAGACCACCATTAGAAACCTGGAAGCACTGGACGGCCGTTTTGTCCTGGTATGGGACTCATCAGCAATATATAAATATTAATCGCATGGCAAAATTAATTTCGCTATATAGATATATATAATTTATAAAAGTGTTAACAATATTACTTTTTAATTTTAGGAAGGAGATTTCATAAAATGGTAAAGTTAAAAAAAATCTGTTATTAATCGAGTGGACGGAACTTTAATTTATGTAGTGTGATCTTTGAGAAGTTGCACGAAGTTTCATCAAAACCAGATAGGAAAAAGACAAAAAATTACTGACTAGATTATGAAATTGTTGTTATTATGATTCATACTACTTAATTTGAGTTCTTTTAGCTTTGTCGAATATTATTTAGTAAGGATACATTGTTAATTTACTAGGTTTTAAGTTATCAACTCTGTAGATTTTTTTTACAACAACTTTCACATGGTATTAATAAGAAGTTGAAAATGTGATGATATCCGGATTCGTTCTTACTTGCACCACTGGGAATGGAATGAATCGCTGTACAGTAAGTACAGTCGTCATATAGCTGACAAAACAAAAACTGGGCTTTATGAGTCCATGACGAGTTTTCGTCAGACATCAGTTCACTAGGGCCAATAAGACTTCTCTATAAGACAACTGAAAAGATCGAGAAGCTCAATTAACTAATTCCCTATTATTAGTTAATACCACCAGCATCGAAGCATGCTAAAGATGCCAGTATTGTTGTTATAGAAGATGCGAAGCCCATGTTTTCGGCGTCTCCGCCAAACAGAACTAACTATAGAAAAATTGATTCATATGATAAATCGAGCGACTTGTTGTCTCTAAAAGAATATTCATCACAATATTGAACATAACAAAAAACAATCTCTGTAAAACTGATGAAGTTATTATCAGTTTCGATGACGATTTGTCAAAAGCTGTGACTCAATCAGTAGTGTTCCAGTAGAAAGCATGTACAAGGTTGATGTACCTCGTTGGTATGCTTTTAAATAACACAGAATGTCATAAAACCTGTTGGTTGATCTACGAGTATGAACGCTGCTACAAAGTTGAGCAATACAACTTAGTTACATACGCCTGTGCTGGAATGTAAGTAGTATTATGAAGTTATGGAAAAGATTTGATGGTATAGCGTTTTTTGTGCTATAGGATTAGATCACAAGGCTTTCAATATCGTTCCGGACAAAACGTCCAAGATTTGACTCGAATAAAGGTGTCTGTTTAGGAGATACATTAAAATTTCATACAGCATTTCATATTCCTAGTTTATTAAAACCAGTATACCAAACTTATATGTTACAGGTCCTCACATTTAAACACTATATAAAGTTAAATCTTGATATACATGAAAATTCGGTGATAGAGATTGTATCGAGAAATTATGAGTTCTATAGACCAGTGAATGCTTTTGACAACTCAAAGATCTATGACATTATGAAAGCACAATAGTGTTTCAGTAGGTGATTCACATGTAGCGTACCATATTCTGTTTTAACAAAGCTTAATTTTTTTTGATTGAACATTTGGTTTTACTCTGTTAGTGAACACTGCCTAAAAAAATAAAACCTACCTCTTTGTTTGCTAAGCATGGCGGATTCACGTTAAGGTGTGTATTGAGAACGATTTAAAATGTCAATAAATGGATAATTTTGTTTGTGCATTACTGACGTACTGAGAGGGATTAACTAACCGTTATGAAGTCTATCTTCAAACACACAACATAATTTAACTAAAAGTATTAGCTTACGGTCAGACGGCATCGTTTGTCCTGAGTATTTGCTACTAGCTATTCCATGCCAATTTATCAACGGGTATCGAGGATAATAAAAAGGTTGAGCCAGATTCGCGAAACCTGAACGGTCTGGAACCATAGGTGTTGAATAACTAGGAGAAGCTGCCGCTGTGGAGGATCCAAAATTTGGAATACCTCCCGGTAACAATGGAACATGAAATGGTTGTTTCAAGGAATTCAAAAAAGCATCTTGATGACCAGGAATAAGTGCCCAATGATCGAATTGGTCTGTATTATGTCGATTGGATTTTGAATATAATCGACCATTTGCTGAATCTGAGGTTGACGTATTGGTTGGGCGTCTATTAGGCAGTACATATATGATAGGAGCTTGAATAAACGATTGAACAGAAGCGCCAGCAAGAGATTGTCCATATAACCACAAAGCTAACATATGATGTAGATTTGTTAGAATAAGCTGAAAATTTAAGTAAGAGTAGAGATGTATAGAAAAAACTACAGGAATCATAATCTCTTCACAATGAAGAAATATAGATCAACCACTTTCTTTGCACAGCTGCATTGCTTTAAAAAGTTGGGAAGCATTTAAGTAACAAACCAAAGTATTGTTAACATGACATAAGTAGGACTGAAGTATGTTCAATACAGGATCATACTAAATTAGGCTCATTGACTTATTCTTAGCCAATGAGCATTTGAGGATGGTTGGAGAAGACTCTAGAACACCTGGAATATTAAGTACATACCTGTCCAAGCTGTATTCTGATTTTAAGGACTAGTCGAGAGAAGCAGTGTTCGAAGAATATTAAGCAATAAGAGTATTTGGGTCGGATAACGAAAAACATTACACATACGGACTACATATCAGTCGGTCAATATCAACAAAGAATATAGTAGTGCGCTTTTGTACAAGTTACTATTAATGATGTTAAGGAGGCAAGAGAAGACCAATATGAGAAGCATTATATGAAAAATAATATCAACTCCAAAGGACAGTTAAAACATTAAAAATACGGTATAAAGGAACAACTGAAAAGTTATGCGTGTGACTGAATTTCAGATTTCGGGAAAATAAAAAAGAACGTAAACATAACGCTACGTCCTATTGTTTGACATTACCTAACCTGTACCTATCGACAAATCTCAGACCAACAGTCAATAAATTTATGAAATGATGCTGTTTTGATTCATTTATGCCTAGCTTAATTCAAGCCTACTACTGTGCCACCCTGCACTGCACACTGGAAATAAGTATCCATCGAAGGTTTATGACCCTTACAGTCAGTTACAACGTGGAACTTGATACGTATGTACATCAGTTCGAGTTAAAGGAGAGATGAAACTACCAGGCCAAATCCTAGAGTAGTGAGGATATCATTGTGGTCATTGAAGATAAGATTAAAGAAAATACAAAACAGTAAAATAATTAAACATTTGTGGTGAATTCTGAAACAGCGAATTTGAGAGAGGACAATGAATGGATGCATCTACGTCATTGCAAACTATTACTATTGTCTCGCGGACCCCAACCAGGTACTCTACACCTACCAACATGGCTCAGTCCACTCTTCAGTGGCTTTATGAATTTGTGCCATGTTTTGTTTTAGCAGCCCCTAGCTTTCTTATGGCTTATCTGTACATCAATTAACATCACTCGTCGAGGCAGTCGGTGGTTGGGCATTCATAACACATGTGTCAACCACGTCAACTGATGAAGTTTCACTACTTCATCTATTGATCTGCTATCCTTACCTAGTACCCGTTTCCTAACACCAGTATTGCTTACTCGATGGGCCCAAAATACATGAGCAACGTTTAGGGCAGAACTAGCTCTTAGACTGGATTCCGGTAGACAGTCGCTTATGCACTATCCGACTAAACGGGACAATAAGGACTCGTAAGGATAGGGTTACCCGCCGTTGCCTCTTTCTTGTCTCAGCCTACGCTCCCACTGGCTGCAGCGTGGACGAGATAAAAGATGAGTTTTACAGAAGCCTTTCTAACGTTCTTCAAAAAGTTAAGCGCTCTGATTTAGTAATAATGGCCGGTGACTACAATGCTCAAGTAGGTAGACTAGGTGAAGAGGAAAGACACCTGGATGGTTCTTATGGTGTCGCGGCTCAAAGATAAGATAGTGGCTGCCATCTGCCACAACTATCGAATCGTTATTAACAATCTTAGTTCCGAAAAACTTTTCCATCTATAAAGAAAGGCAGTTAACTGAAGCTTTCGCATATTGCTAAACTTTACTTGGGTCAATGGAAGAATCTTACTATCGATCGAACGTGAACTATTTATTCAAACAACTACAATTCTTTTCACATCTCACACCATTAAAACAAACCTAAATCCAGCTGTACTTCTACACATCACAAATTTCACAAGCATGCCTTACATCACGTTGTCCAAAATGATATGGTATTTACTTTGTAAGACCTTTCTTTTTGACTGTACTTAGATATTCTGCTACTTATACTTGTATTAATTTAATTCTGTTATTTATTCTCTGTCGAAGAAACTTACAGCTAACCACGAAACGCTAGAAATTCGGTTTTCTACTCATCGAGTCAGTAGACCTTTGTACATACGTACGTACATCAGTTCAGGTCGCCATACTACATTAGCACAGAGACACAACTGTCAGTTCAAATCCCATAGTGGTGAAGATAGTAGAAGAATAAGCGGTAAAGGAGAATATTAGGGATCAAAGATATTATTCAAGAAGTATAGTTCAGTGAGATAGCTTAAGGAAGAGAAATAACGAGCTGACGAGGAATTCTGAAGAATAGAATCTGAGAGAACACAAAGAGTGGATGCACCTGCTCCATAGCAAACGATTTTGAGCCATGTCGTTCAACGTCTCTAACCAGCGGTGACTTTTGTCTCACGAACCCCAACCACGTAGCCTACATCTACCAAGTCACTTGTCAGTGACTTAATGGATTTATGCCATGTTTTAGTTTGTCCGCCCTTAGCTTTCTTCCAACCTACTCCTACACCCCAAAACATCGCTCATCGAGGCAGTTGGTGGTTGGGTATTAGTGACACATGTCCCAACCACCTCAATGGAGGAACTTTCACTACTTCATCTATTGATCTGTCATCCTTATCTAGTACTCGATTCCTAACCATAGCATTGCTTACTCGGTTGTCCTAGGATATATGAGCAATGCTTCGAAGACATCTATAATCGAATACCAGTAACCTACGAATATCCTCTATTCTTACTAGCCACGTTTCAGAGCGATAAAGCAGGATGGAGAGAAATGCTGAGCAGTAGACTCGTCTTTTGGTTAGCAAACGGATATGATTAACAACTTATCCAACTATCAATTCATTTAAAATGATCAAACCTGGCCTTCTTCATGATACAAACTGAGATTTCGAGGACTTACTGAACCCCTTGTGAAAAAAAGTGTCCCAAACAAAACCAACTGGAAAATATACACTGATAATCAAATCTTGAACAATGTAATATCTGTAAAGGAAGATATCCCAATTAATCTATATAATGTAGTCTAGACAAATTGTTTAACTAAAAGAGAGCACTGATGATCACATGAACGGCATGTTATTTTATTAGAATTAAAATCAATACATAAATAACGATAATATTGATCATAATGAATGAATAGACTAAACTCAAAAAATAACTTACTTGTGTAGTGTCAAAATCAGCATATATTTCTAATGGTATACGATTAGGATGAGACCATAATTGATCTAACCCATCATTAGTTAGCCCTTTCGGTGGTAGAATAAGTGATTTTGACAAACAATTACCATTAGCATAGTTCAAATGTTGTTGTTGTTGGCCACGTAGAGTAGCATTGATTCGTTTAAGTTGTTGTTGCACTAAACGCTTACGTCGTCTAGGCTCAGGTAGTACATGAATAAATTTTCTAACTGAATCACTTGATGATAAATTTGCATTTAAACGTCTACTAGCCAATGATTGAATCCAATTTAACGGAGATGTTCCAGATTTATTATTATTATTACTATTATTATCATCGTTATTATCAGAGTGATCGAAATTTGAAAAGACAGTCGATGTAAGAATGGAGGATGATTGAGATACTTCTGTGAATCCTGGATTATGAGTTGTAAGCCACCAGAGAAATCGATATGGTAGACATATTAAAGTGGCTAAACAAAATAATTTCTGACTTGAATTATCACTTGATGAAGTTGTCTAGTAGAATAAAAAATAAAGAAGAAATAAGTAGTAAGGTCTATGATAAATAAATGCACAATCTAAGTGATGAATTAAAATATTTTAAATACGCTTTAAGTTTGAATTATGCGAAGTATCTAGAGCTTATGAGGATGAAATATCAACTCATCTATAAAGCCAATAACTACTACTAGCCTGAATTATTTAGAGAGATAGAAGTTTGCTGAATAAGATCTTAGAAACGACAAAAGTCATCGCTCAATGATCTTATGCAATAACACATGAAATAGATACGAAAACTGAACATCTATATGCATTTTTGTTGCTTCTATAAGCTATAAGGATATTATTATTTAAAATATGAACATTCTTGTTTACTCTTGTTATATATACTGGATTAATTTAATCTAGTTTTATTCTTTGATCAGCTGACTATTGTGAAATGAATTTTTTTTCTTATTAAGCTGTCAGTTTAGAACATTACATTGTGCAAGAAAGTGCAAGTTTTCTACGTGCTATATCGAACTGTATCGATTTGAACTTGAGAACGTCAATGAGAAACATTACAACAATAAATCTGTTTGATTCCCAATTTAACTGGATGAAATAAAAAAGCGTTATCATATAAATGCGTGACAAAACAACGATTATTTTACTTCAGGACAGTATGTATATTAAATGAAAAGCACTAATCAACAATTTAGTCAAATGCTTAAGAGAGAATAAAAATAATGAAAGAATCACAAATTCTTCAAAGGTTCACATAGGGACAGAGTTTGATAGAAAAAAAGAATCACGGAGGCAGTAAATTGATGACGTGATTAATTATAGAGTATTATGTTTATTATCAGCTATCTCCAGATTCCTTACACTGAAGAGGTAAAGAGTGGTTAAACATAAATAGCACATACCTCGCCATCTTGACATAAGCCAGTCAGAGTCAGATGCAATGTAGAACTTCGTACGTAAGTACATCAGTTCATGTTGCCATACCACATCAGCACAGAGATATTATTGTCAATTCAAATGCAATAGTAGTAGAGGTAGTAAAGGTATTAGAAGTGATCGGAGAGGTTAGGATTAGAAGATATTATTCAAGAAGTATGATTGAGTGAGATAAGTTTAGAAAGACAAAACAAGAGGTATTGAAGAATCCAGAAGATTAGAATTTGAGAGAACACAAAGAATAAATGCACTGGCGCCATTGCAAACGGTTTTGAGCCATGTCATAAAGGGTCTCTAACCATCGATTATCATCTCGCGGACCCCAGACAGGTAGTCGACAACTACCGACATAACTCAGTCCACTTGTCAGTGACTTCATGAATTTCTGCCATGTTTTGCTCTGGACCACCATCCTTAAATATCTCAGGGGTCAGTCTATCAGGACCTGCAGCTCGCCCTCGCTTCAGATTTCCTAATGCTTTCTCAACTTCATAAAGACTAGGGGGACTTACATCGATTTGCCATTCAGGATGACTGGAGATCATGGGTAACCAAAGAGTGGCTCGAGGCCAGTTGGACTGATCCCTAAAGTGTTCTGCCCATCGACCCAGTCTCCTGGATTGATAATAAGACCATCCTTTTCCGAAATAGTCAAATGCACACTTGGGTTCCGAATACCAGTTTCCTTGATGAGTCTAAATAGTTGCCTACTGTTGCCTGTCACCGCTGCCATTTCCATCCATCGCTTTCGCCACCCAACACTGTTCTCGATCATTGCGTAGGCTTTTTGTCAGCCTACGTCTAAGCTGACTCCGCTCCTCATCGCACTCAGAGCCAGGCGGGATGAGTTTTCGAGAATCCATCAGTTCGGTAGATGCTACAGAGATCCACGGCTTCATTCTAGCCTTATGGTTTACCTTCCTAGCAGATATCACTGCTGTTTCCATAGCCTTTTTGATATCATTCCAACCTGACTCCGGATGGGGATCGCTTACATGGTTGCCTAACTCTCTTTGTAGTTGCTCCTGAAATATATTCTTAGCTATGCTATCATTAGGTAGAACCCTTACAGGTTTCTTTGTGTTGTCTTTCCTACGTCCAGTAAGACGCAAACAAATACCCGCTCACACTAGGGCATGATCTAAATCCAGACATGCACCCCAGAACGAGCGACAGTCCTCTATCGAACCCCTCCATCGGTGGCTGATGGCAATGTGATCTAGTTGGGTCCAACGTTGAGACGACTTCGGGGGTCACCGGGTCAACAGATGTTTTTCCTTATGCCTAAATTTAGTGTTTGCTAGAAATAGGCGGTTATCTGAGCATACTTGCAACAGACGGTCGCCATTGTCTGTTCTCTGAGTCGCAACACCATAACATCCACCTAGGTGTCTTTCATTTTCACTCAGTCTACCTACTTGAGCATTAAAGTCACCAGCCAATAATACTATAACAGAGCGCCTAGCGTTTTGGAGGAGGTCCGAAAGCTTTCTGTAAAAACTCATCTTTAACTTTGTCTGAACTGCAGTCAGTGGGGACGGATACGACGAAGAGGCAACGGCGAGTGTCCCAATCCTTCCGAGTCCTTACTGTCCCGTTTAGTAGGACAGCGCACAAGCGACTATCTACTGGGATCCAGTCTAGGAGAGATTGTTCAGCTCTACGACTCAATGCTATGCTTACGCCAGAAAGACGCCCGGAAGTAACAGCAGGGCTACCAGATACACGAAGAGTAAATCGAGCTGCTTCATTATTTTGAAAAGGTGAAATCAGATTAATAATTTTACTAGGATCCTGTATGCGCGTTCCCGAGACGCAGCATACATCGATTGAGCGAGATTCTAAAGTCCTAGCTAAGGAGGCCTGTTGATCTATTTGACACAATGTCCGCACATTAAAAGCTCCTATGTGTAGTCTAGAACGGGGTTTCAAGAGACCACGAATGACGTTTTTTTGCATTAGCGGTGCAGTGAGATAAAGGAATGTGAGTAGAGTTAGTTGTGGAGATAAGAGAGGTACTAGGGGGTGTAGGAAGGATTTGATTTTGACCAATTTGGTCTCTCGTACTATTACGGGTTGTCACTTCGCGGCTGCCCACACCGTGGAAGACATTAGCCAGTAAGAAAACACATGAACCTACACAAAACGAGTACTCAAGTATTTGTTTTAAAATTCATTCACAAAGATGCTTCATATAGTAAGTCATATGCAAACAAACACGCATACCTGGCGTTTATGCAAATTTTTAAGACGTTGAAATATTTGCCATTGAGCCATAATTTGTGATTGAGCTGAACCAGATAAACTGACTAAACGATATGATTGATTAGATGATGACGATGATGGCATTGTATTAGATTTTTGTTCAACGGATTCAGGTATTTGATCATTCGATAGGTCTACAGTAGTATCATTCTCATTACTATCATCATGAGTATCATCATTATTCACTGAAGGATTTACAGTAATTGAAGAAATCACTTCTGTGCATTCTTTTGTAGTGGTAATTACATGATTATCATTACTATCATTATTATTATTATTATTGTTTACGACAGTTACTTCATTTGTACCAATTGTTTCCTTATCATCATCATCATTATCAACAAGTTCATTATTAGGTTGTTGCTGTTGTTGTTGTTCAGTGAAATTAACATCATCATCAACATCATTATTATTAACATTTTCATTAACATCCACTGACAATGATAATTCATCATTGACATTGTTTATAGATTGACTAGTATTCATCATATCATCATTATCATTAATCGGATTTTTGTCAGTAATATTGTCAACATGATCATTATTACATGTAGATAATAATGGATTATTGTGATTAGTGTTAACATGAAGCGAAGAATCACAGTTTGTAGCAGCAATCACAGTATCATTCAAGAAAGTATCAGCAAGTGATATACATGTTGGTGATTTTTCATCAGATGGTGGAATAGTATTGTTTGAATAATTACGATTACAAGTCATTGGACTTAATGCATACGGTGGACTTATTGGAACCTTGAGAATAAATAAATTTAGAAAAAATATATATATATACATATACATGTAATTTGTTGCCAAGTGACATTTCCACTCAAATGGAAGGTAATGAATTATTTGAAACTAATACAAATAATTTAAAGAAAATACCGTCCAAATATTTTAACTTAATGCTTGAAACATAGAACAAGCAACAACATAATTTTTCATTATCTAAGAAATTAATGTTATAGTGGTGGTGTTAACACTGTTGATTAAAATAAAATCGATTATCATCCAAAAGCTAAGTGTGCTCATGATGAAATAGAATTTAAGTTTGATAAAATATATTTCCTTAACAGGTATTTCTTATTAAGGCGAACTGGATTGCTCAGTTCTACTTATTATCTATGGAGAATCTATGCTCCTAACAAAGCAAAATTACTGCGAGGGAAATTGAAGTAACAGAAACCGCAAGAAAATACGATAGAGATTAGTAATAGAACGAATCAAATAAAAGCATATCGGATAAATTAAAATGTTGTGACAGTCGACAAGTTAATGCCAAATGAAGTAACTGTGATTTTATCTCTATAGTTTTCTAGTTGCCACACGGTAGTCAGCAGGCTGTAAGCAATAAAGAGCCAGGCAAAAATATAAATTAGCCATCGAAGATCAAACTCGGAACCTGTAGTCTCGAGCACGAACACTGGGCCCCTAGACCACCAAGCCAGCATCCACAAATGTACATGTCTGACTTCGATTCATTTACACTGCTACAATGCATAACGATATCTTACTCCATATGACTGAACTCCAGTAATCAGGGCCTCTCACTAGAACTTCAATTGTATCTTGAAGCTAGCCATTAATGAGCGGATGATTGTTATTAGTGTAGGGATATATGTAGAGATCGTGGAATTTTCACAGTTTAAATAATGATCGAAGTTAGACTTTTATATCGCTGGATATCGGTCACGTGGCCCAGACGTTAAGCAGTCATGCACAAGACCGAAGGTCCTGAGATTGATCCTCGATGGTAACAGATGACTTGATAATATTGAGTAGTTCCATGTTAGGAAGAAACGACCGTCCAGTGCTTCTAGGTTTTCAATTGTGGTATAACTAATATCGCTTAGTGTCATAAAATAGATATATGTAACAAGTGTTCGCTTAGATATTTTTAAGTGTAGTGGAAGTATTTTGAGATGGAGATATAAATCGTTAGTTCAACTCTCAATATTCAACGATTCCTACGTACCGATTTGAAACATGATTGGGGCAAGTAAGAAGAAAAAATGTATCAAAAGGCTTTTGTATCCAAGAACTCAGTAGTAACGAACTGCAGTTTACACCAGGATGTACAGAATGGGTGAGAATTATGAAAATCAAACTTTACAAGTTAGATTACAGCACAAAAAACAGGATATTTTACTGAGTTTTAGGCAAAGTTGACAATGAAGTCTCAGGAAAGTGTTAGACTTGGTAGTGGATTTGAGAAATTATGATTTAATCAAACTTGAAAAAGCATAGTGACGTTTCTGAGTGGCTTCCCAAGAACGGGAGTTACATTTAATCGCTATAAAGTAATAACTCAATGAAGAAGTGTCTCAGTGATTGAGGTGTTTAACGCTTAGCCATTAGATTCTATATAGTTGTGCAACCGATTAGTGTAACTAGTCCTCACAATTAGTGTTGCTTATAGCTAGGTACGCGAATTTGTACAGATCTGCTGGTAGTTTATTTAATTTCCAATGATTAACTTGATATTTAATACAGTCAAGATTTTATACAACGGCGATGTTATAACTAATAGCGATGTTGAGTACAGAAAACAAAATTCTGTGGAACTGTACTACATGAACAAGCAACCCGAACTTAAGATTATGGATTTCTGGACTTAGTGCGGAATTCGATATGAGGCGACGAAAAACTTGTACATAGTTATGATCAAAGTAAAACATGCCAAAATTTCTGACGAAAGCGCTTAAAATTGATGAAGGCAGAATAGGAATAAACTACAGTAATCATAAGTGATCCTGAGAATATGATCAACTTTTTCCAATGGAAAAAGGTACATGACGTTTTAATATGACTTATGAACTTTTCATGACAACTTGAAGGTTCCTGAGATTGGAATCAAAGAACTGGTTATGTGAGTACTCGTCCAAATGGTTACAACATAACATTCAAAACTTAATTTTAGTTTTTGTGTAGTTATAAACAAAAGTCTATATACACTATACATTTTTATTGTCTTTGTAATAAATTATCCATTCGTATCATCGGAAAATGAGTTGTTTGACAGCTATGTCAAATTTCTCAAGGTTGCTCATACAGTACAGATCTATCGAACATTCTCCTAAATATAGTATGAAGTATACAAAAAGGAATATCTTCTCTTACCTTGCCAATATGTACTTCAGCTCCTGTAATTTGCATAAGTTGTTGGATTCGAGATCCTTCCGACCCAATTAGTGCACCAGCTTCGTTGTAAGAGACACGCATATAAAGCATACCGCCGGTAGCTAACCAAGCTATTGGACCTACAGCTGCAATTAATGACTGTTGAACAGCGGTTGCCATGGTAAGGTTGGTTTCTTTATGGATTGTTGGACGAGTTAAGCGTCCAACCGTATGTAGATCAGGTTTTAATTGATCTGATTTATCCAATTTTTGCATTTCCGAATCAACAACACAATCATCAGATAGCGGTTGTAACTCTGTTTCTGAACAATGAGATAAAAATTTGAAGAGAAAATGTGAATCTGTTTAACAAGTATGGGGGAAACGAAGACTAAAACAAGTTTCGCAGATAACCGAAAGTGATTGAATATCAAGAGTGAGAATATTGTGACTTTCAACCGTGGTTGAGGAAGTTTGATTAGTTGTAAATGAATAATTGATATATCTGATGAGCAAAGGAAAAATCAAACTACATAATGCACTGTATGTTTATTAATATGGAGGTATTTTTAAGGTGTATTGATAAATCCAGTCTAGTCAACTTTAAGTGCATCGATAACTGACGAAATCTGGCCAAGGATAACAATAGTTTGTTCTTCGTCACTTTTTTGATAGCCGGTTAAATAAAAAATAGGATTTATATCAATGAATTATGCATTACTCTACGGCTGTGATATACAGTCTTTAAAGGTAGAAGACTTCAATAGGCCGCAAGCATTTTGAAATCTCGTTAGGAAAGGGACGGATGACTGAGGTTAGTTGCAGGGATTCAAGCAGTGTATTAAGTCGGTGTCAATTGTGTTGTTAAATTTAGTCGATTTAAGTTGTTAGGATATATCTAACATAATTTGTCACAACCTAATCTGATGTGGTATGCTGGCCAACATAGAATTAAATTAGAAGATGGCTAAAGATCGACAGAACATAGCATCAATCTATGAAGTTACCAACTGTTTTTAACTAGTTAGAAAATGTGAATATAGTATTACTACCACTAGTGATAATAATAATAATACTAATAATAGTAACAATACGATTCTAGCTTTTTTTTATGTCCATTTACTAATGTAATGCTTAAAATGGAGAGAGATTGAGTAGGATTATCGGTATATATCCTAATACTAAACTTAAAATTTTACAGCGTCCTAGAATTCAGCCATGTAGTTAAAAACATGACCCATGCATACATAACAAGCAAATCCTGAACTATGCAGAAAACAGTGGCTAGCATGATAAAGTGCCAAGAAATACATCATACAAAGTAATTTGATAATATAACATGACAAAGAGGAAAGTCTATACAATGAACTAGTATGATTCACGTCCTCAAGTCATATATTTGTCTATCCTTAAGTAAATATTATGCGTAGTACAAGTTGATTTACAAGAAAAAAAAACTTGATTACAAACAAAAATACTGCTAGCAAAGAGTCAAATGGGATAAAACATTGATTTATCTTAATAAAACTCCTTATCGTATTTATTATAAGAAATATGATTTTAAAAATTTACAGCCATTGATTACCTTTATTCTCGTTAGATGTTTTTAAAACAATAGTGGATTCATTGTTGTCCTGTTCAAAATCGGACGACACAACGCTGTTGATAGTTTTATTGTGAAAACCTTCCTCCTGCTGCTGATCCTCCCCCTCCTCCTCCTCCTCTTTCTGTTCATCATCTTCATTATCATCAACAGACAATTCGTTGTGTACTGATAACTGATTAAGTGTATTGTCCAAATTCTCACTTGTTTCGAGGATGATATCACTTTTTTCATCGTGAACACTGATACTATCTAGATTGTCATTATTATCATTCATAGTTTCATTGTCTTGATCGCTTTGATTTGTTTGTTTATCGTCGTCAACACCGACTAAATTTGTTGAGTTGAGATTATCATCATTTGCCATACTTGTAGAAATATCTTTAGATATAGTTTGTGAAGTGTTCATATTTCTCATTAAAGATCGTTTATTATAATGTTGAATATTAGTATTTTTTCCAAGTTTAGCACATACAGAATGAGGCCAAAATATAGATCCTAAAGACATGATTAATGAACAAACTGATTGTGGATCATAACTAAATGATGATACATTGGAAGATTTTGATGATCTATTATGATTATTATTATTGTTATTATTATTATTATTCACTGGAAGAGAAGGAAGATGATTGAGTAAAGGCCAAAAATTAGATGGTATAGACGATTCAATTGTTGCCCATCGAATTTGTTCACTGAGAAATGCTTCAGCGGCACATATAGAATGTAATTGGCCACGAACAACTAATACTCTGTCGGTAGGAGCTAAATTATGTTTTTCATCATCATTGGAAGAACGAATTTGAAGTGGTGTTCTTGATAAAAGGAAGGAAATGAACAATTTAATGCTTGTTTTGATATTGAATCGATTAGATTTTTCAAAAAAAAATTACCTTACCTAAATTATAAAAGCCTACTAAAAGATAATTTTACAAATGTCAAAGTAATATTTATCATAAAATGATCTAAAGAGTATTATCGGGAAGTCAGTCAGTCAGTTGCAACGTAGAACTTCGTACGTAAGTACATCAGTTCATGTCGCCATACCACATCAGCACAGAGATATAATTGTCAATTCAAATCCAATAGTAGAAGAGGTAGTAAAGGTATTAGAAGTAATCGGAGAGGTTAGGATTAGAAGATAGTATTCAAGAAGTAAGATTCAGTGAGATAAGTTTAGAAAGACAAAACTAGAGGTATTGAAGAACCCAGAAGATTAGGATTTGAGAGAACACAGAGAATAAATGCACCGGCGCCATTGCGAACGATTTTGAGCCATGTCATAAAGGGTCTCTAGCCATCGATTATTATAAATGCTCCAACATGTAGTTTAGAGCGAGGTTTAAGGAGACCAGGAACGACGTTTCGCGAACTCGTATCGTTTGCATTAGCTGTGCACTGTGATGAATGAATGTGAGAAGAGTTAGTCGTGGAGATAAGAGAGGTACTAGGGGGTGTAGGAAGGATTTGATTTTGACCAATTTGGTCTCGCGTGCTGTTATGGGTATGAGGGCGGTTGTCACTTCCCGGCTGCCCACACCGTGGAAGGTTGTTTCTTGAGGGACCTGAAAAGGAAGATAGATTAGTGTTGGTGCGTGACCGCAGAGCCCAAGGGACAACTGCTTGAGGCCGGTCATGCACGGCCTTTTTATGAAATGTTTTTTGAGGATTAGCTCCGTTCTTAAAGGCCCTTAGTGGGCACCCTTACCCAAGGAGACGGAAATCCGTGAGTTAGGGGAGGTGTGACATTTTTAGGGCCGACCTTTTCTAACCCTTCCTTCCTTGTGAGAAGGCAGCATCTCTGCAGATGCTGGTTGTCCGAGGGAAACACCTTACTGCTGTCACACCTCTCTGCAGTCAGCAGTACGACTTCGCCCTCAGACCTTGGGTAGCTGCTTTTAGTCTCATCGTTCTCCAGTCGACCTGCCTGGCATGGTAGAACCTTGAGGAACATATGTTCCAGCCAGTATAGCTCGGTTGGGTCATCACGATAGGCAAGCCCGACCACCACGTCAAGGTAGCAGCTACGGTCGGGTTATCGGGAGATCAGGAGGCATAGAACAGCTATCTTGTTTTGGTGTGAGAGTTTGAAGGATTTGGCTTAAAATCGATTGCAATAGCGCAGGTGTATCTATGCTTTATCTTCTCTCATATTCTAAGCTTCGAAATCCCGCATAACTTTTCTAAAAATTTATTTCACCGGTTTACATTTTCTCGGATCTCAGTGAGTTGAATACTGTAGCTGATTTGGAGGGATTTCGTAGAGACTAATTTGTGGGTAGTATATATATATATATATATATATATATATATATATATATATATATATATATATCAGTAACTTGTCTAGAAAACATCTCAAACTACTAGTCGATTATCTAAACAAACCCTATAGATACGAAATCTTAATTTTAGGTAGTTGATCAGGGAAACATTCGGTTCTCTGATTGAGATGGTGGATAAAATTTGTATCTCAGATGGATGATAAGTGATAGAGTTCCATTTTCAGAGAACGATTATAAGATTAACTTTTCATAAAATAAACTGGTTATTGAAAGATCCAGCTATTCATTACATACGAGATAAGAATGTCTGGAGATAAGAACCGTTTTTATTTTTCAAGTCTTACCAACCTAATATCTGTTGCAGGTTAAGTGTATATGTCACAACATAAATTACTTCACTGTCATAAAGAGCAATTACAAATCTGCAGCACTTATTACATCTTTTGACAAAACAGGCAATAGAATGATAAAATTGATGAACTGAGTTCATTAATTAAAGTTTACAATAGAGAGGATGCGACTAAATTAACAAGCTTCTTTGGTAGCTAAACCAATAATATAGACCAGAATTATAAGATTAATAAGAGTCACTATGAATGGCTTCCGATATTAATCAACATCTACAAACCCACTTTAAATATAGGTGAGTCTCTTTGTTCCCAAACAGAAAAATAATCAACTACTAGGCTCACTTTGACTTTACCGGATGTTTCTTTTTAAGGGTTGGAAACATTGACTAGCTTGTCACTTAGAATATGCCGATGAAATGTTCTGTTTGGTGAAAATGGTGACAAAACGCAGTCTTCTGACCACCTTAAGCAACAATATTAGTGTGCTCGGGGTGCAATCTTCTTCGTCAAAATGCAAAATGTTGCTTCAGGATTGGTTTGTGTCAGAACCTGAACTAGTGAGAGTGAAGTAGTTGAGCGTGTAGACCGCTTCACTTATCTTGGGAGTCTCATCAGTGCTGATGGCCTGGTGTGTGAGGAAATCTCGCTACGGATACAGAAGGCTCGATTGGCTTTTGCCAACCTTCGTCACTTTTGGCGTAGGTGAGATATCTGTCTGCTAACCAAAGGACGAGTCTATTGCGCAGTAGTTCGCTTCGTCCTACTATGTAAATGTGAAACATGGCCGGTAAGAGTTGAAGACATTCGTAGATCAATAATATTCAATCGTTAGTGTCTTCGAAGGAATATCCTGAAACCAGCAAGTAAGAAATGCTGGTGTTAGGAAACGGATATCAGATAAAGATGGAAGATCAACTGATGAAAACTCACTACTTCATCAGTTGAGATAGTTGGCACATGCGTTTTGTATGGAGAGGTATGCTGGAGGACAGCCAGGGGCGACCGGACCAAAACATGGAGTAAATCTATGAAGTCACTGACAACCAGACTGAGATGGTGGGTGTAGTCCACTTGGAGGAGTTGGAAAGTACTGATTCCAAACCAATGGTACATATACGCTGTGTTTTGGATTAGACCTCTAAGTCAAAGGTTTGAGAGTGGCCTTCTAAGAAAACTATCGGTCTCGGTTTGGGAAGCCGGGTAGTATTCTAACATACACAAATTTAGTGGTTTTTTGGGGGCGCATAAATATTTGGGTGCCCCTTTGTACCAATAGTTTAAGTGTTCAAATAATAAAAAAAGTTTCATTTATTTCAATGATTGAATGGTTACGTGTCTAAAATCTCATAATGAGTCCTACTTACCCTGTTACCGATATGCGTGCTCCTGTAGCTGCATGAATAGCATTGAAATACTTTTTCCCTTTATTCATTATCAGCTGTGTATAAATATGTTGTTCAACAAGTAAACCTAAACAAGGATCAGAGAAGCCACGATGTTTAGATTCACGAAAACATATTGTAAGCATTTCACATAGTGCAGCTGAACATTGTTCTCTTGATCCGAAAAGAACTGCAAGCTGACTCTCATCTGACTGAACTTCTAATTTTGATTGAGATTTATTAGCTAATATAGACTCTGTATTGACATTCGAACACGTTTCTGCTGGTTCATCAGCCTTTGGATTGTCATCAGTATTTGTAAAAGTATCCGCATTATCAAACGGTTGGATTGTTTCTTTTTTTCCATTTTCTTCTTCCTCTCCAGAATGATTAGTACATGCAACGTGATTGGCACTGTCAGAATCAGATGATTTCACTGTCTTTTTACCTTTCCCAGGCAAAGAGAACTGTGAAAAAGTAATAATATCTTGTTTCATTTCAATTTTAGCCCCTGTTTTTGTTGTGATCTGACGAATGGTTCGACCACCTCGACCAATAATTGAACCAACTAATGATGTGCTAAGTAACAACCTAAGAGGAAAGAAAAAACAAAATATGTATACAGCATATCTTAACCCACACAAGATATTTCCAATGGACAATAAATTTAATAGTTGTTCGATTTATCTTCAAAATAATTTAAGATGGGCAACTGTAATTCCGTATCTAAGGATGATATGAATGCTGAGAGGGTTGTAGTGATTTAGACACTTTCATGGTTATGAAAACAACATATTTTTAGGTAATGGTGATTGCTACTGCGCTACTTCAATAAGGATGACGTATTATTGACTCAGTGTGCTACAACTGTCGATATATTGAGGTGAATAGATATATTAGTTATAGCAAAAGTGGGATCGTGTAATCGTGGAAGCCCAAAAAACGGCATGTTGGTGGTTACAAAGATGAGCAGATAACTGACTTACCATTATAACAGGGGTGTACTTGTCTACAGATAGTATGTAATTGTTGCAAACGTCAGTTCCTAAATTGTAGATCATAACATTGCCTAAGAACTATGGCAAACACTAGACTTATTGTAAATGTTGGTAGAATAACATCAGCAATAAAAATAACCAATAATCAAGTGTGAATAATTTATTGAACACCATAGTCAAGTGTTTTAGCACTTTTTAGGGGTACATATAAAGTACTCACAAACAATGAAGTTTTCATAAGAAACTCGTTACGAAATGAACCGACGAATATGACATAGAATATGTACACATGACTTTCTTTATGTGCATCGTTTGAAGTGGGGATGGAAAGTCATTTATATCAGCACTAACAAAGATCAATGCCATGTGAATAGCTCGTTAATAACCAACTTGGAGAATTACAAACGATTATGACTATTACAAATCACCCTGATTACTCAGAAACCCTTCGTTAATTGATCAAAAGAAGCATAGTTGTTTAACAACAGGACAAGTTGAATTACTGAACACTTGCTTTTCAAGAGGGGCTAAAAGCGATGAATAACGGAAAAACTTGTGGTGATTCTCGTGATGAAAATGAATACAATCTACTTAGCAAATTAAATTCCTCTTCCAGAACAAGCTATTCAAACCATAAAGAGCTACCAGAAAATCAGATATTCAGATAAGTTAATCGGGACTTGTACACTAAGTCACAAATTCGAACCCTGCTTCACTTACATCGGTTGAAGCAACTAATTGGTATTACTAGTTCTTATGCCTAAAGTGTGGCTTGAAGACAAACAAATGATTTTGCATCTGGCAACTAGCGAAATTTCAATTACCAAGATTCAGAATCATTTAAGTTTATGTAGATTTTACGAACCATGTGAGTAGATAACAGTACACCTGATTTCATTTGTAAGTAGGATAGTGGTAAGAAAATCAAAAATGACTATATACAATATTTACTGATAACTATTGTGACATGGGAAATATCAGAACCATATATAGGAATGATAGGAGTCATTTATAAGTATATGAAGGATAAAATCTTACCTTGTTGGACAAGAATCAAGAACCAAGCGAAAACCGCTTAATTTCAAACTAGCTACCATATTTTCAGGAAGACTTTGAATATAACTAGATAGAAGGTTGTTATTGGCAAAAAATGATTGATAATTCCCCAAATGCTGTGGTGGGCCTGCAACAGAATGCTCATTAGTCTGGCTTACTGAACCATGAACGTTTGTATGAAACTGTGGATGATAGCTGAAATGAGTAGTCTTTGTATTTAGCTGCTGGTTTGAACTAGAGTCCTGGTTCGTTTTAGGTAGTGAAGATATGAGACCTTGACCACCTGAGGATACAAAACTAGTCGTTTGAACAGTAAAAGAGTTAGTTTGTTTGTCCGTCTGTGTCAATCTATCATTTACCGAACTAGATGCAGGTTTACGGTCATTAAGACCAGCTTGTTTGTCTGTAGAGAAATTTTTAATTACAGTTTTTGATTTTGTATTGTTTAAACGAGAGTGATAAGAACTTGATGGAGGTTTATGATGCATTGCATCCTTAGATTTATTCCATTCACGAGGTTTGTGATTTATGCGAGGATAATTGTCTCTCAAAGGATAAGTTGATTGTTGTAGTGCTTTTGAATTATCAGAATTAAAAACGTAAGCATGAGAAGAGAGATTATGGTTGTTATTGTTACCGTTATAATTATTATTGTTTTGAACGGGCATACAAGATGGAACTGATGACAAGTATGAGTTTTTGTGAACTCGATAATTTGATCTTGAAGGTAACTGACCTACTGGGACAGAAGTCATATATGAAACATCATTACTGGGGAAATCTGCTTTGTTGTTAGTCATAGCTGAGGAGGAATTAAACTGTAAGGAAGCGAGATTTTGATAACTGCATGGATGTTTTTGTGTTTCACCATGTTGGAATGTAACGGATCCGGGTAATTTAGGGATATCTGGCTTTTGACCATCTGTTTGGTAAAAAGATGATTGATTGAAACCAGGAAAATATGGAGTGGCTGTATATTGAGAAAATGAACCATGTGAATTTAAGCTATATTCGTTGACTGTAGATGGGAAATCATTTGGAACCAAAACCTTTTCGTTTTTCATTTTCCTAGCAGATGAATCATGATTCACAGCAGACATATTATCTTCGAGACCAGCCCAAGTGTTGTGACGTATACGTGAATTAAAGTTTGTATTTATTGTTGAATCGAATCCAGTGGTTATTTGAGCAGGATAATGACCATACAAAGCTGCAGATTGCTGCGTATATGGAATATGAACATTTGGATTAGCGGGATAAACAGCTTGAACATATTCTACCACCCCATGTAATGATGGTGGCTGAAGTGTAGGACTCGTGTATAGTTGGTGGTGTGAGGCAACTGGATGTTGGACTGGGACAGATGGGACGTAGGCTGATTGGTTCATTGATACATTAACATCAAGAATCCGGGGGTGCAGGTCACGTGCAGTGTTCGTATTGTTGAGATTATTTACTTGTTTTGAACTAGACGTTAGAAGTGGCTGAGTGGGGCCAGATTCTCTGTAGGCTGAAGATAGGTTATCCTGCGTCAACGTTCTTATGGTCGGTTGCCCTACCATCCCAGGAATGAGGAATGGTTGACCTAAAGAGCCAGATGGATGCTGAGAAGTTGAATGAAGGGCACCAGTTTGTTCAGAACGTATTGACGTGGATGGGTTTTGGAGGCCAGTGTGTTGCTGAACTAGACCGTTGGGAGTAGCCGCGACAGCGAAATGAACCTGTTGTGCTCCTAGAGCAATAGATCCGTGATTTCCACCAGCATTTCCGTTAGATGGTTGAAAAGAGTGAGCACACGACCTTGAATTTAATTCAGTTAGTTTGATGTTGGGTCCATATTTGTAATTCTGATTTGAGAAGATAGAAAATATATTTAAAGCTGGTTTGAATAAAACGTAAATTTTAAACGCTTTATGATAAAATTAGCTTATTTCACCTGTTAAAGTGTAGAATAAAAACTATTTTACAAAAACGTACATCGTATATGAATAGTTAGCAGATTCTGAAATACTGTTATAATAAAGCAGGCTAACAACTCACTAAATTTTCTGTTGTATAAGTATACGAGTGAGAAAAATGTACGGTTTAATGATTTTACTACCTTACAAGATTGGATCTAATAGAATACCTAATATGAGCAGCAAATATTTATCGTCATTGCAGGATAACACAATTCATAACTACTTGGTAGATCATAACCACCACTGATTGACTTACATACACGAAACAGGATGCTTGAATGCACGAGAATTAAATAATTGACAAACATAAGAATCAAAAACGTTTAGAACTTCGAGCTAGGTCGGCAATTTTAGCTGAAGTGACTGTTGGCTTAGACACACCACCAAGACATAACATCTGCAGGGTTTTCTGAGTTAGCTTCCACCACTTAACACAATCACGCCTAAATATTAACCTTGTTCCTTAAGTTTTACTCAGTCCTCAATTTGAGTAAGCAGTACAAGAACTAGTTAGGGATATCTGCCCGATAGTGTTTGTATGTGTATCATAGTCAAAGTAACTGAGGTCATAGTTTCCCTTAACCGTAGATCTCAGTAAATTAAATAAAACACCTAGGAATTACCGCAATTCTCCTCTCTACTGCAATAGCCGGTTAGTATGTAACGTAGCGTAAAACGATATTTAGGACTTTAATCCGAATTTATGATAGAGAATGGTCCTTAACAGCGGTCAGTTCCACTGTTTTTCTTAGAATAATTACATATATCCGCCTTCGGTGTCTACTCTTACTCATCAGTGACCAACACTTTAAAAGAATTTTCTATCAGTGCACTTTTAGTGCAATCACAATAAACAGCGTGAACTTTGTACCTTACACATTCAATCCTTGAGGATTCACCTGAACCCACAATAAATTTAACAATAGAAATGAAGTGCTTGAGTACTTTCTAGGCATCTCAGTTAACTGTAGAGAATGAGCCAGACAGTTACGTAGAACGTCGTACGTACGTGCATCAGTTCAGGTTGCCATACCTCATAAAGTGCCTTAGTGCATAAGTTAACAATGAGATACGACGGTTGAATGTGAGAAGCAAGACGGAACTTTGTAAGCCTTAACAATTGTGCTGACATTAAATTCCACAACCTTCCTCGCATTTTTAGGTGAGAACTTATCTGTTCAACATTTCAGTATAGATGAAACGTACAAGCAGTGTACGTGAAAGAAATAAAGTTGTCAGAACTAGTATTGACATTCTATAAGTTTCTTCACTGCAAATTAGTGTGAGCAGTTAATGTCCATCTAAGGAGAAAAAGGGATACATGCAAGTGTTAGGTTCGGAACCATAAATGTTAGTAGTTTCCAGATGGAAACAAAGTATCCAAATAGAGAGGAACAAGGAGAGAATAAGGCTGATGACTCGCTTTAGCGAATGTGAACAACGCACTTTCATGGTGGTCTTAAAATTATTCAAAGTTTACCGTTAAGAAATTTGTTTATTTACTTAACCACGTAAGTATTGACAAAAAGCAGTGCCAAAACATATGCGCACTACACAAATAATTGAATCTGCGTGGGCAGAGTGCCTGGAACGCAGATCACAAATTATTCATACATCGACCAGAATATACGACTTTGCTAAGTGACATATCCTCCATTTTGGCTATAGTTAAGCGATGACTTGATGATTAAGGTGTTCGACTTATAACTCCTAGGTAGAAGGCATAAGTCTCGCTTCATTTCGTTATTGGATAGTGATTTAATAACACTAGCCCTTAAAACGTTAGACACAAAGATAAAAACATGGATCTGAAACCGAGCAGATGCATCAACTCAATCATCAAACTAGATGCGTAAACAGGTTGAACGTATACCTAGTTTCACACATAATATTAACAAACGGCTGTGCTTTAAAAAGCATTTCAGAGTTAATTTAGTAGGCAGATAATCTATGTTAAATGACTGTTGTATAGCCTCATTAAAAATGCTGAGAGTTGACACACGTCTACCTTGTGAACTCATAGTAACGGAAATAAGTCTGCAGGTTGGATAAGGGTAAACGAATACAAATACCTAATCAGTATACTACTAAAGTTACAAGTTAAACAGCAACAGCATACGACACTGAACTAAACTGAATAGCAAAGTAATAGAAATACAAAAAGACTAAAGTATCATGTTTGAAGTCCTAGAGAACTGTCACAAGCAGGCTTTTGAAGGTTAAACAGTGGGATTCAAGAAATACACTCAGGTATCTTTGAAATAAGCCTTACATAAACTAGGGGTTTGTGGTTTAAGTAAAATGCAGTTAAGTTAACCTTAAAATGCTATGTGAGTTTTTCTTACTTCACTTGTCTGACTGATTGGTACTTGTTCCATATCTGTTACGTTTTGTCCAGGAAGTACATTCATCATCTTATTTAACCCGTTAACATACAGTCCTTGCGCCTGAGTCCATGACCCATCTATTGGACCAACGTTTTGATAAGGTTGTGACAGAGCAACTTGATATTGTGTGTGGACATTAGGCCCAGCGTTAGATGTTGAAGCTGACCGACTACGTTGCGTAACTAAGTGCTGTTGCTGCTGAGGCGGTATAAGAGACGAAAGTGCAGTATTAGAATACATAAAATTAGCTGACATGTTATCGTAAAATCTCCCACAGTAACACTAAGCATTCATTACTGAATTACGGAAACTCTGATAAGATGTGATGGCATAAAATTAACTACAATATCCACAAGAAATAGCGGAATCAATCTTTGTAACAATCAATCTGATGGAGTCAAATCGACCGGGCCTTAAGGTCCGGCAGCAACGAACCTAAACAAAACATATGTGGGCTGCAGTTATGATCAAAAACAGTTTGACTGAAAAAGAACCCACTAATTGCGTAGTTTGGATTACTGTGGATCTCCAAACCTCTGTGGAAAAAAACGAGATAAACGTTCATTTATCGAGCTTCTGTGTTTAGAAGTCTTGACTTCACTTCCAATATCCAATATCTTATTATTGAACTACTCTTTGTTTCGGTACGATTTACGATATTTGGTAATCTTCAATGGCCTCTAACCTAGCCACCATATTGCGCTAGTTCTAGTATGCTTTATATTTCTCCGTGTGTATGTCTTGTGCCATTGACGTTTGCTGGGTCTCCGAAACGATCATACAGGACCCACAAACAGCAACTCACTTGATCTTACCATCAGTATAAAGAACCTTATAGATTTTCCCTCCATGTATATCGAGTCCATGCTGTCATTTCCCGTGGCCTTGCTGGTTTATGTGTAGCATTGAGTCCCAGGGTAGAACTAGCTTCTCTCAGACTGGATTTAAGTAGACAGTCATTCTGTACTGCCCGACCAAAAGGAACTGTCAGGACCTGGAGAGATAGGGGCACTAGCCAATGGAGACGATGAAATTTGGACTAAGCCATGTTGGTAGTTTCAGACTACCTGGTTAGGTAACGAGTGACACTCGTTATCGGCAAGTAGAAACTTTTAGTGACATTGCTCAAAAGTGTTTGCAGTGGCGTATATGAGTCTATCCGTTGTCCTCTCCAAAACTGTCAGTTTCAGAATTTACCAAAAATTTTTAATGATTACATTGCCTTTGATTCTTTTGAATGCTCTGACTGATACTGTTATTATTTTCACTTCTGTGGGACAATCTCTCCTGTTTACGATGATGTGATACGGAAGCTTGAACCGATGTAAATGCTTATTGCGTACCATGTTGCAAATGACCGAATAACTGACAAATCACTTTTGGTGCAGTATGTCCATCTATTTGTGTTAATTTCAGGGTAGAAAAGACCACGCACAATTTCGCTTGCGGCTGTATATTAATGTAGCAGAACTTGTACTGTACTGCTTTCATGTTGATAACGGTATGGTGTCTTTTTTAAATAATAAAGATGAGAAATCCGTGAAAACGTAAACATTTCATTTACTTAAGGAGGCCTAAAATCCATATTTGGGTAACTGACTCAGAACTAGCAAGGACAGTTGTTCCCATCTTCATCAGTTTAAGCGTTATGAAGTCAGTAAAACTCGTTAAAATCAGAACGGGATGGTACATGATGTTCTTCAGTTTCGACCTTCGACATGTTGAAAACCTCTTGATATATAATGAGAAATATCCCTTAAATCACCTCCTCTCAACCACCTGGATCTAATCATTTTAATATGCTTTATTTTGAATAAGCCACTGTCTTTTCAAGGCTAATATTAATTGGGACCAGATTTGGAAAAAAAGGGCCCTAGTTTACACAAAAGCTAGGAAAAGGGTGTAAATGTATTTCTACAGTGGCCGTCCCAATTGGTTCCAATAGAGGCAATCCTGTACGCTTTCCCCAGTTCCGGGTACCAACCAATTCAAAAAGGACAAAATTCTAGGAGAAAACGTCTCTGTATTAGTTAAAAAATGGAAATACAAAGCATTACGGATATAGTGCTTCTTCCAGGGTAAAGTTACTCCGCAGAGTATCAGGCACAATAACAATAAGTGACGCTAAGTCCAGCGGCCACTGCGTCCGTCCAAAAAATGTGGCGGTAGCCATATTATATCAAATTTAAACAACATATGTACAGTTCAGAAGCAAACACAAAAACTTCAATATAAGTACAAAATATAGAAAGAATAACAATATACAATGATAAAATCTCAAATTGGAATCAAATAAAATACCAAAAATGTCAAAAGAAAAAGTCCGTCATATCATAGCAAAAATATGTAAACATGGAGGGATTTTCCAAAACACAAAACATTCAAAAAGGATTCTACACCGGCCTGCAAAATCCCTCCATGCAAAAAGAGCAAGCGTTAATGACACTTTATTTAGGGTTCTCAGTTATTCCCTAATCCACACCGGAATAACGTGTAGGACTTACAGCAGTACGCCCACCCGCCATCCAACATGGATATGACCTATCGTGTTAACTAGGTACCTATACTTTCCCATAAGGCCCTTGATTCCCCTATCTATCGTGGCATGACCTAACGGTAGTATAAACCTTACCCAATTAACCCACACGAACATGAACAACACATCGTAAAACTGGTCATATCCTATCCAAGGACTACATTCTCTTTCATGTGGACGAGTCGCCAATCCACCACCACTTGCTCCGATCAGCAGATACAATGAAGCCCGTGATGCTAACTTATCAACAGAAATTTTTGACCCATAAATAATATGCAGGGGTGGGATCTCCAATTTTGACATTTCATCGTCTCCAGAAGACTTTAAGTAGCATGACGTGGGATCAATATTTATCCTTCCATCTCCCGATACAGAGGAGGTTTGATCAGCATTCGTCATCGTCGTAACTCATTTGTCACATCAGTGACATCCAGTTTATTATCAACGTCATCATGATTCCGTTCTGTCAGACAAGTCGCGTTGATTCGGTGTGCATTAGCATCCGTTTCAGAGACACAAGACATATGCTCATCAATAGCATCGTCGTCACCCAGCACTGTAGACTGGCTGTTAACATCAAACACTTTCTTCTCATCATCACTCGACTGACAGTCAACCGGAATATGAACAGTTACAGCTGCACAACCTTGTGCATCTTCAATCAACTTAACATTCGTGACGAGGTCCGATGACGTCGAAACACTAGGAGGCTCATTCGATGAAGTTGACAAACTAGTCACTATAAGTGGACTGCTGACACTTTCTATCTCCTTATTATCACTGTCACTACTAAGGTTCTGATGGCTACTATTTCCATGGCTAGTCGTAGCTTCCGAAAGAGCATGAGGTTTAGGCTTCTTAGTAATAGTAGCATCATGTCTCCCAGGCTTCTTAGCCGTTACTGTACCACCATCACTTATCCTAGAATCTACTCTAGGTCCAGTTATATAATTTACCCTAAATGAAGGGTTCCGAAAATAAGCTTTATTCCGTTCAGACAATCCTGCCTGGGCCTTACTCATATTTGCTGAACTCATTAACCTCTGATTACTCGAATCCAAATAACCGTTCCAGGCTTTTCGAGCAGCTGAGAGGCTTTTATCATCACACACTTCGGATCCATCTCGATGCCTACACTTTTCACCTTTTTCTTTCTTTTCTATACTTAGAAAAGCCATCTTATCAGTTACACCAACCGGCTTCTTGCTAGGACACGCATCAAGAGGTTTTACATCGTTACGGTCACATACTCGTCCTTCATCAGCGTATGCTTTCGTGATATAATTGACAAATCTCTTATCTTCCGAGCGTGCTTTAGGTAGAAACGAAAAATCCTCATGTCTCGCACGCAGACCACTAGTAGCTTCCGTATTATTTCCTGTTTTAGCCTGATAAGCTAATCTTCCAAACCTACTACTAGCTATCTTAGCACGAGACATAATAAATTCCGTCAATTCATTGAAACTAGGCTCTCTCTCCTCTTCGTCCCACTTGATTACTAGCTCTGCCCACTGGGCTTGCATTCGACGAGGTAAGAGCCTGACTATTCGTTCTAAAGTAACCATGGAATTAAGTTCCGTTGTGCAATTTAGCTGTTCTAAAGTTAAAGCAGCATTCTGCATTTTAATAGCCGAATTCGTCAATAATTCAGGATCATTGAAATCTACATTCCCAGTTCTAAATAAATCCTCTAAGGTTTCTCGGGCTATTACATGCGACTGTCCAAAGAGCTGTTTTAAAATGGCCTTAGCTCTCTTATATCCTGCTTGTGGATCCATAATAATACAGCCTTCAATCGCATTTTTTGCTTTTCCCTTACAGTAGTAAATTAAATACAATAAACGCACTTGATCGTCTTTTATTCGAGGTTCTATAAACGTCTCGAATTGTCGCATGAACCTAAAATAGTCGCGAGACCTTCCATCAAAAAATGAGAGTTCAACCTTAGGTAGTTCTAAACCCTCTATCGATGTCTTACGTATCTGATCGGTCTCCGGTACCTTAGAACTCTCACTTAATCCTTGTTCCTTAATACCTGCCAACGGTGACTTACAATAATAAATATCAGACATAACATGTGGGTTGCCCATAAAAAAGTCATCATTAACGACTTGCCTAGAGCCCTGTGATCCGTCGAGCTCTTCCACCCTCCTCATGTGTGATTTTTTTCTGTTTGACATCATAAATGAAGTTCAAAAGGAAAGGTAACAAATACAAAATATAGTAATTCCACAGTTCAGCTTCGGAATATGATAAATAATCCAACTTCTTCCTCCAAGAAAGTCTAGTGTGATAAACGATTAAAATTCCAAACGTTTCTTTATAATTCTTAATAATCCAACTGTAATCGTAATAGATAATCCCAGGATAGAAATATATCCAGACTGTAAATGTATTTCTACAGTGGCCGTCCCAATTGGTTCCAATAGAGGCAATCCTGTACGCTTTCCCCAGTTCCGGGTACCAACCAATTCAAAAAGGACAAAATTCTAGGAGAAAACGTCTCTGTATTAGTTAAAAAATGGAAATACAAAGCATTACGGATATAGTGCTTCTTCCAGGGTAAAGTTACTCCGCAGAGTATCAGGCACAATAACAATAAGTGACGCTAAGTCCAGCGGCCACTGCGTCCGTCCAAAAAATGTGGCGGTAGCCATATTATATCAAATTTAAACAACATATGTACAGTTCAGAAGCAAACACAAAAACTTCAATATAAGTACAAAATATAGAAAGAATAACAATATACAATGATAAAATCTCAAATTGGAATCAAATAAAATACCAAAAATGTCAAAAGAAAAAGTCCGTCATATCATAGCAAAAATATGTAAACATGGAGGGATTTTCCAAAACACAAAACATTCAAAAAGGATTCTACAAAGGGTTTTTCACTGAAGAATTAGAGGCTAAAATACAAGGGACATTAGGACAGATGAGTTGCATTTTTTTGCGATCTCGGGACGGGCTAAAGGGTGGCAGACTTAGAACTCGACAAATTCTACTTTAGTAAGCATCCCGTTATTGTCTTAATTCATATCATCCCTTGGAAAGGGGGTGCGGTACATTTGTGGTTTGTTGCCCAGTCATAACTCATAAGTTGAATTCCGGCAACCACTCGAGACACTTTTGATTCGGAGGAAATCTTGGCAATCTAAAAAGATATGTGGGAAGAGTGGAATTGAAGAAGCTATTTTACGAGTTTTTAATCACTCAGAAATAGATTCTGCATAACTCTTCAGTCTTTTACGGGAAGACCAACTGATATCAAATTCAAAACACTATACGGATCAACACAGCCAACATTGCATAGTAAATATCGTGTCCTGACATGCTATCTGGATCGGAAGAGGCTGATGAAAGCATAGGTGGACAACGAAATAGATGCTGTCGACCTAAGCATCACTAGCTTAAACGTAGGCTGCCTGACACCGGACGATGTAGATACGGCCGAAGATACTGCGTTGTGTTTGCTGGAAAAATTGCCAAGTGAAGTATTTCAATGGATTTCAGTAAAGTGTAATGACGGGAGAGAAGTAGAGGACTTATAAAATATACCTCTCATACAGTCAGTTACAACCCCGAATATTGTATGTACGTACATCGGTTCAGATTGCCATACCAAGACCTATCGTATTGTGAAAATTTGGTCTTATACAGCAACGTCCAGGTAGGAAACCAGCCTGATTTTCTCGAGTCTGCTCTTCTCAAGGTCTTGTTGGGCGTCTAAGTATTATCGAGGCTAACAATTTAGTAAGTATGTTAGTTAGATTTATTCCTCTGTGATTGTCACAGGAAGACTTTTGTCATTTTTTACAAATTAGGACAATCAGTGATTGAGACCAGTCGGATGGGATTACGTTTAGTTCCCAGATCCTGCCTATGATCTCAGTCAATCTAACTGTTAAAACTAGACCAGCATCTTTAATAATCTCAGAGGTCAATCTATCAGAACCGGCATCTCTCCCTCGTTTTAGATTTCATTTGGCTTCTTCAGCTTCATAAAGAGTAGGATGACTTACATTGATTTACCTTCCAGGATGACTGGAGATCGTGGAAAACTGAAGTGTCTCAGAGGGCTAGTTGGTTTGATCTCTGAAGTGTTCTGCCCGTCAATTCAATCTCCTGGTTTGAGAATGAATGATGAGATCACCCTTTTCGGAAATAGTCTCACTCACATTCGGACTCCGAATACCGGTTTCCTTAATGAGTCTGAATAGTTGTCTACTGTTACCTATCGCCGTTGATTTTTCCATCCATCCATTCTACTGTTCGCCATCACTGCGTAGGCTTTTAATCAGCCTGCGCCCAAGCTGACTCCGCTCAGCTATTACTCAGAGCCAGATAGGATGAGTTTCCGAGCATCTACTTACAAAGTGAATCGAGATAAAATACAACTTCGCGGGATAACAAATGTTAATCCCGTTAATTTAGAAATCAGAGAAGAGACGATTCTAGATGACGAAGTATATTGATTGATAGCCTCGTGAAATTGAAATAATATCGAGGCCAGAGGGTACACAAGCGGCTAACGGCCAGGCAGGGGAAGCGCAAAGAAACAGAATGGGAATAACACGCTCGGCGCGCGAGAGATAGTCTTTAGTACAGATAGACAAAAGGAGTACTATATAACAATTATTGCCAGGATTAAGTACAATAATAAATGTTCATATTTCAGCAATTGTGTTTTCTTCTTAAAAATATACCACTTTATAAGTATCACCATCTCCTTTTCACGCTATCAGAACTACCAATCAAGCAACTTGTTTATCTATCTATATTTTTGTTTCTGAAACATTCGCCTATTACTTAGCGTTGGGGTCTAGAAGCAGAATAATATATGTAACATGAAGAGGAAGAGATTACATATAGTAATCAAGTCTGATTACTCAGATGTTACGTCTTGATTATGTGTTCATACATTCACTGTTTCTGACCTTCTTCAAGTGTCCAGTGACCATTGTAATTCTTTTTCAGGCACTGTATGTTTGGCATCAAGGATTGAGTGATTAGGAACCAATTCTATTGCACCTCTTTAACGCAGTTATCGCGTATTTCAGCTGGGGTTATTGCGATTACATAAGACTGGCCACAGGCAAAAAGAAACATCATCAAGATATTAGTTTCCACCAGAACTCATAACCAGAAGGCATTTTCGGAGTGCAAATATATTATAGAAAATCGAGTGGGTCATCACAACGACAGAGGTCTCGGTCACTGGGCAAATTATGGCAGCCAAAAAAATCCAGACAGTTTTGTGGACAAAATTGAAGACGTGGTTTCGCATCAGCCAAGTGCCGTCAGCCGAGTACATAGCCCAAATGAAGACAAATATGGGAGACTAAAAATTATCCTGCATAACTTCAGAAGAACTCGCGCATTACCTTAAAAACAGGAATTCCGTGCTTAATTGTATAGTGGATATAGATATTAGACCTAACATCAGTACTCAGAACAAGAACGAACTTTCCTGAAAATCTTTCTCAGTTACTCTTCAGCATGGCATTAAAACTAAAATTTCAACTTATGGGGAAATGTCTTTGATAATAGATTCGGTGTTTAAAAGTTGTCCTTTTGATTGTTCACTTTAACCAATTACTTAGAATAGATTTCTGTCAGAGATGTGAGTTTAAAAACGACATCAAAAAACGATATTAGTCAATTAGAAAAACATTTAGCTACACAAGTGACAAATCTAGTAAATAATTTCTCTAAGTTTAAGATAAACTCCGCTAATAACAATAAGAAATTCTCAGGATATATTTTGGAAGTTTCCAAACCTAACCACATCAAATTTTCAACTTTCCAGAATTAAGCTAAAACAAACTCACAAACTTAAAACTAAGGGCTCGTTCATGGTAGTCGGAATAAAATCCAAAATTTGTTCTACAAAAACATGTAAACATAGACAAAGCAAGCTTTATTTGTGGAAGCTTGCCCATCCAGATAATTAATCACCACATTTGGTGTTTGGCCATGTTAAATCGCTTACACGAGCAAATATGCAGACCATCTTTGAGTGAACAATATGTTTGAAGGACGGCTCAGTAATAACTTGCTCCAACCTAAGAGGAATAATAAAAGTCAGTGACCAGCAGTCCTAAATTTATTTCTCTATTTCAGATATTCCTTTATACACACACAACTAAACCATATCACACCAGTAAGTGAAAATTGATGACTATACATGAATGAACCGAAGGTGACTGTTAGTAAGGGAGATGTTAAACACCATTTGCCTGAAAAAATCAATAAACCAACAACTCCAAAATTAATCATTTGATCGACCAATATATCAACAATTCGAAATATTAACTCATTGTTAGATTATTTAAAATTATTATATTTCTGAATGAATTAATATCCTGATCTTTCTTGCATGATGAATAAATGGTTTGGATTTACTGATAGACCTCCCTATTCTTGTCATCCTTTTTCGAAATCAATTAGTCGGTAAATATAATGATGATATATTATGAGATTGACTTTTTGCGCACAAATTAAATTAATTTTGATAGGATGTTTTTTGTTATTCTTAATGAATTTTAAAATCAAGAGTTTGAAAAAGTTGTTTTAGTTCAATTTTCAATAGTAGAAATAGGGACGGTAATTGATTTTAAACAAAAATTCTATACAAGTAATTCGATATTGGAATATTCAATAAGATCACTGCAAAATAACACGAGATCATGTTTCTAATCATTCCTTAAGATTCTCATTTTTGATTATTTAACAATGCTTATGATCATTTAACTCCTATGAATTGATTAATACTTGAAAAAAAGGTATGAGTGACTGAATAATGCGCCATGAATGAGAAACACAAATTCAATACTTAAAATTATTCATTTCCAAAATCTCATATGATTCAGTGCATTTCTCAAATAGCATTAAATTAATAACAAGTAGATAAATCATTATATCATGGCTGATGCATTATATAATCTGAGAATGTGAATGAATTATCTGGTTAGATAGATAGATAGTTTTTGAAAATTTAAATTTTTTTTTTGGTTTTTACATATATATACACAATGTTCATCAACAGAGCATAATCATATGTTTGATTCATTATTATTATGAAAAAAGAAAAACTTGATTTTATCATTATCAATCGATAATTAAAACAAGATCTAGACATTTGCATTAATAAAAAAACTAGTTTTCTAGACAAATGAATTAACCAATCATCATTTTGACTTTTAAATTGTTCCACTCAAAGTACTTAATAGTATATAAATTATAAATGATAGGTATTTTATAAATTATTGACAGTCATATTAAACGAGTAAATAGTTTTGTTTGAATGAGTTATCATCAGTTAAATTAATGAATTGATAACTTTAGATTTGTTTATTTATTCATTGATCACAATCAACGTCATAAATGATGAATAATAGCATTCAGAAGTCATTATTAAGCACTGATGATGTACAGTTACCTTCAGTTATATCGGAATCATCATGGACAAATCAAGTGGATTCACCGGCAACGGCAACAACAATAACAACGATGATGACGACAACAACGGTAACAAGAACATCAACAACAACAACCACCACAACATCACCATCATCATCAGCTTCATCTACATCCTGTAGTGATTATCATTTTGATGGACCGCATCATTTACATTTGTTATTTCGATATCCTCATAAATGTTTGAGTAAATTTCAGAAAAACAAATCGAAATTTCAATTGAGCCAAGAATCAGGTATATATAAAAAACACTTATGTTAGATTGTTGTGTGTTTAAATAATAAATATCTATTAGTAGAAATGTGTACTTCATGAAAACTCTGATTAAAAAAATAGTGAATTTATTCATGTAGTAATCAATGAATATGATTTTAAATAATAAAAGTAATACTAATAATAGGTTGAAATTCATAAGATTGATTAATTTTTTGGTGGATAACTTTTAGGGCAGAGTTTTGGAGGTTTTGTGTTTTTACACATTTGAAATCATCAATCAATCATTGTTAGACCATCATTAGAAACCTGGAAGCACTGAACGGCCGTTTCATCCTGGTATGGGACTTATCAACAGTGCGCATGCACGACTCCTAAACCCCACAGGATTCGGACCCGGGACCTTCGGTATTGTGCGCGAACGACTTACCATCGGACCACTGAGCCGGCAGCTAACGAAGTTAATGTCTAGCTCTGATTGATCTACGGATTTTTGCGCGACCTCACCCATTTGTCTTTGGTAGTTACTGCCTACACCCGAACAGGCTGAACTTCATTAGTCTCGTCTTCTCAGCTAGAACTCCGAGAATTTCCTCACGAAGCTAATCACTAGTGAGCACTGTTACGATATTTTCGGGCAGAGTTTTGGAGGTTTTGTGTTTTTATACATTTGATCAATCAGAGTTAGACATTAACACCGTCGGATGCCGGCCCAGTGGTCCGTGCCTAATACCGAAGGTCTCGGGCTTGAATCCTGCGAGGTGCAGGAGGATAATCTTTAATCGGAATTTCTATATTCTGTAGATCATGATTAATTTTATTTAAAAGGAAGAAATAACTTAGGTTAAGACATATTTGCTCGTGTCTATGAATGCCAGGGTATATGTAAGTATACCTTGGTGTTAAAAATAACAACACGTATGAAATTTTGATCTTATATTTTTGTGTTATATGAGTGAAAAATTTTGTGTTTAAATACAAACGAATGCTGTCAATATTGCATACATTGATTTGAAATGTCACCAATTCATGATTATTAACTCAAATCAAATGAATGACTAAGAAAGCTAATGAAATGAAAAGAATAACTGGTCAAAAAGGTTTTTCTTTCATTGAAAAATGACAAAAAGCTAACAAAATAAACATAAAATGAAATTCGTTAAATTACTTACTTACTTACTCACGCCTGTTACCCCCAATCGAGCATAGGCCTCCCACCAGCTTGCTTCAACCAACTCTGTCCTGGGCTTCTCTTTCCAGTTCTGTCCAATTTTTCTTCATTCTTCTCATATCTTTCTCTATTTCTCGGCGTGATGTGTTCCTTGACCTTCCTCTTTTCCTTTGGCCTTGAGGGTTCCATGTGAGGTCTTATCTCGTGACGCAGTTAGGTGCTTTTCGTAGTGTGTGTCCTATCCACTTCCACCGCTTCTTCCTGATTTCCTCCTCCAATCGAATCTGGTTTCTTCTGTCCCACAGTAAGTTGTTACTGATGGTGTCTGGCCAACGAATACGAAGTATTTTGCGTAGACAACTGTTAATAAACACTTGTATCTTCTGGATGATGGTTTTGGTAGTTCTCCAAGTTTCCGCTCCATACAGTAGAACTGTCTTCACATTTGTATTGAATATCCTGATTTTGGTTTTGGTTGAAAGTTGTTTGGAATTCCAGATATTTTTCAGTTGTAGAAATGCAGCCCTTGCTTTGCCAATCCGCGATATCACATCTGCATCGGATCCACCCTGGTTGTCGATGATGCTTCCCAGATATGTAAAGATGTTAACGTCCTCCAAGGCATCTCCATCAAGAGTGACTTGATTAGCACGTGTTCTGTTGTATCGTAGAATCTTGCTTATCCCTTTATGTGTATATTGAGACCTGCTGAAATCGATTGAATGATAAGCAGTTTTTAGATGCAGATTTTATGAAACTATCAAACTTTAATCTACTTATCGTCACTGATTCAAAAACTTAAGATCATCAGACAATGAATGATTTTAAATGAATTTTATTACATACACTAACTGACAACCATTAAAACTTCGGAAGCGTTATACTGTTGTTATTTCGTTCTAGTATAAAATTACTCAGCAGTGCATATTCTCGACCACATAATCAGTATTCGGACTTAGGACTTTCAGTCTCGTAAGCGAATGATTAATTAACCTCTAGACCACCAAGTAGTAGTCTAGCTTCAGTCAATCCACAATGTTGCTCACCCATCTTCCATTATCTTCGATGGCTAATTTCATGACTTTCAACAAGGTTGAAGTTCAATGATCAAGATTTCTCACTAAAAGTCCGAGAATTTCCTTTCAAACGAAGTTACTAGCGTGATTAGGAATGACAGTTTTCCTAAAACTAGATCGTTTTTTACAAGAAAAATTTCATCAATCTCAAAAACCTGGCATAAAAATTGTTTGAAAGATCGAATTTCTTTTCAAAAAAAAGAAATCTATTTCTGATTGGAATTCAACAATAAAACCAATTTCAAAATAAGAAAATCAAATCTAGAGATTTGTCAGTTTATTTTTAAATTAAATGATAATTCATTATTTCAAACGGGCTAAGCCACCACAGGCGAAGTCGCTTCCACAAGAAGTGACAAAAGACGCAAGAATCATACATTTTTTTGTAGTTTCAAGGATGATGATCATTATGCACATAGTAAATAAATATTTGCATGAATTTTTATTCGTAATTTAAAAATAATAATAATCATAATCATAATCATAGTGAAAATATTGAACAATAATTGATTCAAATGGTTTACAAGGGTACATTTAGTGTGCGTTAAATTATATTCTAAAGAAAATTCAAGTGAATAAAACATTTTTGAAACCATGAATCGATCAATGTTAGACCATCATTAGAAACATGGAAGCACTGAAACACGGCCGTCTCGTCCTGGTATGGGACTCATCAGCAGTGTACATCCACGACTCCTGAACCCCGCAGGATTCAAACCCACGACCTTCCGTATTGTGCACAACCGCCTAACCTCTGCACCACTGAACTGGTATCTAACGATGTTAATTTCTAACTTGATCAAATTCAGGGAGTTGCGCAACCTCATACACAATTTCGGTAGTTACTGTCTACACCCGAACAGGTTGAACTTCACTGGTCACGTCTTCCCACTAGAACTCGTAGAAGATTCCTCACGAAGCTAGTCACTAGTGAGCACAGGTAATTTGCATTACGGGTTGTTGCGAAGATTGTTAAGTTACACATTTTTGAAAGCATGAATCGTGGATGCCCACTGCTGAGGAGTCCCATACCAGGACGAAACGGCCGTCTTTCAGTGCTTCCAGGTTTCTAATGGTGGTCTAACATTGATCGATTCATGGTTTCAAAAAATATATTTATGTATATATTTATCTTGTTGTTGAGTTTCAACTAGTAAATGATTTACATTATCAATAAATTTGAACAACCCAGTTCAATAGTTTGAATTGTTTGTTACGTGTAAGAGAAAATGAATTTTTATGCAAATACAATCTTTTCACACATACAAAATAATCACGATTCAGCCCATATATATATATTTTGATTGATTTATCAGCAGATGTGATTTCATAGTGAAGATAAACTTCAAGTGTCTAAAATGACCAGGCAAAGGATGTAATCAATAAACATTACAACTGTTCTTTTTTATCAATAATCATAAATTGTAAACTGACTAAATAGTTCATTTAACAGAGAAATGATTTGAAATTCATTTTAAAGCTTTTTTTATTATTTCTTATCATTATTATTTTCCTTAACTTGGTTCACAGTTCAAATCTAATCTAAAAATAAATGAACCAAACGAGTGAATGATGCTTACATCATACTACATCCAATAAAGGAATCCGAAATCTAGAATGAAGTGCTAATTCTGGACTTTTACGTTTTCAGTATTTTCATCTGAGTGATTGCAATGAATAACTGTATCGAAAGCAATATTATTGTGACTTAGTTTACGTTGTTAAACTTAGTTGGTAGTCAGTCGATAAACTTCATAACACCGCTTACATGTATGTCTATAAATGGGTTTCGTGAAGATTGCTAAATTTTAGAGTTTACATCACATATAGATCTTAGTTAGACAAACATTAGAGCTCAGTAACAATCAATAGTGTTGGGTATGAGACAAATTTAGGAAACTTGGAAAACTGTGGATGTTTCTTCGACACTACGGTGTGTCTGAGAAGATAGTCAACATCATACGGAATTCTTATGATGGATTCAACTGCAAAATCGTACACGAAGGACAGCTAACAGACCCTTTCGAGGTGAAGATCGGTGTCAGGCAAGGTTGCTTACTCTCACCCTTTCTCTTTCTCCTGGTCATCGACTGGATTATGAAGACGTCAACATCTGGAGAGAAGCACGGTATCAACTGGACAGTTAGGACGCAGCTGGATGATCTGGACTTCGCAGATGACCTGGCTCTTCTATCGCACACGCAACCACAAATGCAAGAGAAGACGACTAGTGTAGCAGCAGCCTCTGCAGCAGTAGGTCTCAACATACATAAAGGAAAAAGCAAAATTCTCCGATGCAGCACAACATGCACCAACCAAATCACTCTTGATGGAGATGCCTTGGAGGACGTTAACATCTTTACATATCTTGGCAGCATCATCGACGAGAAAGGTGGATCCGATGCAGATGTGAGGGAATGGATTGGCAAAGCAACGGCTGCATTTGTACAATTGAAAAATATCTGGAACTCCAAACAACTTTCAACTAAAACCAAAATCATGATTTTCAATACAAATGTGAAGACAGTTCTACTGTATGGAGCGGAAACATGGAGAACTACCAAAGCCATCATCCAGAAGATACAAGTGTTTACGAACAGTTGTCTTCGCAAAATACTTCGTATTCGTTGGCCAGACACGATCAGCAACAACGTACTGTGGGAAAGAACAAACCAGATTCCAGTGGACGAAGATATCAAGAAGAAGCGGTGGAAGTGGATAGGACACACATCGAGGAAAGCACCCAAATGGAGAGAGACATGGGAAGAATAATTAAAATTAGGACAGAACTGCAAAGGGAAGCCCATGACGGTGTAGGTTGGAGCAAACTGGTTGGCAGCCTATTCTCCATTGGGGGTAACAGGCGTAAATAAGTAAGTAAGTAGTGAGACAAATTACACCAACTAGATCTTATGGTAGTTGTACATTATTTTAGATTAAGTGAATCACTAGATGAAAACCAAAGAGCTTGACATTAGGCTTCAAAGTTCTAGGTTTGATGCCTGGCGTTATTGTGGATAATTTCTGTTGAGTTATATAACGAGGAAACAGTTAACTATTTCTTCTTGGTATTCACAGCTTATCTAACTGAGATTAGTTAGCGAGGTGAAATATAAAAGAATCAGAATAAACAAATTCTTCCCTTTTTGTCTGTTGTCTTATTTTTTTAGGTATAAAGTACCATCAAACACAATCAAGAAATCATGATCTACGCATAAAACTTGAACGTGAATTACGTCAAAAAGTACGTCAAGCTGTACAAACTCCACCACGTGAACGTATGATTCGTAGACGTTTAATTGAATTTGAACATGCAATACACAAACGTTTAGAAAATGATGAAGAGAAAAAGAAACTTGTCATACAAATGAATGATTTATTAAGTTTAAAAGTAACCAGTTCAACTGAATCAACTACTAATAGTTTGAATGAAATAAATAGCATGGATTTACGTTTGCATCCAGAATCATATCATCAAAATTTAGATTGGTCTAAAAAATCCAACACGAAAATGAATAATGATCAAAAAACTATATTATGGAATAAAAGAAGTGGATTATTATTGGAGAAAAAAGAAAAGAAATGTTTAAAATTTACATTAACTACAAAAGATGATCATGAAACTAGTAGCAATGAGTATCAAGCTTCTGTAGATAGTAATGAAATAGATATGATGAATGAAGTAAGTTCATTCATTAATTCATGTCCCCAAATTGGTTTTAGTAAAATGATAGATTTTTACAAGAGGAAAGTTTTTTCATTTAGCAGTTTTGTGAAATAAATACGCTTGATTATTATTGTGGTGGTGGTGGTGGTGTTTGGTTCTCTGAGCTGGATGTTGTTTTGGTTGTGGAGCTTTCATTGTTCTTCTTCTTCTTCTGAACAACCTCATCAGCACAGACTTCGGAAAAAAGTGGAGTATTCGGATTTCTCCACGTGTATCTCGTAGCTTGTCCTGTTGACCACAATGTTGAGATGATGCGTATGTCAGATACATTCGGAACCAGAATATCTACTGAGTGCATTGGCAAGAGTGTGGGTGATCAGGACAGCTTATGCCAAGATTGACTTAAGTTGACAATACCAACAGGGCAATGGTCGTAGAGAAAGAGAAAGGTGTAACATACATCTAGTACGAGGATAGTGTACTACCACGTATCCGTTGCTGCCTGGGTGGTTATTCGAGAAAACGTACAGGTAGGCTTACGCGGCCATCGAAACGCGAGACGGTAATCTCGTGTGTACCTCGTGAGCCTGCAATCTCATCCGAAGTCAAGGGTGGCGTGGTCTGCTGATCTGGACGTGAGACCGGAGTCTTATCCATAGATAGTGCAGACGACGTGTGAAGTTGACTGAGACGTGAGAATGAGGTCTCTGATGTGTCTAGCGTGGAATCCTAAGCAGTTTTAGGGATCCTGCTAGTAGGTCTGATAAGTCTAGCATTGGATCTAGGGTTAGCAAGTAGGGCACTGTCATCGAAGTGTGCAGGCTTGAGAAGATCCATGCGGACGATCTCGACTTGGCCATGTCGGGCAACCTTGAATGTATTTTCATGACGAGAAATCACGTGAGTAGGTAATTTGCAAGGTTATTGCAAAGGTTTGTGTATTGAATGGACTCGTAGGAAAACATGCGAACAGGTAGTAAACTTGTGATGGTGTTTCGTTTTCAAGGATGGATGTTTTGGTTGTGGAGCTTTCATTGTTCTTGTTCTTCTGAACAACATCATCATCATCAGAACAAACTTCAGATAGCAGAAGTGAAGCATTCGAATATCTCTTCATGTGTGACCTGTAGCTTGTTCTGTTAACCTCGATCTTGATTGGTTGCTGTTGACCTTAAACCTGTCGTTGTTTGTACCTTTGTGTTTTGATTGCATTCCCCGTTTTGATCTGTTTCTTGATCCTGTGTCACCTGATTGGCTGATAAATTGAGTATATATTTTGAATATGGCTTCATGTAAATAATCTCAGGCAAATCCAGAAATGTTGAGATAGGATGGTTCTTATGCTGTTACAAAGTCACACAGTAGGTGACAGACAATGACCAATAGAAATGACTTATTCATTTGGTGAGGGTCAATTCTGTAAGCCGTACATACTCATGAATTGTAAGAATAATTCTTCGGGTTTCTGTTACAAATGTTTGGTCTTATTCCTCTGTATGACTGGCTGATATTATTAGAATCGTCCACTGGTAATGAAATGAATCGCGGTATATACCAATAGTGATTACATTGTTCTAAAAAGCTCACTTTAACAATGTGATTGCCTCGAATTCCCCATTTCGATAAAAAAAAAGCCATAAACCTAATAAAATCTGTTTACTTTGGACTTGCATTCAGTTGAAAGTTTTGTACACTTTTGTACACCTTTTAGTGTGTCGCGATCGATTGAGCTTATATAACTTGTCCTACTTTTTGGATATACTAATTATTCTATTCTTCTCGAGTCATTATTCATTTTTTTTTTCACCTTATTCGCCTATAACATTGGCTTTCTTCACTTGACTGTGTTTGTATTATAATACTTACTGTGCTCATCATATGTCTGTCTAGGTTATTTTCGGTCAACCCTCAATAGTTAATCAGACTTCATCAAATGAAGTTGGCCCAATCGCCTACCTTGCTTTACTTTTCCTTTACACTTCTCTTTCTTATTTCAGTCTGCATACTTCGCATAGAGCTCTAAATTAACGACATTGCAAAAACAGGGCTAGCCTGAATGTAATATAGGAAAATTAAACGGAATATTTAATTTTGTTTAGTACATTTAATCGTGTGTGTGACTTAACAGTCTTCACAACAACCCCGTAATGCAAATTACCTGTGCTCACTAGTGACTAGCTTCGTGAGAAATCTTCTCCGAGTTCTAGTGGGAAGTAGTGACCAGTGAAGTTCAACCTGTTCGTGTGTAGAAAGTAACTACCGAAGACTGTGTATGAGGTTGCGCAACTCCGTGAAATGATCAAGTTAGACATTAACACCGTTAGATATCGGCTTAGTAGTTCAGAGGTTAGGCGTTTGCACACAATACCGAAGGTCATGGGTTCGAATCCTGTGAGGTGGAGGAATCGTGGATGCGCACTGCTGATGATACCAGGACGAGACGGCCGTTCAGTGCTTTCAGGTTTCTAATGATGGTCTAACATTGATCGATTCCTGGTTTCAAAAATGTGTAACTTGAAAATCTTCACAACCCCGTAATACAGAATAACTACAGGTCTTTGGTTTTGTGGAAGTTATAGAATTTTGATAGATTTTAAGTCACGAAACGATTTTGGTTATGGTTCTCTGGAAAATATCAATCAACACAGCACGTAGGTCTGAAATAATTTGTCAATGGCCTATAATTATCTCATATTACTCTGAGCATATTATTTCTGAACTATCAGATTTATTAAGCTTCTTTGATCTTTGTATTTCATCAGTACAATAAGTAAATCACTGTACTTATTCAGACTGTCTCATGTTGGCTTACAACTATGAACAGAATTAATTAACAAAACTTATCATTTGTCCTACAGTAGTTGTGCAGTGAAGAAGAACACAGGTGGGGCAACCGAATCGTATTTAACGAAAATTACAGAGTTACTCAGTAAAATCGGAAAACCATATCGTAAATTGTTAATTTGCAAAATATCAGTTCATCATATCGAACTGGACTGTTCCTGTTGTAAAACATCAATCCATTGTCACTATTCATGCGTTTCATACAAATTCCATTGTGTTCTAACTCTTCCTTTCTTGATCTTCTCCCATCTTCTGCTGCCAGACATTACTTTTACACTCACGTCATATACTACTTATAAGTAGCTCGCACTACAGTTTCGGTTGATTTAAATAAAAACTAATTTCTGAGTAAATAACTTATTGAAAAATGTCTAAATTAATTTCCTCTTTTATTAAAGAATACATTTGAAAGAAGCAAATCACCATTATATTTAAACAATAATTTTAACAGTGCATGCTTTCAAAAACATCATTTATCTACTGAACAAAAAGCGCGTACAAACAACAACAACAATCACAATCTATTTGACAATGATCAGTGTATGCATTCAACAATACCCAATACTAATACCGCCTATTCACAATTTATGTTAAATAAATTTCAAAATTTTAAAAATACCATTGTTAATATGAAACGACCATTGATCAATTCAATTGTGAATACAACAATTGCTGCTAATAATTTAGAATATAATGAATATGATCAATTGTTAAATGATTCTTTTACATTCAATTGGAACATTGAACACAATTCGTATGACAATCAAACAACTGAACATGATTATGAAGATGATGATGTTGATGATAATGATGATGATAATAATAATGATGATGACATGGATAAACGTATTACTAGTCAATTAAGTAAATATTATCAAATGACACAAAGTTATTTAACCGATGAAGATGTACAACTGATACATAGATATTATAAATTATATCAAACTAAATTAAAATTGACTAAAATGAATAGAAAAACTCGAAATGATCATTTATTATTTACACGTCAGTCTATTATGGAGAAATTTGGACGATTGACTGATGGTGAAAAACAGGTAATGTGATTGTTTTGTTTTCTTGTGTGTTATGTATGTGCATTACAGGGTTGTGAAGATTGTTAAGTTACACATTTTTGAAACCAGGAATCGATCAATGTTAGACCATCATTAGAAACCTGAAAGCACTGAAAAACGGCCGTCTCGTCCTGGTATGGGACTCATCAGCAGTGCGCACCGACGATTCCTCCGCCTAACAGAATTCGAACACAGGACCTTCCGTATTGTGCACAAACGCCTAACCTCTGGACCACTGAGCCGGTATCTAAGGGTGTTAATGTCTAACATGATCAATTCACGGAGTTGCGCAACCTCATTCGCACTGCTGAGGAGTCCCATACCAGGACGAAACGGCCGTCCAGTGCTTCCTAATGGTGGTCTAACATTGATCGATTCATGGTTTCGAAAATGTTATGTATGTGTATATAGACAATATGACTTTTATGAGGGAATAACTAACTATTTAGTATCCTCTAGTTAAGCCCTAAACAAAACGAATGTGCTTACATCTGAGCGGCTACAAATGACCTTGAACTTGATCAGGTAGTTTAAAACTGATCAAAATACATAGAAATAACATTGAATGATTGACAGTTTTATTGATACCCAAAGTAATCAACAAGTTGGGAAGTATGTTGAATCAGGAGTAAGAATATTGGAATATTTTAAAATTACTGCTTTGGTAAAAAATGGTTTACAAGCGACATTTTACTCAAATAGAATAGTTTAAATAATCTTTAATTTGATTTGTAATAGTTTGGATTATCCCGTTTTTTAATGACCAGATGAATTCAGTAGCTAGATGAATAAAGAGTAACTGCGAGGTGCAGGAGTCGTGGATGCTCACTGTTGATGAGTCCCATACCAGGGCGAAACGGCCGTCCAGTGCTTCCAGGTTTCTAATGGTGGTCTATTAGTGATTGATTGATGATTTCAAATGTATAAAAACACAAACCTCCAAAGCTCTACCTGAAAATAAAGAGTAACTGTTTTCAGTGAAAAGTACTATATTCGAGTCCTAGAATGGTTGTCAACACCAATGGATGAAACGTGAGTCTGTTGTGATTCCAAATCTACACACATTGTTAATACATACGAAATCGTCTATCTTTCAGTGAAAGTAAACAATACGGACTATCCTGATTAACTTTAAAAATAATCACAAAAGTGATTTTGGTTATGACACAAGTTACATTACAAAGAATATCACAACCTTAATGTCTAAATAATTTTAATATGAATAAGAAACTCATACATGAGTTATTACGAATCTTATTAAAAAAGCAACATCAGCTATGATGCAAGAATGCTTTGTAGGTGTAACGTTGTTCATCCGTTTCTGTCCTTTAAGTTGTCTGCTTCTGTATATAACAGAGTGGTTTTGATTGGAGATTTCATTTCAAGAATTTAAAGTTATCCAAAACCACCTGTTATAAACACACCAGTATAGCATTACGGGGTTGTTGTGAAGATTGTTAAGTTTTATTTGAAACCATGAATCGATCAATGTTAGACCACCATTAGAAACTCACATGCACTGAAACACGGCCGTCTCGTCCTGGTATGGGACTCATCAGCAGTGCCATCCACGACTCCTGCACCCCGCAGGATTCGAACCCAGGACCTTCGGTGTTGCAGGCGAACGCCTAACCATCGGACCACTGAACCGGTATCTAACGGTGTTAATGTCTAACTTGATCAATTCATGGAGTTGCGCAACCTCATACACAGTTTTCTGTAGTTACTGTCTACACCCGAACAGGTTGAACTTCACTGGTCAGTATAGCTCATTCCTACGTGCTATATAAAAAAGCCTCAAAGTTTGTGCTTGAAATAGAATTCAGAAGTCAAAAAAAACTTTCGAAGCAGTTTTCATCCACTTAAATAGACGGAAAAAATACTGGCTAATATTGAACACTGTACACTTGTTGAATACTAAACAATGGATTAATAACTTAACGCATTTTTATTTTGAATTGTGTTTTCTGGTTAGCGTTTTTTGGCGAGTTAGTTTTTTAGTGGGATGGGATCGCCAACCCCATTTCTTACCCTCCTCCTTTATCCGGGCTTGGGACCTGCAATAGCCCCGTAGGGGTTCCAGGCTCCTGGCCTGTTACTCCCAATGGAGCGTAGGCCACCAGTTAATAATCTCCAACGTACTCTGTACTGGGCTTCCCTTGCCACTTCTGTCCAATTTCTATTCATTCTTCCCATGTCTGTCTCCATTTCTTGGCGTAATGTGTTCTTTGGCTTTCCTCTTTTCCAATATGTTAAAGCATGTTATTCTCTGTATGCTTAGTATACTTTTCACTTACTATTTTAATACATCATATGTGTGTTGAGGAGGAGTTGGTTTCACTATGAGATGTACACTGTCACTTTACTATTTGTACATTATTTGTTAGGGTGATTGAATTTAGCGCCAGATTTCAATAACCTGATCAAACATTTAATTATAAATAGTGTATACTATTTATCAATGAGATTTTTGTCCATCTATCACATAAGAAAATGTGATCTCTTACACTTACTTACTTACTTACGCCTGTTACCCCCAATCGAGCATAGGCCGCCGACCAGTTTCCTCCAACCAACTCTGTACTGGGCTTCCCTTGCCACTTCTGTCCAATATCTATTCATTCTTCCTATGTCTGTCTCCATTTCTTGGCGTAATGTGTTCCTTGGCCTTCCTGTTTTCCTTTTACCTTGAGGGTTCCATGTGAGGGCTTGTTTCGTGACGCAGTTAGGTGCTTTTCGTAGTGTGTGTCCTATCCAGTGATCGCTTATACTTTGTACAAATTATTCAGTAACAGAAACTGAACATTTAAAGTCATAATAAATGTATGTGTCTTGAGAAATAAAATCATTTATTAATGTATTGACCATACATGGCACGTTTGATGTCAGTCGGTTACTTGTATTCTAGAATATTCAACATCATGTTTTATGGAAGAGGGCCATACCTAATTAGTCAGATCTTAATTTTATTGATACTTAAATGGTGTACGACATCTGCTTCTTTCAGTTGACTTCTGATGATCTTTATTTTTGTGTTCAGTATTCTCCAATGCTAATTCTGTTAGAGAAGATCCAATTTTTTCAGTTTACGATGACGCAGTATCATCGTATATTGTCATTCAATATAGGGACATTGTATTTATTAATTGAACAATCGCCAAATGTCTTTTTGCTACAAACAATAAGATCCTTTTCGATAACATTACAATCACGTGATTCAGTCCTGATAAATGCATCCAGAGAATTTAGTTTACGAAAGATAGATCACTTCACACGGTTTTGTATCAAAACATTTGTTGCTTACTAGCCTTTCATTAATAAATATTTCGTCAAATCAAAGATTTGTATTGTCAGTTTGATTAAAAAAACGATTTCCCATATCAATATTGAGAAGCGATAATTTTGAGTGGAGTTAACATCTCCCTTTTCCAATCAAATTATATTAGCAGTTTCAACTGATTCATACACGTTCAACCGGAAATTATTAGTTTATTATTGATTTGAAGTCTGACAGTGATTTGAATGTCTATCCACGCATAATAATCAATTAAGTAACTGTTGATTATAAGCCTAATTTCTATCACAGCATTAACAAGCGATTTGTGTTTGTATAACTTTCTGTTATTGAATTTAAAATAAATCCGATGTTTTCTCTTCAGTTTTTTTAAAGGGAATATATAATCCAATATCAAAATTATCAAATTTAAAGAGACATGGTTTGCACATTAACTGTGTACTAAACAAATCGTTCATGGTAATAGAAGCGGGATTAGTTAAAGTGCTTGTAGCTCGATTGATGTAAGAAAATGGAGGAATTATGTGAATGTAGATGTGATTTGGGTGTATCACCTCAACTAATGAAATTAGACAGTCTTACAAGTCATCTTCTATTGCCTGGTGAAGACGCTGACAAAATGCAGAGTCTTCTGACTACCCTAAGCAACAATGCAAGCATGTTCGGGATGCGGTTCTCACCCTCGAAATGCAAAATGTTGCTTCAAGATTGGGTTTCATCGGCACATGAACTAGTGATAGGGAGTGAAGTAGTCGAACGTGTTGACCGCCTCACTAATCATGGGAGTCTCATCAGTGCTAATGGCCTGGTGATTGACAAAATCTCAGCTAGGATACAGAAGGCTCGATTGGCTTTTGCTAACCTGCGTCAGGCGAGATATCCGTTTGCTGACTAAAGGACGAGTGCACTGAGCAGCAGTTCGCTCCGTCCTACTGTACGGATGCGAGACTTGGCGGTTAAGAGTAGAGGACTTCCGTGGGTTACTAGTCTTCGATCATCGATGTCTCCGAAGCATTGCTCGTGTATCATGGGACAACCGTATAAGCAATGCTGTCGTAAGGAAACGAGTTCTAGGTAGGAATGGCAAATCAATAGATGAAGCAGTGTAACTTCATCAGCTGAGGTGGTCGGGACATGTGTTACGTATACCTAACCACTGACTGCCTCGACGAGCTATGTTTTGCATTGTGGGAGTAGTTTGGAAAAAAGTTAGGGTCGACCAAACCAAAACATGGCAGAAATCCATGAATTCACTGACAAGTGGACTGAGTCATGCTGGCAGATGTAGGCTAAGTGGTTGGGGTCCGAGAGACGAAAGTTACCAATGGTTAGAGACCGTAAACGACATGGCTCAGAATCGTTTGCAATGGCTCAGGTGCATCCACTCTTTTTGTGCTTTTTAATTCTAACCTTCTGCATTCCTATTAATCTCTACCTTTCTCCTTCTAAATTTATCTCACTGAATTATACTTTGCGAATCTTCGCTCCCTCATCTACTCCATTGCTGCTAATAATTCTACTATCTCTGTCACTCTTGAATTTGAACTGACAGTTACGTCTCTGTGCTGACGTGGTATGGCAACCTGAAATGATGTACTTATGTGCGAAGTTCTGCTTTGTATCTGTCTGTCTTCTATTGCCTGCGTTGGATAAAAATCTGACATCTAACATGGTTAAACGTTACTAGTAGTGGTCAGCTTCAAGATGCGATCCCTTGGGGTGTGATAAGGAAACGTGATCGGTGAGGTTTAACCATACTGAAGTTAATGGATATCATTTATCAAATAAGTCATGTATTTGTATTCGATAAAAAAAACCGGAACCAGACTACTCAGTGAAACTTTAGGTTTGTTCTAGGTTCAACGGCTGAAATTTTTACAAATATAATTTACGCCTTAATGGTCCTACATTAATTCAGCATTCAACTACTGTTAAAGTGATCGTTCAAATTTAGACAAAGCTACTGATAAATTAATCTAAATTAAGCTAAAACTTTAGTTCTTTTTTTCAACTTATGCTTTAAAATTAGATAATAAAGTGAATTTATTGTATCGTCAGTGGAACCTTCATACGGTACAGTAGGATGGGATTTCAAACGATGAAGTTTTAGATTCTACTTCTAAAACTCAACTACCACTGCCTAAATCGATTAATAGTAACAATGAAGGGTTGAAAAACTGCAAGTCATCGAGTTATAATCAGTACCTTTAAGGTTTATAGTATGAATCAGGGAAATTGTAGACTTCAGTTATTCCCTAAAAGTTACTAAATCATGGGAGTGATTTAATAACTGTAGATTTTAATCTAATTGAGAGGAAGGGTGGAAGTGACATTGGAACATGTGATATATAATAGTGGCCTTAGTGAAGTAGTTTTGGGCATTAACGGTTTAGAGTTGATCATGAAATGACATCAACTTGTAAACTATTGAAAACCAATAAGTATGCAACAAATGATTAGCTCTAGCTTAGTAGAGACCAGTAATTCGCATCCAAGATCCCACCAAAAATCGAACTCTGTGTCTTCATGTCTTTAGGGTGAGTATAGTGCTTTCAAATAGTCCATATTCTCGATTTAATTTAATGCCTGGATATTTTAAAACTGTCATTCGTTTCCCTCCTTGGTATATATCTCTCAGTTAAAAATACTTGTTCTTTACTGTAGTACTTTTTAAAAGGTCAGTTTCTTTTTATTTACTTGATAAAACATTTGTTTCTATCATTCCAGTGTAATAACATCGATTCACAAAGCCATGAATAACTTCTGCTAAGGGAAAAACAGTATTCTCCCTTTTAAGTTAGTGCTCTTTTAGCAAAATTGTTCTTAGAGTATGGGTTTGCTAACCTCATGCTCAACACTCTCTCTTTACAAGGTAGTAACTGTAGAAGAGTGCCAGGTGGAGTTTAACATTAATGGATATAACTAAAAAGAAGTGAGTAACTGAATCATTGAATAAGTTTTCAGGATAAATTATTAAGGGGTAAGATATTTTGTTATCCTTAAGCACCCAGTCTATTAGGAACCGACCTACGTTAAACAATCAATGAAAACCAAGAAGCATTGGACAGACGTTTCATCCTAGTGCATCATTCCTAAACGTCGAGAGTTTATGACTTTCATGTGTAGTAGGAAGCGCTTAACCTTTAGACCACTGAGCCAGCATTCAGTAGTTTACATGTCTAACCTCAATTAATTTGTGACACTGAGAAACTACTTTCCGTTGTCTTCAGTAGACAACTGTTTTGTATCGAAGACTTTTGAACTCCTCTATCATAACTTCTAATTAGATTTTCTGGAAATACCTCTCTAAATGGGTTACCAGTGAATACATAACGATTATTACTATGGAGTGTTTGTTAGATTGTTGAATTTTGATAACTTTCATCATGGACTGATCTTAGTTAGACATGTGTAAAATTGGATATTTTGTCGGTGGTCTTGCGGTCAAGCAACAGACGAAAGATTTGAATTCCCTGTGTTTTATCCTTGGTGTGGTCGTCGATATGCACTGCTGACGAAGCTATGTTAGGACGATAAGGCTATATAGTGCCTTTTCATTTTCTATAGTTACCCAACTTATATTGGTCCATTATCTCAACAATATTTAGGCATGCTCACAAACTCCCTATACTGAAAGTAATAAATAATTTGTAAAATTTATTCAATCTCAACATTGTGTAAAATTTAGACCTTTTTCATTTGTTTCCAATTAATACAGTTGTTCTACTTTAGTGCAACTAGAGCAGCCTATTTAATGGCTTCAACTCAATCTCATCACAAATTACCTGATGGTACACATTTTCGTTTGATCAGTTCGAAAAATGCTCAACCATTGGATTATGTGACGATCAATAATTCATTTATTGACAATAATTTGTGCGATCCTACAAAAGAAGTTACAAATCAGAGTGAAATATCAATGCCTACAAATATTCCCATAAATTTCAATCATATTACTGAACAGACAAAAAAATGTTCACCATATACACTTCCTACATTTATTGATTGGAATGCAGTTGTTCGAGATAGACATGGACCATTTTGGCCACAAAATTATGGACCTATTTGTCAAACACAATGTAATTTACATAGAGGAGCAAATAATCAAAATGACCGTGATAGTAACAGTAAGGTTAACGTATCCGTTTCATGAGAATTCCATTTGTTGTTGAAAATATTAACTGATTTATCAAATTTTTGTGGACTAGATTAACTTCGTCGTCCGACTCACCACTTTAGTTGCTGCGTGAGCTGACTCCTTTATTTATGATGTTTGAGTATGCTATGAAATAAATCTCCCCTTTAGTCTTCGTATATCATACTTAGGCGAACCCCGTTTATACGGCGGTTGTCATAAGAAGCCAACTACGCGTTTGGTTGGATGAGTTTATTTCCGGAAATCGTTCATGCAAACAGACATGAGGATGAAAGGCATACAAGCAGAGCGAAGCAAAGTAGAGAGGAGAGGAGAGCAAGCAAACTCTATGAGATGAAGCATGACTAAGCACTTTTAGATAGACAGAGTAAGGTAAGACATGTAATAAGCGAACGAAGCGGTGTACACACATAATCGAACAGAAACAACCAAGATAAAAGCGAATTGTTGACAAGGTGAGTGAATAGTGCCTTGGGCAGAATGAATTAGTTGATTTGTCCCAAGGCTTGACAGACAAAAGTAAACGCATTACAAAATCCCTTTGTAGAAAATTGTACATTATTTTTGAAAAAAAAAATCAGTTTTCGAAAATAAAAACGAAATATACGGTTAAGTAGCGTGAAAAAAATATATGTGCGATTTCGGATAGAGTACAATGATACATGACGGGTGAGTGTATATGATACGAAAGTGTCATATTTATGTAACAATAAAATACATTAATATCGTATAAGTGTGGACACAAATGAAAATGATAACATGTGATAGCAAATTAAATGAGGGTATTGGAAAAAATTAACATGCATTTATGGCGTGATTGTTTGGGCCATAAAGTAGTAACGAATTCGTGTGAGTAATCCAAAATAGCGTGATAATAATATGTGACTAAACGTTCATTTTTCATGACAATAGAGTAAATCGCAAAAATAAGTTGGGGCGAGATGTAACGAAAATTGATCCTTTGTGCCGACAGTATGTGCGAATAAAGAATAGTTAAGTATAAGTAGGAACATGTTTTAACTGGCCATAGGTTAGTGATTAATGATTTTAGATCGTAGGATAAGGACATTCCAGCAGTACAGTGATAACTGTACTAAATAATATTCATTGTTGTATTGTAACTGATATTAATTATAAAATGCGAAGTCAGTATACGTTGTTGCCGATATTACGACCAGATGTATCTAGTGGTTGTTGAATATGTATTACACATTTTTGAAACCATGAATCGATCAATGTTAGACCACCATTAGAAACCTGGAAGCACTGAAAGACGGCCGTTTCGTCCTGGTATGGGACTCCTCAAAAATGTGTAACTTAACAATCTTCACAACCACGTAATGCAAATTACCTGTGCTCACTAGTGACTCGATTCGTGAGGAATTTGCTCCGAGTTCTAGTGGGAAGACGTGACCAGTGAAGTTCAACCTGTTCGGATGTAGATAGTAACTACCGAAGACTGTGTACGAGGTTGCGCAACTCCGTGAATTTGATCAAGTTAGACATTAACAGAATTGGATACTGGCTCAGTGGTCTAACGGTTGGGGCGTTCGTGCACAATACGGAAGGTCCTGGGTTGGAATCCTGCGGAGTGCAGGAGTTGCGGATGCGCACTGCTGATGTGATATGTTCGGCACTTAGGATGCTTGATGCTATTACGAGTTTACCTTAGTCGATAAACGCGAACGAGACTTTTACCAGCTTCCAGGAAGGCTACCTTGCATCCAAACGGGAAAACAGAAGTCTTGGTAAGAGTAGAAAGTATATTCTACAAACACCCAGCAATCCAGTACAATCAAGCATACAACTCTCGTTTATTTATACAACATAACAACGTCCTTGAGACAGTTAAGAAAATAGCATACTAAAATACACAGCAGCCAATCACAGCCATTGATTTTCCTGGTGGGAATTGAAATCTCAAGGTCATTTGATCAGCCCCTGCTGGCGAACGTGAAAACCGAAATACGGCATTATCAGGCGAATTTTGGGGATCTAACATCCCCAACACTCCTCCCCTTTTTAATAGCGTGTTCTCCTGTGGTTGACTTGCATCTTGACTATTGTTCGCCGCTGTCTGAGTGGATACCTTCGGCAACGAAGAACAGCTTGCTGCTGAGTTTCTTCTCGTGGCGGGGCTCTCGGTAGGTTGAAGGTATCAAGCAAGATGTCAAGGGGAAGGCTTTCTGCTCTTGAAGGGCGATCTGGGGCTAGCCGTCTGCGTATCTGACTGCGATGACGTGACCATTTATCACCTCCTACCTCTACTTCGTACATAACTCGACCAACCCTTCTGACCACTCTCGCTTCTACCCAAGGACCATGGTTCGTTCTGTAGTCGCGGGCAAACACAGGGCATCCTACTTCGTAAGCGGATTGTCTTTGTTGCTTTGTCTTTACTGATGAGGGTGCATTAGTCGGATGCATCAGGCTGTGGATCGTTTTCAATCTTCTTCCCATCAGGATTTCAGCTGGGGACTTTTGCTCCGGTAACAATTCATTTGGTGTTGTCCGATAGACGTACAAGAAATTTTGTAACGTTTCGGCTGGCGTCCCCTCCCCTTTTGACTTGAGCAGTGCTCTTTTAAACGTATCCACAAACCTTTCCGCCTGCCCATTCGATTGCGGGTGGTATGGTGGCGAGCGTAAGTGTTTAATAGCTAGCCGTTGACAGAAATTCTGGAATTGGGAAGAGGTGAATTGAGAGCCATTGTCGGATACGATCACATCTGGTATGCCATTTCGTGAGAAAATTTCAGTTAGGAGCTGTATAGTCTTAGTTGTAGTGGGCGGCATAACGGGGCTGATTTCCGGCCATTTAGAAAAGGCGTCGACGACAATTAAATACATAGTTCCATTTATTGGGCCAGCGAAGTCGACATGTATCCTGGACCAAGGATGCTCAGGTTTGGGCCATGAAACCGGCGGAATTTTGGCATTCATCTTTGCCGCCTGCTGACACCGGATGCATTTTTCAACCAACGCTGTGACATGTTGATCCATGTGAGGCCAGTATGCATAACTCCTGGCTATGGACTTCATTCGTTTAATCCCAGGATGACCAAGATGGAACTGTCTCAGCACTTTTGCACGAAGGGATGCTGGAACCACTACTCTTTCACCAAACATGAGACAATCGTTCACGATGCATAGTGAATTCCGCCGCTGATACAGTTGCTTCATGTCACCTTCAAACTTTTTCGACGGCCAACCTTTAGTGACATATTTCATCGTCATCTTGATGATGGGGTCGTTTCTAGAAGCATTTTGTATGTCTGTTGCAGACACCGGTAATGCGCGAACTGCGGTTGTCAGATCACATTCTGCGTGGTCTTCTGGGTCATGTCGTTGTGATACCAGGTTGCATATGGTATTTAGCGGGACATCAGCCAATTTTAGCTGGTCGAACCAATCTAAACCAAGTAAATTTAGATCAGCTGGCGTTATATAGCATACCCCAGTAAACGACGAATCCCGGAAAGCAACTTTACATTCCAATTGTCCTAACAGACGAAGATAATTACCACATGCTGTGCGAGGCTTTTGTGTTGTGTGCTGCAGGCTTGGGCTGCCCAACTTGGTCCAATTTTTGCGTGAGAGGATAGTGACATCAGATGCAGTATCTATTTGCATTCTGGTGATGAGCTTTGGCAGGAAGATATTAGGCTCAATGCATTGGTACTGGATCTAGGAACAGGCTTCTTAGCACTTCTGGATCGCTTTGGCTTTTTCTGTAGGCAAAAGCCATCTTTATGACCGATGACTTTACACTTCCTGCATCTATGCTGCCTAAATGGGCAGTTCCGTACATAGTGCCATGAACCGCAGTGCCAGCAAGCAGAAGGTGGATTCATTTTGGGTTTTTGGTCCGAATTGGAGCGGGGTGAACTGGGTGTAGCACGGGCAGACTTATAATGATTAGGTGGCTGCTGTACCAAATGAATTTCAGGTCGGCTTGAACTACCACTCTGAACTATAGTCGAGTCTCGTTGTAGGTTAGTGAGACGTTGGTACTCATGAGCCATATCATTAAGCGTAAGCTTTGGATCTTGCTCCAACCGACTTAGTAGCCTTGTTCTAATGTCACTGAACTTACTCGACTGGAGGCTGCAGATGAGAATGAGGGCTTTGAACTGGTCTTCCGACAAAGACTTCAACCGAAAGCGTTCGCATTCACGGTTGACGATGCCCACGTGCGTAAGAAAATCATCATCTTCGTTCATAATAAGCTTCAAACATCGATAACGAGTATTAAATAGTGACGAGTTGTCTCCAAAGTGTTGGCTTAAAGTCTGAACAGTCTCAGAAAACGAACAATCTCGTGGGTTCAAATTCATTTGTTTCCTTAACAGCTCCAACATACGTTCCTGGAACTGTTCATATCGTTTACCTTGACGTTCCAGTAAAGATTCTAACTGTTCAAGGTTAATTGACATTGTGAATTGTGAGCCCCGTCGCCACTGATATGTTTTGTGGATATGGTTTTTACCCCGTCGCCACTGATATGTTCGGCACTTAGGATGCTTGATGCTATTACGAGTTTACCTTAGTCGATAAACGCGAACGAGACTTTTACCAGCTTCCAGGAAGGCTACCTTGCATCCAAACGGGAAAACAGAAGTCTTGGTAAGAGTAGAAAGTATATTCTACAAACACCCAGCAATCCAGTACAATCAAGCATACAACTCTCGTTTATTTATACAACATAACAACGTCCTTGAGACAGTTAAGAAAATAGCATACTAAAATACACAGCAGCCAATCACAGCCATTGATTTTCCTGGTGGGAATTGAAATCTCAAGGTCATTTGATCAGCCCCTGCTGGCGAACGTGAAAACCGAAATACGGCATTATCAAGCGAATTTTGGGGATCTAACATCCCCAACATGATGAGTCCCATACCGGGAAGAAACGGCCGTCTTTCATTGCTTCCAGGTTTCTAATGGTGGTCTAACATTGATCGATTCCTGATTTCAAAAATATGTAACTTAACAATCTTCACAACCCAGTTATGCGAATATGTATTAGTAGCATGACCAAAGGAACAGAATAATGATTGCATAGACGAGATAAGCTGAGTCATATTCGTTTTTTGGTCATGAAGTCTATCGTGGTTTAAATCGTTGGAGGAAGATGTACTCTACTTTGTTCATTGAGAAACCGTACTAAGGCATGAAGAACATACTGATACAGACGACTGTATACGCTAGACAAATAAAGCTGTCTTGAATGTAACGAACATGAATGTTTCCTTTAGAGCCTAGCTCTAAACTCTAGCTTCTGATTTGCAGTTCAACAGGAACGAATAAAATTGCAGAAATCGTGTGATGTGTGAAATAAGACGAAATTTGATAAATGCATGAACATTATGGCACGGCTTATCTATTGATCAAGCGGGTGAAGAAATCTCAGTCGATATAATCGTCAAAAAAATAGAGAACAATGATTGTTGCGTACAAATGCGATGAAAGAACGATTGGTTGCATATCGAAAACATAAGTTATTGCCAATGAGTGTATAACTCCAACCTTATGTCTATGATAACGTTACAAACCGTTGCCAACGTTGAGGTAGTAGAAAATATGCTATAATCAGCGTGCAGGAGGTTCGCTCGACTTCTTAGACTAATGGTTCATATGTATGAGCATGTCATCATACCACCAATTAACTTAGCAAGTTACAAGATTTTCGAGGTACGAGCAGCTGATAAGTGCATCGGGAATATGTGTCATGCGATAATTATATAGCCACGGAAATGATACTAGAGATTGATTGATAAATGTTTCAAAGCATAACAACGGCAAAAAATTGGGCGAATTCACTTTAGACAGAAAAATCATTTGCGTTATCCAATACAAGAAAATAATCCAGTGAGTTGAAAATGTCATAATGTGAATACAATATTCGTAGTATTATGATTGCATGAGTGATCATTAAAATTCCGTCGTCGTTATAATTAAATGTCATTATGCATAAAACTAGTAGTTCCCCGACGATAATACGACAATGATAACGGTAATTGGAGAAACATATATTTATGAGTTGAGTTGATACATGGAAGAAATAACGATGAGATAAATACGATGATTTGCATGGGCATATAATCACTGAAGTGGATTCGCCGCATACGTCGGATACGAGATTGTGTTGTATGTGTTGATCGAGTCTCGTATGCTGATTCGATTCGTCGAATGCACTGAGTTTGAGCTTTGTTTTTTCGACCTAGTTCTGTAGGTTGCGTTAAATTCGACGTCAAGGAACACCAATTTGTGTGTACTTGACATAAAAGTGCCCGAACTACAAGTTTATAAAATATACAAAACTAGTTATTGGTAAATTGTTGAAGGTATTCGACAAGAAACCACATCTTAAGATTTCGTTCGGGCTAATAGTCATCACAAAGGCGTATCTGAAATCTTCGACAGACTGATGTTACGTACGAAATTCTACTTCAAGTCATTTACCCTAGTGGTGATATTACAATTTGATTGATAAAGAATGATAATTATTAAAAGACCAGGCAAACACAAGACTGGTTATTACTTGGGTACTCACTTGATTACAAGTTCTTTATTACTAGATTGACGGTAAAAGATCATCAGTACCATTAAAAAATTTATCGGAAATGAGTTCCCTACTTCACAAATGAAGCTAAACCAGTAACTATTATTCTCTGTGTCGAGTTAAACTGTGAATTCGGTTGAAACTAATTTTGTGCACAAAACATGTGGAAAGTTTGATAACAGGTAATGGTGAAAACGACCTTCAAGCATTTGTATGCTTTAAAATTAAAATTGAAATGAAGTAGATATTGAGGAAGTTGGAACTCTCAGCAGTATTTTTCAGAAGATTACACTGTTATTGCATAATCATAAACTATCAGATTTTGATAGTTTCATATTTTCCATATTGTAGGCTTACGTTCGATACATAAGCCTCTGTTTGATGTTATCCTTTTATTTAAAAAAAATTATTTTTAATCGATTACTCACCTCTTGCTCCATTCTAGCTTGGTTATGTTCAAACTATTGTTTCCTGTTTGTGGTGTTCGGTAATCCGATAATTTAGTTATCCAAATCTATAAGTGTTCGAGTGATAATGCAAGACTTTAGTAGAAGTCTTATTTGTGAATCATTTTTTTGACTGCTGACTACCTATATGGAAAGAGGCAAGCTGAGTTTTGCATCAATAAGAGTAAGGATATTGAAAATAGCTGCCAAGGTAATCGATTGCCATTTAAAGTATGTCATTGGTTAAAATTGAAATCGGTGGTCCGATAGGTATAAAGAATAAGGGTCTATAACGGATATTGAAGTGAAGAAGAACACAGGTGAGGGCAACCGAATTGTATTTATCGCAAATTACAGAGTTACTCAGTAAAATAGGAAAACCATATCGTAAATCGTTCATTTGCAAATCATCAATCCATTGTCTGACATTTCACTATTCATGCGTTTCATACAAATTCCATTGTGTTCCCACTCTTCCTTTCTTGATCTTCCCCCATCTTCTGCTGCCAGACATTACGTTTACACTCGCGTCATATACTACTTATAAGTAGCGCGCACCACAATATGATGATCAGACTGACCCAGATCACGTGAACAGAAACAATGATATGAGTTCATAATGTTTGCACAGATTTCCTTAGAGTATGCTGAGATTCTGTTGTCATTAAAAAACTAAATAATTTTCAATTCAATAGTTAATGAGTCATTATTCTTTATGAGATTCAGTTAACCGATTGATTAGAAAATATAAGGTTGTCAAATTTTATGACTTTCCCGTTATGAATTCTTCTTTTGAGTCTTATGAACATATCTGATTCAGGTTGATGAGTTTGAGCTATGATTAAAATACAGATTACTCTCTGATAGATGATCCTAGATTAGCTAAATAATGAAAAAGAAAACAACCAGTATTATGATCGTAAAATTTGTTTGACACACATTCACCAACTAATTGAAATAGGATGAAGGTTATTACAATGTTACACATTAGCATTCACAGCCAAGTAGATTGTGTGGTGCGCGCTACTTATAAGTAGTATATGACGCGAGTGAAAACGTAATGTCTGGCAGCAGGAGATGGGGGAAGATCAAGAAAGGAAGAGTGGGAACACAATGGGATTCGTATGAAACGTATGAACAGTGAAATGTCAGACAATGGATTGGTGTTTTGCAACAGGAACAGTGCAGTTCGATATGATGGATTGATATTTTGCAAATTAACAATTTACGATATGGTTTTCCTGTTGCAAAACATCAGTCCATTGTTTCTTACAAATCCCATTGTGTTCCCGCTCTTCCTTTCTTGATCTTCCCCCATCTCCTGCTGCCAGACATTACGTTTTCACTCGCGTCGTATACTACTTATAAGTAGCGCGCACCACAATTGATTACGTAAATGTCTATCATAATAATGGATAATTCACCTGCATGTGTCGTATAATTTTTAAATAATTTTTAATTAAATAATCACTGTCATCAAACTAAACGGTACAAGAGAATAATTAATATCTCTAAATATCTATGACTTGATTTATAGTTGAGGCACTGTGTACACGCTTCGCTTCGGAATGCTTCGGAAATTATCCCCCGTTTGAAATGGTAAAAATAAGTATACGTACTAACTTACTTTTGAGCCTGTTACCCCCAAGGGAGCATAGGCCGCCCTCTAGTTTTCTCCAACCAACTCTGTCCTGGGCTTCCCTTTCCAGTTCTTCCCAGCTTTTGTTTATTCTTCTCATATCTTTCTCTATTTCTCGGCATAAAAAAAGAATAAATACCAATGAATTTTAATATTTCTTGTTTTTTTATTTCTAATAATAAAGTTACAATTATCAATTATCAAGGATTCATTCACTTCATTAACCTTTTTTTCTCTTACTTTTATAGTTAATAAACCAATCATTCCTAATTATACAGAAGAAATTAATCAACTTAAAAATAAACAACCTCAATTCAAAGGAATACGAGTTGTTTTCGATTCAGAATGTAGTCCTTGTTTATCAGAAACTTTGAGTTCCTCATCATCAACAACATCTTGTTCCGTAGATATACAACAATTAGTCAAAGATTTAGCCAACACACAACAATGGACTCCACCATGTCTGATGTTTGAATCAAGATTTGAATCAGGAAATCTACGGCAAGTTAGACGAATGTAAGATAGTAATAATTTTTTCTTAAATAAAATATCAAGTTTACTTAGAGCATAGAAATAGTTGTCACTTCCTGGTTGACCACACAATGGAAAGATATTTATTCTTGAAGGACTTAGGTAGGAAACTTGAATAATAGTGGTTTTGATAATATAGGATGATGACTGTACAGCCCAAGGGAAAGCTGTTTGAAGTCAGTAGCTCATGACCTTTTTGTGATTAGTTTTAGATGAGTTAACTACCTAATTATGTGAAGCCTCACTACCTGTAATAGAGGTCTGTGTACGAAGATATGTACTTTTTTTTAGAGAGATCTTTGCTGATTCTTCCTTCTCATTGTGGGGATGCAGAATCACCGCAGATGCTGATTGTTTGGAGAAACATCCTACAACCCTCACTCCTCTGTACAATCAGAAGTTTGTCTCCATCCTCCAGCCATGAGCTGTTGCTTTTATCCCGTCTTCTTGATCTGGTTGAACTTAAACGAACAAATGCTCAATCAATGCAGCTATATTAGGTCATCATTATGTGCACACCCGACTGCTACTCTGTATTAATAGCTTCTGTTTAATGATAGTATTAAATATTGTTTAGTAGTATAATTTGTATTATTCATTAGAAATTGTGCCCTATCGGCAAGTGACGTCGAATATGAATCCTAGGTCTTGGGTTCCAAACCGATCACCTAAAAGTGAAAGTCACTACGGTGGCTTGAAGATTGATTGCGCTGGTAACCAACAATTGTATTTTCTTCTTACAGCCAGAATTGGTATGTTTGTGTTCTGTAAGCAACACTGACATGATAAGAGGCAGTACATTTATCTAATAAGTTCTATATTATTTAAAATGTCTTGAATTATTTTGCTTGTCAGACATCACTCAATAATATTGAAATATACAAACGTCTTTGGCGAAATAGAACAAGATTTCCTACACAAACCAATCTATTCAGTCAGATGAATTTTTAAAAATAAATTGGACTAAAAATTACAATAATAAATTATGCAGTTGAAATATCCAATTCACACTCGCCAGCCCATCAGGGATAGAATTTAGAAACTTCACTTCTCATATCCGGCTGAGATACCTTTAAGCCAGTCTGTTGAGGAAGAATGTGCCAGGGAAGTTTATCAACATCTCTAAGTCCTTACGTACAACTAACTCAGACAGAGTAAAGGTATACGACTACTTATCTTCATTGATTTATTCAAGCAGCTGGCTTAGACAGGGTTGCCCAATCTCATTGGCCTTTTCGATTTTACCACTGATGACGTTTTGGGAACAGTTCTGATGGATACAGGTAATGGTGATGTGGATCTGTTATCTGAAGAAAGACTTTTTGTCCTTCGATATGTGGATGATATTTTATTACTGTGAGAAATTTCCCAAGCAATGCCATCCATTGCTAATCACTTAACAATTAGTGTCCATATGTATGGCATATGCTTTTCACCTTCGAAGTGAAAAAGTGCATTTACAGAACTGGCAGGATCCTGCATTCAATCTTAGTAGTGAGCAGATAGAAGTTCTCAAAAATTTCATATACCTGGGTAGTCGGGTAAGTGCTGGTGGTTGTGATGGAGTGAGTGATGAGATCAACTCACCTATAGTGAAAGTCAGAGTGACTTATGCCAATCTGGGTCATCTTTAGTGCTTTCATGATGTTAGTCTCTCTGAATGAGGTTAGGTCTGCAGTGCATCAGTGAGAAGAAGTTTGCTCTATGTTTGTGAACCCTGCCCCCTTTGGGTTAAAGATGATAAGAGATTCCCTGTGTTTGATCATCGTCTGTGAAAGGTTGTTGCCATTCAGCGCCAACACCATGTTAGTAATGCGAAGGATCAGCAATACGTGTTTGGTCACAGCAACAATAATTCAATTTATGTCACCATCTTAAAACACCGACTTCAAGGGCTTAGACATGTACTATGAATGTCGTCCCAGCAAATTCCACTTCATGCATTTGCCAATACTAGGAGTGGTTTTAAAAGCAGAGAGATGGTCAATGTATAACTTGGTATTGCAGTATGAAAGAGAGCTGTGCAGAACTGGTGCCTGTTGGTCCTGCACTGCTCTCTGGTTGGGATCCTAGAGACGGTGCAACTCAATGGTTTCGGACGTCATCTGAAATGCCTGAGAATAGAAATCAATGACAGTAAAAATGTGATTTTTTTATTTTCTCCCCATAAGTGAAAGAATTCTTTCTGGCTGTATTTTGCTAACGGAACTGTTTCTTCTATTATTATTACTATTATTTTACTCTCATACACTAATTTCTATGCATTTTTCTGTTACATTCAACGTTAGTTATCTGTTTCTTTAAAACGTCACGTTTATTGTGTGGCGGGTTTATATTCTGGTATCTCTCTGAACCATTATTTATTGAATTGAAATAAAATGTTTCGAAATAAATAAGGACTTAGGCCGTTGAGCTGCAATACATAATGCATCCTTACACAACTCAAATGACAGGACAAATATACAAACGTTGGAAATATAAGTATAGAGGAAACCATGGCATATAAATCAAATCTAACTTTATATCTTCAGCAACCTAACAACATAAAAATGTTGTATTGAAATACTTTAGCAGCGCCTAAGCTCATTACAGCATGCTCAGTATACGAAAAGCTATTGAAACACATCTTAAGTCTGTCTTCGTTACAATTCCATTCAAAGATGCCAAGCAAGTCTACATACCACCATTAAATCATTTATCACTAACTTGAAAATAAATTGTTCTGCCATAAAGGAGAACCTTTAAGATATCGTGAAACTTTGAGATCAGTATCTCAGACAAACCAACACGATTAACTCATTTCATCCCATGCAGATTAGAAGACAACAATGAATGAAGACAAACGCAACAACAAAGCAAATCTTATAATCTGTGAGAAGCGCTACATCGGATGAAGTGAGTACCTATTAAAATACGACAATATTCTAGATCACAGAAGTTTCAAAGATGTCGGAGAACTTCTGGAAACATTACATTCAAGTCAATCTAAAATCAGTAACCACATCAACATTGTTCTAGTTGGTCAGTCAATGCAGGAAAGAGCATTCACTCACATGTTCAGGGGTTAATGAAAAATGGTCAGTCAGACAGTCCGTTACAATGTAGAAATTTGTACGTACGAACATAAGCTCAGGTTGCCATAGCGTATTGGCACAGAGACGCAATTGTCGATTCCAATCGTATAGTGGTAGAGATAGTAGAAGTATTAGCGGTAATGGAGAAGATTAGGGTTCCAAGATGTTACTCAAGAAGTATAATTCAGAGAGATAAATTTGGAAGGAGAAAGGCAGAGGTGATAACGAATTCAGCCATTTCGTTCAAGGTCTCTAACCACCGGTTACTATCATCTCGAGGAAACCAACCAGGTAGCCTACATCTACCAACATGACTCAGTCCACTTGTCATTGACTTCATGGATTTGTGCCATGTTTTGGTTTGGCCACCCTTACCTTTCTTCCAACCTATTCCTACACCACAAAACATCGCTCATCGAGGCGGTCTGTGGTTGGGCATACGCAACAAGTGTTCTAAGCACCTCAACTGATGGAGTTTCAATACTTCATTTATTGATCTGCCATCCCTGCCTAGTACTCGTTTCCTAACGAGAGCATTGCTCAATCGGTTGTCCCAGAATAAACAAGCAATGCTTCGGAGACACCTATGATTGTAAACAAGCAATCTACGAATATCTTCTACTCTGGCTGGCCAGCTTTCACAGCCATATAGTAGAACGGAGCGAACTACTGCACAGTATACTCGACTTTTGGTTAGCAAATGGATATCCCGCCTGCGCCATAAATGAAGTAAATTGGCAAAAGCCAATCGAACCTTCTGTATCCGAGCTGAGATTTTGTCAGTCATTAGGCCATCAGCACTGATGAGAATCCCCAGATAAGTGAAGCGGTCGACACTCTCATTTGCTTCACTTACTATCACTAATTCAGGTGCAAATGTAAACCAATATTGAAGCAACATTTTGCGTTTCGAGGGTGGGAATCGCGTCCCGAACATGCTTGCATTGCTGCTTCTTAGTTTAGTCAGAAGACTCTGCTTTTTTTCAGCATCTTCACCAAATAGAACTACGTCATCGGCATATTCTACGTCCATAAGCGAGCCTCCTGTTAGAAGGTTCACTCCTGAAAATTCTGACGAGGATAATGGTAAATCTAGAAGCATGTCTATGACAAAGTTAAACAAGAATGGAGAGAGTGAACAGCCCTGACGTATACCAGTTGAAGTAACTATTTCCGATGACACTTCGCTATAAGCCCTAATTCGACCAGTGGTGTTCTTGTAGAGAGCTTGTATAAGGTTAATGTACTTCTCTGGTACACCTTTTATTGACAGACACTGCCACAGAACATCGCGATCAACAGAGTCGAATGCTGCCTTAAGGTCGAGAAATACTACTAGTGTGGGGCGTCTGAACGAGTGTCTTTGCTCTAGAACCTGATGAAGTGTGAATATCTGGTCCGTGCATTCACGTCCAGGTCGAAAACCAGCCTGGTTTTCTCTAGTCTGATCTTCACGAGCTCTAGTTAGGCATCCGAGTATTAATGAAGCCAATATTTTCGATACTATATTATTTAAACTGATTCCTCTGTGATTGTCACAAGAGGACTTTTGTCCTTTCTTATAGACTGAGACAATCAGTGATTGAGACAGTTAATGGAAACACGGAATACATGACTAATGACCAAAAATAATGTCATGATAAAAGACTGACTTAATGCTTTTGGATTAATCAAAAACCTCGCTGCTACTTAAACTAGGCGAAGATGATGTTGTTCAGAACGAAAATGAAGACCGCAATTAAACCATCCAGCTTAAAGAAGATAGTATACTACGATCAACATTATATCTTATTTCTAAGTGTTAAGAAATAAACTTCATCAGTATTTTTTAAAGTTTTTTATATCAAATTCGAGCAAGTGACCATGATAAATGGCCATGACAGGTACATAGACTTTTATCATCAATTAGTTTCTAAGGCCTCAAAAAAATTTTCAAATACTCAATAAACTACACTAATATTTTATAACATCTTTAGTTTCAATTTGAACTGATATTTTCATTGTTATTCTATGAACTTACTATATTCTGGATAATTCTGATACTTGGTTACTACTCTGACAAAATCCGGACTAGAAACATGTGTGAAACATTGGAATTATTTGAAATTCAATCACTGAAATTTAAAAATACAGTTTCTTTTTTAACTACATTGGTAGTTTAAAGTAATGATATCGACCGGAAAAATTGATTCTACGGAAAGTGAATTTCAAAGTACATTTCATTTTTAAGGTTTTTAAGTTAATAGGTGAATTTATTTGCCTCTCAGGTCAACTTCTTCGGTAAGACGAAGTAATCTTTGTAAAAATTGTAAGGTCAAAAAAGTGGCAGTGAATCATTTTGATAAATTGAAGTTGAAAAAACTCTGAGATGCGCGTTCGATATTTTCAAGGTCATTCATAAGGATAGTTAAGTTCATTGGACACCTTTTAATAAGTGAAATTTACAAAAGTCCGTCTACCTAAGTTCGTGATGATTTTTTATGCCTAAAATATATTTTGTTCATAAACTGGAGATTTAGATTGAATTATATAACACAATAGAACTTCAAGCATATCATAATGGTTAGCTCACTAGTGACTTACTTCTAAACACTGACTGCCTCAACGAGCAATGCCTGATGTAGGGGTAGGCTGGAAGAAAGATCGGGGCGGCCAAACCAAAAACATGGCACAAATTCATGAAGTCACTGACAAGTGGACTGCGTCATTTTGGTAGATGCAGACTATCTGGTTGGGTTCCGCGAGATGATAGTAACCAATGGTTAGAGACCTTGAAAGACATGGCTCAGGTGCATCCACTCTTTGCGTTCTATGAAATTCTAGTCTTCTGAATTCTTCATGTTGATTTTTCTCTTTCTAAACTTGTCTCACAAGATTATACTTGAATCACATCTTCAAAGCCTAATCTTTCCGATTACTGTTCCTTCTTTTACTACATCTACTAATATGGGATTTCGATTGACAATTGCGTCTCTGTGCTCATGTGGTATGGCAACTTGGACATATGTACGCACATACGAAGTTTGTTATTGTAGCTTACTAAATGACTTATTTTAAGGTGTTCTCAAGGTTCTGGTAACCGATGAAATTTCATACTTATCGATATTGAAACCATTGCTGCCAGCTGGACTGGATGATTGTCGTGTAATGTAACTAACTGATTGAAGTTGGATTATACCATCTGATATGTGCGATGGTTCTATTCATTAAAGATTTAGCCAGAAACCTGAAGCTAACAGGTTCAGTCTTTTTATGAATCGTGGATAAACACTGTTAAGCAGCCCTATGCTAAGATGAAACAACATTCCAGTGCTTCGTGGTTTTCAATGTTAGTCCGACTAATATCAATATGTGACGAATATGATGGACACAAAGTTCAAAATCACCAACTAAACTGTAAGATAACCAAAGCTGGTTAGTAATAAACAGTTATTCCATCATGTTTTCGGATTAATCAATAGGGCTACAGGATCACACACATGACTGAACTGACGACGTTTAGGTTCAGTGGAAAGCAAGATACTTCAAATTATTTGGTTTCAATTCAATAGTTCCTTTCTATATTTGGTGACTTTATGAGCTTAGACTATCTGTGAACAAATATTTTCTACTCTCCATCTGACCGACCTCAGAGACTATATGTTCCTTCTAATTCATTTTGAATTATATTCCGTCCCGTCTAAGAGTGCGAGCGTGAATTGTTGATGAGTTCCGAATAAAGATGAAATAAATATCCAATAATTCTATTTATTTGATAACATTAGGTGAGTACAACAACTATTCACAAATAAACTGTATCACTGGTATTTATTGAAAGACAATTAACTTTCAGGTAATTTTTAGATGTAATCATCTATAATATCAGAAGTTTTTTTTTATAAACTTAATTTACTAAATGTTTCAAATGTTACATTCAAAAGTGGGTCGTATATATTATATATTATTAACAACAGACAATTCGATAGACAGAAGTATAAAATAATGAAAATATCTTTTCTTCTCTCTTTTTTTCCTAATTTTTCTTAGAGGTCCATTTCATTATGAATTATTATTGAAACCGGATTTATATACAAAACGTCATGTACAATGGTATTTTTTTCGTGTACAAAATATACTACCTGGTTTTACTTATACATTTGTAATTGTAAATTTTACAAAACCAACAAGTTTATATTCTGAAGGTCAGTTAAAAGATTGATGAAAAAATAATAAAATTTAATTTACACTTCCTTCGTAGCTTCAGTCGTTAATACATAATGAGATATTAATTAATTTACTGAAAAATATGCCACTAGTGATATTATTAAACAACGATTGGTTGGAATCATGAATGATAGTTTGTACACACTTGAAGGAATAAATTATGAGCCTGTAATATGTATTAGTTAGAGACTTATATACTTTTGCATTACGGGGTTGTGAAGATTGTTAAGTTACACAGTTTTTGAAACCATGAATCGGTCTAACATTGATCGATCCATGGTTTCAAAAAAATGTGTAACTTAACAATCTTCACAACAACCCGTAATGCAAATTACCTGTGCTCACTAGTGACAAGCTTCGTGAGGAATCTTCTCCGAGTTCTAATGGGAAGACGTGACCAGTGAAGTTCAACCCGTTCGTGTGTAGGCAGTGTCTACCGAAAACTGTTTATGGGGTTGCGCAACTCTGTGAATTGATCAAGTTAGACATTAACACCGTTAGATACCGGCTCAGTGGTCTAATGGTTAGGGCGTTCTAGCTCAACACCGAGGTCCTGTGTTCGAATCCTGCGAGGTGCAGGAACCGCTGATTCGCACTGGTGAGGAGTTCCATACCAGAACGAAACAGCCATCTTTCAGTGCTTCCAGGTTTCTAATGGTGGTCTAACATTGATCGATTCATGGTTTCAAATAATATACTTCCAACAAGTTCCTGAGAAATATCATAATGTTTAACTAAGCTAGTCAAGATTAACATTACCGGTTAATTTGATAGCAATAGATAGAGTTGCGAACTTATTTACAGCTTAAAAGTAAATCAAATTTCGTGGATTTGATTCTACAGATCATTCAGTTAAAACTGTCATTGTAAGATTAAACTAACATGCAATAATATCATCATTTACAAAGTAGAAAACATTAATTTTTAAATTAAATGTCTTCGTTTCACTGTTCAATAAACTCTTCTTCAAAATGACTAGAAATTTCATGCCGAATCAATATAAGTAGACATATTTAAAGTCGTTTATATTACATGTCAGAATCATCATAAAGTTTAATTTGCAAGCTTATACTCTGAACATTTAATATTGTTATTTTATACTACTTGTGAAAAAATAAGTAGTAAACACATCTATAATGTCCTAAGTTCGATAACTACAATCTGATTGGTGATATAATCCCTCAGTGATGAACAAGTGGAAAAATGTAGTAAGTAACTGCACATTTCATATTGAAATAAAAGTATTTCAAAGAATCCAAAGTGAAGGAATTTATCATGTTTCACCTTATTTTACTACACATTGGTTGCTTCAACCAAATTGAATGAGACAGTAAACATTGATGTGGTTTCTTCTGAAGCTGGGTGGTTTGTAGGTGACGTTTTGTTTTTCAGAACTAACTATTTGTTCTATGGACCCTGATTTTAACTGTTTGTCTCTGATACTTTTCTTTTCAATGTGTCAGTATTGACTTTTATAACTTTCCTTTTGAAGTGATTCTAGACCTTACAGTTATTCATGAATTTCCTAACTACTCTGACTCAGAAAATGTGGCAATCTTGTCCTAAAAGAGGGTTTTCAGAACCTTGACATTTGTGTCGGTTAGCAATCAGTAAAAGTATTGGGATCAATCCGACTTATTAACTAATTCGGGAAATTACTAACAACTGTAAAGTCAAGAATCATGTAAAAGAAAGTGAAGAATTACAAATAAATATTCAGAGAATCACAGGATACATCAAGAACAACTAGTCAAAACCAAGTTCTTTGGAATAACCTTCACCAGTAGTAATTAATCAGCACTAAGAAGGACTTGATAGAGATTAATTACTGCCCACCGATCTATCACTTATAAATAGCACAAATCATTAGTCAAATATAGAGAAATCTTCATAGATAAGTTTTATTTAAAGTTTATACTGATTATATTGTCTAAAAAGGGAATGAAAGTTTTAATAATAAAACTACTCAGCTCAAAAAACCAATTTCAACAAAATCATACCTATGAGCTACAAATATCTCCTATCTTCTCAAAATTGTAAATTACTTATAGAATTGAATTAGGATTGTGTTGTATTATCCCATTTGTTCCTTCTAAACTATAAGGATGTTTAATTTCACATCGAAATTAATATTTCTAATCGTGATCCTTTTCTAGCTCAGTTAACTTCCTCATGTGTCGCGTCGAGATGTAAATCATGACAACTTAGTCCAATAAAGCACATTTGTGCCGAGGCATATGTTTGATAATTTTTTTCTACTTCATCAATTGATTAGCCGCTGAATTAGAAAAGCTATTGATTACCGATACAGAATTTTCAAAACATCTCCTTTAAGAACACTAGAAAGCCAATCAGATGACTTGTACCTTTAGTGTGACGTAAAACTTATGAGTCATACATATTCGTTACAGTTTCACAAGTCACCGTAAATATGTCACAGAATGTGCATGGTTTGAATTTAATAAGTATAGCTTTCAATAGACATTTCATTTCAAGTGCTAATTTAAATTTTAATTTTGTTTTGTATCTTGTTTACCGAGCTACACTATGGTAGCTATGCACATAACAGACAGTTGTGGTTAACTCTAGTCGATCGAACTGAAATCTATAGTGAAAGTTATATTAAAATATACCGATAAAAATTAATTGTATTGATGACCTTGAGAGACTTGGTTATCTAACAATTGACAATGAGAAGCAATCAAATTACGGTGGACAAATTGTTTTAACATAGTTAGTGAACACTTTCATATTGGATTGCTTATCATGGTAAACAAAAAAAGAGTTGAAGTTGAGTTAGAGCTATGAATTACGGACAGAAACACTGGTGTGTGAAAGTAATGTCCAGCTTGACAGGCAACACTGACTAAGCATTGAGTAGCAAACATAAAGTGCTCGCAAGAAAAACCAACAACAGGAATAGTTATTTCTTGTAATTTAGCTTACTCATTTAATCACACTTACTGTGGCCGCAAGGAAGATCGTTTAATCCATTTTGAGCATTTTAGTAAATAGATGAAGTTAGACATTGACACCGGCTAGGTGGTCCGATGGTTAGGCGTTCGCCTATAATACTGAAGGTCCTGGGTTCGAATCCTGCGGGGTGCAGGAGTCGTGGATGGCACTGCTGAGGAGTCCCATACCAGGACGAAACGGCCATCCAGTGCTTCCAGGTTTCTAATGATGGTCTAACATTGATCAACTTATGGTTTCAAAAAAAACTAGATATAGATAATTCTTACTTACTGCTTAACCGAATACAAATTGTCCTTTAGGATGCATTGGATTTTACCTACAAATTGAAGAGATACTATTTCAAACCTGACTGGTTCATTTAAGAGAGTATGATTTAGCTTTACCTACTTTGTCATCAAATGATTGAGAAATGATATGAAGTGTTGATTACGTTACACATTGTTTGAACATCGAAAACGTTGTTGATAACCTCATACAATGTCTGAAAAGCATGAATGTTTAGTGATAAGTCCAGATATTAAGCTGAGTACATATTTTCTATAACTCAATGTATCATCATTTTATGACATTAGTTTTATCCTAGGTGAAATATTTTGATCAGTACAATATTACTTTCGTATTTTTCCAGAGCAACATTACTTGACGTCATTATCGTTGTACCAGATAACTGTAAATTCCGTAGAGTATGATAGGTGTGAACTTTCAACCTATATGACTATTATATTCTTAATGTTATTCTGCGTGAACTTCGTATTCGTTTTTATAGTGACTTAGTGTACCTTCTGATCAATATGAAGTTTATCGACTAATCATCAAATGTATGTAAAATCAGTAGATAAATGAGTGTGTACTTGGTTTGATGATGATGATGTGAACTTGGACGATTTGTTTTAAGGAGATGTCATCGGTCAGTCATTAATTCTTCATTCACACCAGTCTTTGTGCTTCCACTTTGCTTCTTAGCGGTTGTAATGGTTTCTGTTTTCAAGTTTAACCAGTAGGAGTGTCACGTAAATAATGGAGTTGAAGTCAAACATGACCGTTAACTGGCCCAGTTATAGCTATCGGATGACGAAATGATTTCTAATAGCTCTGTGTTTCTTTTGTTGAATACGTCAGTGAATTTCAAACGTTCCCTAGTCAAATGTAAATTATTTTTCAAGACTAGTTAAATCTTTAGATATTGAGACATTAATATCTGAATCAACTTTTTTCTCAAACAGGTTTACAACCTTTGTTGTATTCAAAAATTGATTTTCAACAAAATGGTAAGAAATGGATACGTGTTGGAAGAAATATCAAGTAAGTATGATATCTACCTGTTAGTGAAACACTTTTTGAAAGTAGTTGTTTAGGTCTTTTCTCGATAAATTAAACCCATTTTTTTTAACTGTTAATATGGATGTAGTTCATCTCGAAATAAAATTTGGACGGATTGATCGACATTTGTAGTTTGACAGGAAGTTGCAATAAGTAAATCGATTAGATTATTGAAATAGATAAGAGAGCAGAAATGTTTGTTGCACTTATCGATCGGTTTTAAATTTGAAGTGATTCGGGTTTAAAAGTTGCGACCAGCGCCTGACTTTCTAAATATCTGAACAAAGAAATAAACCGGTTGTACTAAAGGATTCTTGCGGAAAAGTTAACAGAGGCTGAAAATAAGGGCATAAGCACATTCTCTAGCTAGCTTTGAAAAAAATCATAATGTGTGGTGGCCCGATTATATGCTGATAGATTGCATAATCAAGTTTAGCATGTTTAGAATATCAAGGTCATGCACAAACCTATTAATATCTTTGTTATCTGGACCCAAACTACATATTTTGCGCCTTTTATAAGTGATTCTTGTGTACTAACGAATGATTAGACAGATAGTATCAAGTATTTAAGATGTTCAGTCGAAATTCTATGACTCTAAGATTTTTGATTTTGAAATTCAGTGCATAAGTAGATCAATAATTAGTATTTAGTTTTGTTGCATAATAACTGAAAACCATCTTTATTTTACTGAATCCCCTTTCACACACATGCAAAGTTTTTTTCATTGCATAAAGAATTTCAGAATAAAATGAACACAAGAAGTGACAAAAACTTGTAGTCGATTAAAATGAAATAAGTGAACAATATGTCAAATGTGTTGGTATAATTCTGAAAAGTAGAACAATGATACACAGAATTGTTGTGTAATTGTAGATGAACGTTAATATTTGAAATCGTCAATCAATCATTGTTAGACCACCATTAGAAACCTGGAAGCACTGGACGGCCGTTTCGTCATGGTATGGGACTCATCAACAGTGCGCATCCACGACACCTGCACCCCGCAGGATTCGAGACCGGGACCTTCCGTATTGTTCCCAAACACCTAAGCTCTGAACCACTGAGCCGGCATCCAACGGTGTTAATGTCTAACTCTGATGTTTAGGCGTTCGCTCACAATACCGGAGATCCCGGGTTCGAATCCTGCGGGGTGCAGGAGTCGTGGATGCGCACTGTTGATGAGTCCCATACCAGGACGATACGGCCGTCTTTCAGTGCTTCCAGGTTTCTAATGTTGGTCTAACAATGATTGTCTGATGATTTCAAATGTGTAAAAACACAAACCTCCAAAGCTCTAACTGAAAATAATGTTAATATACCAGAAAATTTTGAAGAAAAACTAGCTTGAACAACCAATGTAGTCATAATTAATCATTGTTGAGTAGATCAATACTAAGGATCAAAATATTATCCACTGGTTCTCTAGTTTTCAGTTAGTTAAACAGTCCAGTTTATTACATAAATTAATACTTATCATTTTCAAAGATATTAAAAATTTAAAACAATTACTATACCATCCTCTCTCTACATTGATATTCTTTCAGATATACACGTAATACAACAAATTTATCCAATCATTTACTTGACATAAATGGAGAATATTATCAATTGGAATGGGAAATGGTTTGTTTAAATTTGTTAATATTAACATTAATGATGAATTAAAACAAAAATGACCAACTGATACACTTTAACCTGCTAGGGTTGATAAGGCAACAACAACTATGATAACAACGATAACAATATATTATCACCCATTTGTATCTTCAAAGGATTATTTTTAAGAATATTACTTCAAAGGTGTAATGAAGTGCAGTTTTCTTAGCCTGATACTAATATACACATCTCCTAAACGCTAGCCCAACCAACTACTTGAGTAAGAAAACCAAGAGTGAATAAGAAGCTTTTATTGGTTGAAAAACGGTCCACAATGTGATTAGGATTGATAAGGAATGACTTTAGAAACATAGTATATTTCAAACGATAATCAGTGAACATAGTGTAATAACACTAAGAAAGTGATGTTCTCGTCAGTTGATACGCTTGATACCTTTACGAGTTCACCCTATTCGGTAAACGGAGCGCAGATAGGTGATGCAGTGACACGAAAGGCTTTTCTAATTGAATTGTTCCAGGCCCCGCTAACAAGACTAAGAAGTCTTGATAAGACCTAGAGAGATTGTAATCACAGGCACTCAGAAAATACGGGGTCCATAAGCATACAACTCAAACTTATTTGTACAATGATAAAACAGCCTTGGTGGCAGCCACAAAACAGCATACTAAAATAATCCATCAACCAATGACAGTCAACGATTTTTCAAGTGGGAAATGTAAGCTGAAGGTCAAATAAGCGTCTTTGGCATGAAAGCATAAAAATTCGAAATTTCAGAATAAATTACAAAATGAGGACCTTTTCCAAGGAGGTACTGGGGGACCTAACGTCACTAAAAGAAAGCAAACTACGGTAATGAATGACACGCATTAGATGAAATTCAACAGACAGAAATATTTGAAAATTTGAAATTAATTATTGCTTAACCATGTCTACGGATCCCCCCTATAGTCTTGATATGTGAAATAACTTTAAATCAATGTAGTTTAAATTCAGCGGACTGTATTTTCAGTAATAATCTAAAATTAAGATCGAAGAGTTACACAATACTCCTTGATTGTCAACAGTTTATTAGCTCATATAGGTCTAGAGTGTGTATTATTATTGAAGAGTTTAAAATCTACACCAACCTGTCGGCTGGATCTCACATTGTCTGCGAATACATGAATAACAAAATCCAGGTTAATTGTGACGTTTGTAATATCCGGCAGATTTGTTGTATCAAATAGTTTCAATCCTTTCTTATCCATCCATCCTGCGAGGAGCAGGAGTCGTGGATGCGCACTGTTGATGAGTCCCATACCAGGACGAAACGGCCGTCTTTCAGTGCTTCCAGGTTTCTAATGGCGATCTAACAATGATTGATTGATGATTTCAAATGTGTAAAAGTATTTGTTATAAGACATTTTTTTATTGAAAAGATGGAAGATAACCTCCTATTTGAATACCATTAGCTGTTTTCGTGCGTATTATAATAATTATTATTATTTATGTTACACAATCATTAGTTCTTTACATAAATGTAAAACATACACATAAAACACAGTGTGAAATTTCATTTCATTCTACTTATATTCAGGAATTTCCTTATGCTAATGATATTTGTCATTTGGCCTATTCATATCCATACACATATACAAATTTAAAATCTGATTTGAACGAATTACTTATCAAAGTAAAACAAAACGACGTATTAAATAAAACAATGAATTGTGAAGTATTATGTCAAACTAGAGCTGGTAATTCATGTTTTCTAGTGACTATAACTGATCAAGGTAAGTTCGTAAGGCAGTATTCATTTTGTGAAAGTATAAACAACTAGCATAAAGAAACTAGTTTGTCAAGAGTTTTGAAAGTGTTGTGTCCGAACTCCTAATGTGCACCGATGACAAATTTGATACTGAGAGAGAAAAAGGTGTCCGATGCTTCTTGGTTTTCTGTGGTCGTTTAGATTGTATCACCAAGTGTAGAACATCCCGTTAATCTAGGCAAAGCCCATAACCAAACTTTCAGTAGTTTGTACTTCACATAACAAGCTGATTGTGCAGAAAAAAAAAATCAAACAACCATCTATTTATAGGATCAAAACTCCTCACCAGTAAGCATTCACTACGCTTTCAGCAGTCGGACGCAGGGAATTCAGGTATTGTTTGGGCTCTAAACCTTCAGATCACCAATGGTTAGTATTAAGATATTCACCAAATATCCTAAGAGTACTATTTTTAGAAGTGTAATCCCATTGGTCGATTTCTATTGGTCAAAATTATGGTCGTTTTAACTGTCAAAGTCAAATACTTCAATGTTGTCTCTGATTGGTCTTCCGGACTGTCAATGTCATCTCAAATGTTCTTTCCTATTGGCCGTCCTAAACTGTCAATGTCACAGACTTTGATGCTCTTTCCTATTCGACCTTAATGTATAAATACGCACTATCTGTGAGCCTTCCTGATTCTGATTCCAATTCAGTTTCTCCTGCCTAACTCTCTTCTGTATTCGACCCAATAAACAAATCCATCCCACGGTGTTGCGTTCTGATATCTAGGAGATTTGGAAATAGCATTTTGAGTCGTATTGGGATATTTGAATTAGACGCCGCTAGGACCGAATAGCTATACGTAGCAGTTTATAACAGTTAGAGACCCTGAATGAAATGGCTCGAAATCGTTTGCAATGGCGCAAGTTCATTCATTCTTTGTGTTCTCTCAAATCCTAAACTTTTTAATTCTTTGTCACTTTATCTTTATCTTTTTAAGTCTATTTCACTAAATTCTACTTCTTGAATAATATCTTCTAATTTTAACCTATCCGACTACTGCTGATACCTTCATTACCTCTACTGCTATTGGATTTAATTTACAATTGCATCTCTGTGGTAATGTGGTATGGCAACATGAATTGATGTACGTAAGTACGAAGTTCTACGTGGCTATTGATTCATTGATTGAGTGAGATCACTAAGTTGATATCCAACAAGACAACTATTGCATTGCGGGGTTGTTGTGAAGATTGTTAAGTTTTATCTGTAACCATGAATCGACCAATGTTAGAGCACCATTAGAAACCTGGAAGCACTGAAAGACGGCCGTTTCGTCCTGGTATGGGACTCATCATCAATGCGCATCCACGACCCCTGCACCCTGCAGGATTCGAACATAGGACCTTCGGTATTGTGTGCGAACGCGTAACCATCGGACCACTGAGCCGGTATCTAACGATGTTAATGTCTAACTTGATCAATTCACTGCTGAGGGGTCCCATACCAGGACGAAACGGCCGTCTAGTGCTCCCAGGTTTCTAATGGTGGTCTAACATTGATCGATTCATGGTTACAAATAAGACAACTATTAAAAGATTCCTAGTTTTCAATAATTGTCTAGCTGTAGTTAATCGTTGATGGCAGTTAAGAAATTCAGCAAGTTTAAACGTTCAATATTTAATACTTGGTTTGTACTATTTTACTTAGTAAAAATGATAAATATTGTTTAGGAAATAAAAATTACAGAATATTGTTGTTGTTTTTTTTTAAATCTTAACTAAAAACAAACAAACAGACATACCGAATAAAGATAAATTTGCAGTTGTAATCACTGCACGTGTACATCCTGGTGAAACAAATTCCAGTTGGATAACTCTTGGATTATTACAATTTTTAACAAGCAATCAAACAATTCCAGTCGCATTGAAAAAACAATATGTTTTCTATATTATTCCAATGTTGAATCCTGACGGTGTAATTGTCGGGAACTATCGGTAAGTTGTAAGATAGATTGATTTATCTTTTCAGAGATAAATACTTGATTTAGACAATTTATGCATTCATTAGCCACACGAGTGTTTTCAAGGTCACCTCTGATGAAGTTCAAGGTCAAGGATGTAGAATAAATTCTCTTATTATTTAGTATTTTGAATAAGCTAACAAGAATTGTGATAAAGAATACATCTGGTATGCAGATGCGTTTAATGAAATCTTTCTTTTTAGTAAGTAGTTACTAAATTGAACAGCATACCATTTAGAATGATTTAAATCACGATATAAACTATGTATGTGCACTATAACTTCACTTAGAATCTTTATAATATCATTCAAAATCATAGATTCATGTGATCCTTTTTTTCATTTTCTTATAGATGTTCATTGTCAGGTAGAGATTTAAATCGTAATTATCGTCAACCGAAAAAAGAAATATTTCCAACTGTATGGACAGTGAAACAATTTGTAAAATGGTGTAAACAGATTTATAAAGTAAGTTATGGAGAAGAAAATCAAATGACAGTTGTGTAAAATTCACAGATGACAAGTATTGAAGAAGCTGACACTTTGAGAAGTTTCGTATCCATCAGTTTATCTCTGATAATTGTTTGAATCTACGCGTTGGGATGATCCATACAACCTATACGAATGAATTAAAGCTCACACCCATTGCATAAGTCAGTGGCTATCCTTACTTAGGAGTAAAGTTAGGCATAGTGAACACTTCAGTGGTTTAGAGTTTAGGCTTTCGTGCACAATACCGAAGGTTCTGGGTTCGAATCCTGCGGGGTGCAGGATGCGCACTGCTGATAAGTCCCATACCAGGACGAAACGGTCGTCTTTCAGCGCTTCCAGGTTTCTAATGGTGATCGAACATTGATCGATTCACGGTTTCAAAATTGTGTAACTTAACAATCTTCACAACCTCGTTATGCAAACTTCAATAAATGCTATACTAAATACAATAGTGATATAGAAAACAAAAATTAGCATAGTTTTCTCATGTCTAAACATCATACGGTATACAATAGAAATAATCAAACATTAAATATCAGATATTCCCATTGTGAAAATGAGAACAATACAGATAATGAGCAAACGATATTGCTGCTTTCAATTATATATCGTCATCAGGCTTTATATTCTAATATACATGATTATATATTTCATATGAAAATGTTAAACCAATCAAGGCAATTCGAGGCCGTAATCACGATGAAATAGATTACGTCACCATACATAATGGGTAAAAGTACAAGTTGATAGCAGGAAAACAGGTGTTATCAATAGTGTTATCAATAGTGTTATCAATAGCTGAACACTGGAAATAGTAGATCAGACATGAATTTAAACTAGTAGTCACAAAACACTAAAACCATTACGTAATCAGAAGTGTGAAGAATATAAACAGAAAGAGGCGTAAAATTGCAAATAGATACAGGATATGAAAATAATGCTAATAACAACGAAAATAAAATAAAACTAAAACTTTTTAAAAATCGTTTTTACAGTTATTTCCAGCCAAGGAATGGATAATTGTGTTGCGAATTTCTTCTGAAAATAGAAAATGGGGTTGAATGTTTCAGATTCCAATGGCTTCTGCTATGTGTAGGAGATGGGATCGAACTCCGTTGGGAAATGATGGAAGTATACGATAGATCACCCGAAATAATTCAGATTAATCTACATTATGACCGCCATCAATCAGATGTACCACGATAGAACTGAGTATTGCTTCTATATGGCCTTTCATAAACCATGCTGGTAGATGCTCACTCACTCGTTGGTTAAGTTGCCCGGTAGTACGTCCGATAGAGCTGCTGAATTTATAAATGCCTTTATTGAAGAGGCCAGTACACCTGTACACCTGTCCTCCATACTATCAACTTGCACTTTTACCCATTTTATGTGGTGACTTGATCTATTTCAATGTGATTATGGGCATAAATTGCCTTGATTGATTTAACATTTTCATATAAATATTCATGTATATTAGAGTGTAAAGCCTGACGACGGCCTAATTTTCACAATGGGAATTTTTAATACATTAGGAATAGTTAGTCGTATAGCAATAGTTAATAGGTTCAATGAAAGCTTATAATCAATGGATTATATGGACATGGTAATCCAGCAACAATCTACTGTGGGAAAGAACCAACCAGACTCCAATGGAGGAGGAAATCAGGATGAAGAGGTGGAAGTGGATCGGACACACACTGTAGAAAGCACCCAACTGCGTCACAAGAAAAGCTCTCACTTGAAACCCTCAAGGTCAAGGAAAAAGAGGAAGGCCAAGAAACACATTACGTCGAGAAATTGAGAAAGATATGAGAAAAAATGAACAAAAATTGGACAGAACTGGTAAGGGAAGCCGAGGACAGAGTAGGTTGGAGAACACTGGTCGGTGGCCTATGCTCCATTGAGCGTGACAGGCGTAAGTGAGTACAGTAAGTAATGCAGAAAACCTTTCCAAAATTGTCAACTTTTGCTACATTCATCTTGATATAATAATAATGATCAAAATCATAAAGTATATACGAATGGGAAAGTCGATTGAGATCAGGTTGTTTAGTTTAATTAAAAGATGAACATGTGCAAATAGTAGAACATTCACTATTAGATAATACAATTGTTGGGGATGTTAGATCCTCAGAACTCGCTTAATAAATATCTTTATTTTGGATTTATTTCATGAACCGATCAGTTAGTTGGCCTTGAGATCACATTTCCCACCAGGAAAATCCTTGGCTGTAATTGGTTACTGCCCCATTTTAGTGTGCTATTTTTGTAACTGTCCCAAGGACCACTCTATGGAGTATAAATAAACGCAATTTGAGTGCTTGGATTGATTATGGGTGTGGGTGTTTGTACAATACAATTTCTACGCTATATCAAGACTTCTTGTTGATACAATTCGGTCAAGGGATCACAGTAGCCTACCTGGACACTGGTTCATTCGACTAAGGTGAACACGTAATAGTTTTAAGCATATACCTAGAGACGAGAGTAACAACAATAGAATCAAGGTTTAATAATGAACTCTTAAATCTCATGAAAATATCTTTTTACTTTTACATATACTACTCATAACTTGTATTTTTCATTGAATGTGTTTTTCTGTACTTTCTTTATTCATTTTCGCGATATATTTTTAAATCAAGGATGTTATTTATTTCGATATGCATGGACATAGTCGACGAAATAATATATTCATGTATGGTTGTGATCCATTATACAGACAATCGAAATTATTCAATAATAATAATAATAATAATAATAATACTAAGCAAACATTACATGAAAGAATACTTCCATATATAGTATCTCAACAAGTTAGTCTAAATTAGTATACACTACTAGTGTGTATTCTTTTTTCTTTGTAAATGTATTTTTTTCTCTTCACATTTTAGATCAATACGAATGTTCAATATATCTGTAACTAACAAAAAAAATAGAGTATACATAAGCTGACAGATAAAAGTATAGTGTAATCTGTAATTGTATTGATCGAATTTTTGTCGATCAACTTATACAGTATAGCAGCATATTTAAGTGTATTAGGTAGTATGTTGAGCAGTTGAGATAGTGGTGAAAATTTGTAGCGTAAGTGAAGGATTATGATGCAGTTGAGTTCTCTGAGCTGGATGGTTTAATCATAGAGCTTCTTTTGTTCTTCCGAACAAAATTAGTACGAATGAGACGACTGAGGAAGGCGAGGAAGATTGTATTATGCAAATTTACACTCTGAGTCAATTAAAAACGAAAACATTACATTGAAGACTCTATTTGCACACCATCATTGAGTCGTGACTTCCAACAATCCATCCTTCTTCCATTCCTGCTGTTGCTTCCTTTCCTTCCTGTTGGTACTCCATTTACTTCTTGCTTTTGCTCCACTTGCTTTCCGTTTTCCTCTTCTGACCGTGAGACTTCTTTCACATCCCTTCTTATACTACTTATATCGTTCGTATAAGTAGCACATACCACACAAACATTAGGCAGAGAACGAAACTCGATCATGTCGAATTGTTGAAAATTATCTAATAACCTAGGTTTCATGTTTGTTGGAACTAAAGAACGTCTACAATATTAAGGGAATTGATAATCTCTCTCTGGGATTAGAACCAAAGTGCTCTTGTAATACAACAAGAGATATTACCAGTGAATGATTTTGTAGAAGACTGACAGTAACTAGTTATTCTTACTAGTTTCTTTGATAAACTAACGCTAGAGATTGATCTGTAAAATTCAATCAAAACTACGATATTTTATTGAATACGCCTTGATTACTTAGTAAATTTTTTAAAGTTATCTTTCTAAACTAATAATGAATTTCTTATAGACAATTGTTACCCAATTTCTTATAAACATAACTTTTTGTTTGAAATAGCAGACGATAGTATATCTGAGTCTTTCATTCTTTTTCATTTCGTCCATTGATTGATAACAAGAACTAGACTAATTAAATGTTATTATTTTCGATTATTGATCCTGTTCAATTTTCAATCCTTTTATTTAATAGTTCATTCAATTGTTTAACCGCCACTTATCTATTTATAACAAATAAATCATAAAATATTATAGTCGTTATTAACCAATGAAAATATTCTCAGCCATTGACCACGCTTGATATACCTGTTAATCAGTAAAAGAAAGAATATATATTTGACACAGGTGTTGTTCAGTGCAATCTTTCTTATATTATATTATCTGATCATTCCACTCAGTAATACTGATATGTAATACACCTTTGAAAATATTCAAATAAGCTTACTTGTTTTGTTTTACTAGTCACTTTGTAGTGAAAGAGAACACTGGTGAGGACAACCGAATTGTATTTATCGCAAATTACAGAGTTACTCAGTAAAATAGGAAAACCATATCGTAAATCGTTAATTTGCAAAACATCAATCCATCATCAATCCACTATCTGATATTTCACTGTTCATGTGTTTCATACAAATTCCATTGTGTTTCCACTCTTCCTTTCTTGATCTTCCCCCATCTTCTGCTGCCAGACATTACGTTTTTACTTGCGTCATATACTACTTATAAGTAGCGCGCACCACAACTTGATCATTTGAAATATTGAACATGTCATTACGTAAAATAATGTCTGGATTATCGATCAACTATAACAAACTTATTTAGATGATCTCATTTTCTATTTTGTGTTCTTTTTGTTTTTTTTTAAAGGCGAAAATGTATTTTTCATTTCCGTTTTGTCGATTCAATGTACATCCAAGTAAAGAAGCTACAAGCAGAGTGGTATTCTGGCGTGAATTTGAATTAATTAATAGTTTCACTTTAGAAGCAACATTTAATGGTTCAACTTTACAAAAGTTAGTTTTGAAAAATAATATTATTAACTTTTCTTATTGATTAATTTTTCAATTATTTCTGTTATTTTATAAGACTCAATTCAAAACAAGTGTATAACATGATTGAACAAAAGACTTTATGTAGTGTCCAATTTTAGTTGCAGAAAAGATGATTTAGATTTATGAAAGAGTATAAAAAAAATTTGTTTCTTAATTTAGTTCAATTATTTATTTATCATCAAACACATTGGTTTTCAGAATTGGATGTTTGAAAGAAAGCAAAACGACTAATTAATCTGTGTAACACATGTTGCTTATTCATAAATACATCATTATTGATTTTTTAAATGACATATTTAAATCAACTAACAGGGAAAAATTTTCAATACCCGAAAAGTACTTAAAAAATATCAAGTAGCTGAAATAAAAATTGACATATTTTTTGTTACACATTTTTGAAACCATGAATCGATCAATGTTAGACCACCATTAGAAACTTGGAAGCACTGTTTAGGCGGCCGTTTCGTCCTGGTATGGGACTACTCAGCAGTGCGCATCCTGCACCCCGCATAATTCGAACTCAGGACCTTCGGAATTGTGCGCGAACGCCCAAACATCGGACCACTGAGCCGGTATCTAACGGTGTTGATGTCTAACTTGATCAATTCACGGAGTTGCGCAACCTCATACACAGTTTTCGGTAGTTACTGTCTACACACGAACAGGTTGAACTTCACTGGTCACGTCTTCCCACTAGGACTCGGGGAAGATTCCTCACGAAGCTAGTCACTGATGAGCACAGGTAATTTGCATTACGGGGTTGTTGTGAAGATTGTTAAGTTACACATAATTTTTGTGCCATTTTCTAATGAGTTAGAAATGTTTCTAATTTATTCTTCTGTGTAATCGTCAAAACCTTCTTAGACAATTAGTCCTATTAAATCCATTCATTGTACTCTCAAATTGGATAAAATTATATGTAGAGAGAGTGCTGTTCCTCCTAAAAAAATGAGTTCTTCTCAGTCATAAACTAGCATTACTGACGAACAAAACACAAGACCGGTTGGAATAGATAAATATATATGAAGAAAACACAGATTGTCTACGAAATACGTGTACAGTTAGCAAATCATCTGTTTGCATGTTCAACAATCCAACCAGATTATTGACTATCCTCTCCTTTCCCGCTTCGGGTCTTTAAATACTCTGGCCCACGTTGTACACTTCAATCACCTGACACTTCTCACTGGTAGCAACTTGTGGGCGACGCTATGCTACATACCACTTACGAACCATCTTATGAGTAGCATTCACGAGACAAGATTTTGTATATATTTGTCGTTGATTTGTGTATTATGAGCAAAAATTCATTTCAGCTGTCATTTTTCATTCGTAAGTATTCTGTAATACTATTTCGTGATGTTAGGTAGTTGCAGGTAGAAAATACCTGATCTAGGTCTCGTGCTAAATGAAACTCATCCTTACAGCTTATCATGAATATGAAATGAACTGATACCAGTTGTAAGATATAAATCTACATATTAGCGAGTTTATCCTAGACTGCTTTTTTTACAATTCTGGAAACTTTCAAAACGACTTAGAGTATATTGTATTACTATATCTTGTTGAAAGAAGATAGTAAAAAAGTTCATAGTTTTAAAAATGCTCGATTTAATTATGACATAGTGTTTTGGATATTTCTTATTCATTATAATTGAAAACATCACATTTGAACTAGTTTCCTTAAATACCCAATCTGACTAAACGGAGTGAATTTATTGAGTGTATAATCACATAACTTATCTTACTGATTTATTTTCGCTGGTTATCTTACAAGGAGCGTAGGCTGCCGACTAGCATTCTCTAACCTAAACTGTTCTGAAACTTTCTTTCCAGTTCTACTCAACTGTTGTTCATTATTTCCATGTATGCTTACAATTATCGGTGTAATGTGTCCTCTGGTCTTCCTCTTTTCCTTTGGTTTTGAGGACTCCAAGTTAGAGCTTGTCTTGTGTTACACATTTGAGTGCTTCCCACAACATGTGTCCTATGCACTCACAGCGCTTTTTTGACTTCTTCCTTAGCTGGAATGTTGTTTGTTCTGTACCACAGTAGGTTGTTGCTGATTGTGTTTGGTCAAAGGATCCGCAAAGTGTTGTGCAGATAACTGTTAATAAAAACTTGTGGATGATGGTTTTCGTGGTTCTCCAAAGTTCCGCTGAACACAGTCGAACTGTGTGTGTGTGTATGTATTGAAAACCGTGGCCTTGCTGTTGGTTGGCAGTTGTTCAAGGTTCCAGGCGTTTTTCAATAGTTGAGATACTGCCTTTGTTTTTGTTAATCAATGTCTCGATATCTGGATCGGATCCGCCTTGTTAATCAGTGATGCTGACCAGAAATGCAAAAGTTTCCACATCTTCCAAATCTTCTGCGTCAAGTGTGACTTGGCTGATGCATGTTGTGTATTATCGGGGAATCTTGCGTGTCACTTGTATATGGTGAGTCCTACTGTTGCAGAGGCTGCTGTTACACTTGTCGCCTTCTCCTGCATTTGTCGCTGTGTGCAAAAGAAGGGCTTGAGCATATGAGAAGTCCAAATCATGCAGCTGCACCAAAGCTGTACACTGTATGCCATGCTGACATCTTCATAATCCATCAACTGCAAGAAGAAAGAGAAAGGGTGAGATTGAGCAATCTTACCTGACACCGGTCTCCATATGCCTGCTGTTAGCGACACTCTGTTTATTGGATATTCAGAGAAGACTGATGCCTATGTCGTCATCACAATTACTAAGATAGCCTTTTTTGGTATTTTGATGAGGTGTCCTTGTGTAGCACGTGTAATCAGCAGTCACTGAAGGGCAGAGAGGATCTAAAATCACAACATACAAGGTTAGTTCAACGCCTAACACCAAGAGAGAACACAAAGTGGTTGTCACGGCACTCTTTTATTTGAAAATCAAATACGCGGGCTTTTTACAGGAATAGGGTGGGTAGTGTACCAATATCTTATGAGTCATCGTGTAGGTTTAGAGCACTCAAGGTTTGTACTTCAGCTTCCAAAGAGTTTGTGTTTGATCGCCCTGAAACAGAAAGTAAACAGAACGAGTTAGCAACATCGTACATAGTGATTTTGACCCCGTTACACCACCCCCTCTCCTAATGAGGCACTGTCCTCAGTGCGCGGTCTCGGACAAGGATATGCTGCTTCTCCTTCAGCCGGTATCTCATAAAACTAATAGCAGGTGGTGGATCTGTGAACCGAGTACCAGCAGGTACTGTAGTCCGATCTGGCTTTATTTGATTGTAGTACACCGTTATTACATCGTCCTGAGGTCGTTGCGGGTTACGTAACACAACAGTCTTGGGGGATCGGATCAGGACGATTTCGAAGGGGCAGTGCCTTTAACGTATCAAATGCCTGTTGACACTCGCTTGTCCATAGGAATTTTTGTCCCTTATATGTAAATCTGTGCAAAGGTGCTGCCAGAGATGCAAAGTCACGAACAAAACGTCTGTAATAGGACGTGAGACCCAGGAAAATGCGAACGTCTTCAGGTGTTTTTGGTTGCGGTCAAGTAACAATGGCACGCGTCTTTTCATTATCTCTACCCACGCCATCTGGGGTGATACGATGTCCTAAGAATACTACTTCTTTCTGCAGCAGACGGCATTTGGATGGTTTTACTTTTAGGTTATGTTGTCTAAGACGTTGCAGAACAGCTTTTAGGTTGGCACTGTGTTGTTCGGGTCTGCTACCGTATACAGTAATATCATCAAGGTAAATCAAACACTTATGGGGCAATATATCTTGTAACACTGTTTTCATCAGTCGCTGGAAGGTAGCCGGAGCATTAGTTAACCCGAAACGCATTACCTGGAATTCATATAAACTATTTGGTATTATAAATGCGGTTTTCTTCCTATCTTGCTGTCGAACTTCCACCTGCCAGTACCCCGATGGTAGATCCAAGGTGGAGAACCAACAAGCACCGTTTAAGGCGTCTAGTGTGGTATCAATGCGCGGAAGTGGAAAAGAGTCCCCTTTAGTTATTACATTAAGGCGTCGGTAGTCTATACATAGTCGGAGCGAGGAGTCTTTCTTCTTCACTAGAACAATAGGTGACGCTCAGGGAGATGATGAAGGGCTTATGATCTTTTTGTCTAACATATCCTTTATCATCGAATCTAGTTGTGGTCGGTAGTGTACGGGTTCTCTACGAGGCGGATGTCGCATGGGCATATGGTCCGCTGTAAAAATAGTGTTGTACTGTATTCGTACGATTTCCAGAAATGCTTTCCTCGAATACAGAATTAAACTGTCTGAGCACAGCCACCGTTGCCCGACGATCAACTTCCTGTATCATTTGGTGGCTTTCTACCTGACGTACCAACTCTGAAATTCCAATGTGAGCTACAGGCTTAGTCGTCCCTGCATACTGATGTAGGTGTACCGTAGCCTTGCCGATTTTCGCTTCTGTCCTATCCATAAATATAGAAACTTTGTGTTTTAACATAAAATCTACGCCCAATATCATGTCCTAGGTTAAGGTAGGGCAAACTAAAAACTCATGAAGAAACGAACACTTCCCCAATGTTAAGTCTAATGCTATCTTATAACACACTTTAAGGGGTTCCCCACCGGCTGTTGTTAACGCAGACGAGCATCGTTTTTGCTGGGCCTTATGGTTTAGTCTCTTTAAGAACTCCTCCTTGATGAGGGATACGGGCGCTTCAGTATCTAAAAGTATTTCAGTCACTACTCCTTGCAATATACCCTTTAGGGTGATAGGGCCGATGTGATTAACATGACAAGAAGATAAATAGTAACGGCATGGCTTACTTGGATTACGGAATCGATTGTGTCCGCATCTCCAAGCGTTTCTTCCAAACCTCCTGCAATAGACAAATTTAGTCTGATGTCCGTGGTAGCTGTTATATGCTGGTCGTCTGTTCCACGTCCACTTTGACCCCCCACTATTAATACGTCGGATGGGAAAGTGTGCAACAGATGCTGCCCTCTTGGAACGATTCAATTGAGAGGTTTCCACCGTCATCACAGAATGTTGATGGGCTTCTGATGGGTTCGACATTCTGTCCGCCGTAATAAATCGGAGTGCCGTTCTCGTAAATTCGGCGGTATTGGCCGGTGGTATTTGAAGTAGGTGTTCTCTTAATGGTCCATGCGCCAACCCTTCAACACAACGGGAGCGTACCAGTTCGTCCCGTCCCGAGGCATCCAAATCAGGAAAAGCCTGCACTGCAATTAGTTGTAAAGCGTCGAGGTATTCTATCGGGCTTTCTCCGGGTTTCTGGTGACGAGACAAAAACTGCATAATCACCTGCTGTTTATCGACAGATAGGGAAAAACATTCGTCCAATATCTTCCAGTTTTGGTGTAACGAATTGGTTGTTGAGAAACCATATGCTGCCACTTTCTTTACCGCGTCATCGCTCAGGAACGACATAAGGTAATTAATATGTTCTGACACCGGCACTTGCTGCAGATATGCTTCCACCCTAGACTTCCAAGCAGCATAATCTGACGAGTTTTCCAAAAGTGGTGGTTGACGCGGGCTACTGCTGGTTGTTGCTCTGGTTGGCAGCACCGGGGGTTCATCTGAGTTTGCGTTGAATTTTCCTGTAGACACCTCCATCACCAATTGTAACACGTGTAATCAGCAGTCACTGAAGGGCAGAGAGGATCTAAAATCACAACATACAAGGTTAGTTCAACGCCTAACACCAAGAGAGAACACAAAGTGGTTGTCACGGCACTCTTTTATTTGAAAATCAAATACGCGGTCTTTTTACAGGAATAGGGTGGGTAGTGTACCAATATCTTATGAGCCATCCTGTAAGTTTAGATCACTCAAGGCTTGTACTTCAGCTTCCAAAGAGTTTGTGTTTGATCGCCCTGAAACAGAAAGTAAATAGAACGAGTTAGTAACATCATACATAGTGATTTCGACCCCGTTACATTTGTTTTCAGTCTGTCTGTACTTGTTCTTTCTCCCAAATGCTGCTGAACAGATCGTGAAACATCTTCACAGTTATTTGTGTATCTATTTTCAGTGCCTTGGCTGAAATCTTATTTGGTCCTGCTGCTTTGTCGCTCTTGGTTTGTTTGACAGCTGCGCTGAATTTTTTGTTAGTTGGCAAGTTAACAAAAGTTGGGAAGTACCTAGGTGCTGCTTCGTGTTTTTCCCAATCCTAACAAGTTCTAGTTTGGGACAAAATAACTCTGTCCAATGTATTTTTATTTTAATATAAGTACCCTAGTTATTGCTCATTACTTTTAAGCTGTATATTTTTAATGTTCAGTTTATGACTATGATATCGATTTATTTGGTTTTCATTTTAGAAATGAATTCTTTTACTGCTGGTGCCGTTGTGAAATATTACAACAGGCATTTATAATATGTATGTACTTATTATGCTAAATACAACTATGTTTATGACTACTATCTAAAAAATAATTTTTGAAATTTCTACTAAATTTTCTATCTGTGTATTTCTCCTCTTTTTTTTCTTCATTAGTAATAATTATCTAATGAAATTTGAAGTGGATGATTTTTTGAAAATGGGTGAAATGTTAGGCTATTCATTGTATAAATTTCATGAAGTCTTATCTAATCCATTGTGAGTTCAATATTAATCGATAATTTTGTTTAAATTATCTATTTTTGATAGAGTGAGATAATCTAAAAAAAATGTTCAATGTTTTCAGTACATATATTATATCCCTTCATTTATTTATTAAGTGAGATCAGTAATATTGAAAGTGTAGTTCTGGCTAAAAGTTTCATTTCATGCAGCCGAACTTATTATCTGTTTCATACATATCCAATGTAATGCAGACAAATTTGTTGAATGCGAAGAAGAGATATAGTAAAATATTAGGTGATTAAATGAAGTCTTTCGGAAACTTGAAGAACTACGAAAGGCATCATCCACAAGATACAAGTGTTTATTAACAGCTGTCTACGCAAAATACTTCGGATTCGTTGGCCAGAAACTATCAGTAACAACCTACTGTGAGAGAAAACAAACCAGATTCCAGTGGAGGAGGAAATCAGGAAGAAGCGGTGGAAGTGGATAGGACACATACTACGAAAAGCACCTAACTGCGTCACGAGACAAGCCCTCACATGGAACCCTCAAGGCAGAAGGAAAAGAGGAAGGCCAAGGAACATATTACGCCGATAAATAGAGAAAGATATGAGAGGAATGAATAAACATTGGACAGAACTGGAGAGGGAAGCCCAGGACAGAGTTGGCTGGAGAAAACTGGTGAGCGGCCTATGCTCGATTGGGGGTAACATGCGTAAGTAAGTAAGTAAATGAAGTCTTTAATTAAAAAAGTAACATTCACTTACCCACTAAGTAAATAGAAAAGAAAAACCCCCCAAATCGATGAGTTTAAAAAGCATAACGAGCTCAAAAATATTACGATTGAATTCAGCACTACAAACGATCTATTTTCAGAGTAAACATATCATTATATTTTGTTTGATAAAAAAATCTTGAAAAGTACTTTTTCATCGACGAAAAGGAATGATCAAAGTAGACTATGTGTATGAATGACGCAATATCAAGTTAGTTTGAATTGAGATTTTGTTTTTTTAATTATTGGATAAAATGATTATACATGAAATTCTGTTGTGTTGTAAAAGTTACGTCATTTTTTTTCCAAATATTAACTTTAACTTGGAATCAATCATAAGTATCATTAGTTGTAAGGATAAGATTGAAAAGAATTTATGTAGGACTAAGAAATAGATTAATTATTTTATTGATTTTCTTCTGATGACTCATTTTCATTTACAATTCATTTCTGACAGAACACAGTCAAGGTCTGCATATTTTATTAATAATGATTTCATGTGTAATGAACGGTAAATGATGTTGATTTGAATACAGTACTTAGGATTATAGAATTTCGCATGAATTTAGAGACGTTTTGTTGACGAGATCAGGTGATTTCCAATTCGAAACAATTAGTGCTGGTTTGAATTCAAAGTAATATCAGGTCGATAATCGACTGGGCTTGGTTAGAAATTCGATATTTTCAATCATAGTAGGATTCACCAACTGACGTTAGATACTTTAGCTCAGTGACATTCCAATGAAAATGGCTTACAGCAAATCTATAGTGATTTAGGGAATAGCCAACGAGAGTTGAAAAAAACTAATTGGATTTCTGAGTGAAGTACAAAAATGAATACAGTTTATCTTTGGTCAGAAAAATTGCGAAATGCAAACAACTCCACACTCGGATAAAATAAGCAGTAAGTCGATAGTAACAAAATATCAAAATGTAAATATTGAAAATAAGCCTGCAGAGAGACAACAAACTTCTATAACGGTTAAACCAAAACTGGTTTGATATGTAGAAATAATCGAATTATTGAATTAAAGCCAAAATATCGCAGTCATTTCCTTACTTGTCGTTCTAGCTTGACCCAGTGGCTTCTAGTCTAGGATAATCCTTATGATAGCAAGTAAATTAATTGGTGTAAGTCTAGCAAATAGAAATGAAAAAACGGATTTTTAGGATTTTTTAGATTGTCCTACATCTAACGACTTTTATTCTGCATCGTACAAAAATCTATGCAAAATTATCCATATATATATATTATCGATAAGAAATGTTTATCTGTATTCTACAATGAACTATTGATCATCTGAAGATATTTCACATCAGGGTTATCAGTCTGATCGATCATACCTTATTGACAAGATAATATATAATATTCCTCACATTTAATCATAAATTGATATAAATATTACACATTTGAAATCATTAATCAATCATCATTGTTAGAACACCATTAGAAACCTGGAAGCACTGGACGGCCGTTTCGTCCTAGTATGGGACTCCTCAGCGGTGCGCATCCACGACTCCTGCTCCTCGCAAACCTCCAAAACTGTGCCCCAATATATCGTAACAGTGCTCACTAGTGACTAGCTTCGTGAGGAAATTCTCGGAGTTCTAGTTGAGAAGACGTGACCAGTGGAGTTCAACCCTGTCGGGTGTAGGCAGTAACTACCAAAGACAAATGGGTGAGGTCGCGCAAAATCCCTAGATCAATCAGAGTTAGACATTAACACCGTTGGACGCCGGCCCAGTGGTCCGATGGTAAGGTGTTCGCCTACAATGCCAAAGGTCCCGGGTTCGAATCCTGCGAGGAGCAGGAGTCGTGGATGCGCACTGCTGAGGAGTCCCATACTAGGACGAAACGGCCGTCCAGTGCTTCCAGGTTTCTAATGGTGGTCTAACAATGATGATTGATTAATGATTTCAAATGTGTAAAAACGCAAACCTCCAAAACTGTGCCCCAATAAATATTACAAACATTTTTAAAAATTATTTGTTCCCCAAATGTCTTAATGATGACATTTTCGACTATGATATTAAATTAACTGTTTTGCTGTCCTTTATCACTTCCTTCTCAAATATTATAGATACATGCATCAAACTAATAAAACAGTTTGGTTAAATGCCTTCTTGTACTTACCAATTCGCTAAAAAAATTCCTGTGTTATTTATTTATGAAGATATTGATAATCAAATTAAAACAATAAAAAATAATCACAAACTTGTCTAATCAATCCTTTTATTTATCAACTAAATTATTAGTTTTGGAGGTTTGCATTTTTACACATTTTAAATCATCAATCAATCACTATTCGACTACCATTAGAAACCCGGAAGCACTGAGCAGTAACTACCAAAGACAAATGGGTGAGGTCACGCAAAATCCCTAGATCAATCAGAGTTAGACATTAACGCTGTTGGATGCCAGCTCAGTGGTCCGATGGTAAGGTCCCGGGTTCGAATCCTGCGAGGAGCAGGAGTCGTGGATGCGCACTGCTGATGAGTCTCACACCAGGACGAAACGGCCGTCCAGTACTTCCAGGTTTCCAATGGCGGTCTAACAATGATTGATTGATGATTTTAAATGTGTAAATCAATAGTATATAATATGTCGATTGTATTATTATGGTTATTATAATTCTTTTTTAATATATTTCAGAGTACTTAGACAAACTCTAACAAATTTAGCAAAACAAACATTTACCAATCTTTTGATGACAAAAATTCCATGGACACCTTCGAATAAAATCGTTGAAGAGGATAAAGGTAATATGATTATTTCATTAGTGTTCAGTAATATATATATATATATATATATATATATATATATATAATATGCTGAATTCATGACTAGAAAACTTATTACTTAAGCTCTCATATAGCGTACATGTTTATACGACAGTTCGGTGTTTAATACATACACCATTGAATATGTTCTAGATTAAATGTCACTGTTCAATGGCGGATTTCATTGTTAAATTATCGAAATAATGACAATAGTCAAAATACAACTTCACTTAGACTATTCCATTTTATTTAAATTTTGTTAAGCGCTCAGTAAATTCTCACTGATTATTCTCATTCTAGATGAGTGATTGAATAATTCCATGTGAATATAATCACTTATTCAACTAATCCTTAATTAAATATTTTGAATTTTGATGATTACTTTTTGTGTACAAGGTTTCTACCTACCTATTCAGTCAAATGAATAATATGTAGATAAGCAGATAAACTCAGTGATAGGACATCATGATCAAGTGTTCAATTTTCAAGAGATAGGATTATTGACTCAACTCTCTTCTCTACTTAGTAAATGTTGGAGATGTTAGATCCCCAGAACTCGCTTGATAAATGCCTTCATTTGGATTCTGCGTTCCCGAGCATGAACTGATCAATTAGTTGACTTTGAGATTTCATTTCTCACCAAGGAAAACCCATGGCTGTGATTGGTTGCTGTTTATTCTAGTGTGCTATTTTTGTGACTGTCACAAGGACGTTTCTATGATGTATAAATAAACGAGAGTTGTGTGCTTGAATGCATTGTGCTTGCTGCGTGTTTGTAGAATATAATTTCTACGCTAAATCAAGACTTTTGGTAAGTCATCGGATCAGGGTAGCCTACCTGGACGGTGGTTCATTGTCTCGTTCACGTTTATCGACTAAAGTGAACCCGTCCTAATTTCAAGCATACCTAGTGACGAACCTAACAGTAAACTAATAACATCACAGACAAAAGAAAAAGATTCGTATCTAGTAAAATAGGATTTTTGTGTACGAATTAATAGCAAACAATTAAGCATGGTTATTAGTAACAAAGAATTGGAGTACATCAGCTTTGAAGGTCACTTACTTGCCAAGGTACTAGTTACCTGTCCCTCAAGCCATACTTGTTCTGGAAATTGATTACTACTTGTAAGTAGTATAATCTATCTTGAAAATTTTGGGCTTACATTTTTTCAAGCCATAAAATAAGACGACATATATATATATATATATATATATATATATATATATATATATATAAAATCAATAAAAAAATCGATAAACTAGATAAAAAGGTATATTTTAAATTTTTGATGCATAAAGAAACAACCATTCAGTAAGAGGCTGTCAATCAAATCGATTCAATTGTCATATCTATTTTCTATTGAATGACTGACGACGACTGGCTTATCTACAATAATCATAATATTGATTTTTTCTTTTATCAATAGATAATCAATCAATCTTCAGTAAAATAACCCGTGCTTTCCTATCAACCGATTTACGATTAAAAGATTTTATCAAACAACATTTACATTCTGCTAATGAGACATTGTTTACATCGACCAATGATAGTTCAACAGCATCAGAAAATGCATCGATTTCATTGAACGGTGTCGATTGCACTGCTTCTGCTGACGATGATGACGAGAACGATGACGAGGATGAGGATGATGATCAGAATGATGTTGATAGAATGGATAGTTCACTGGAACAACTATCTAATGCAATTCATTTGTTAGAAAACTCAACAGAATTTCCGGGTATTCAGTTGAATGAAGATGAATTAAATTCTACAAAAGATGAAGATTTGAATTGGTGAATGAAAAAAAAATTTGTTATTACTTTTGTAGAGTGTGGTGCGCGCTACTTATAAGTAGTATATGACGCGAGTAAAAACGTAATGTCTGGCAGAGCAGAAGATGGGGCAAGATCAAGAAAGGAAGAGCGGGAACACAATGGGATTTGTATGAAACGCATGAACAGTGAAATGTCAGACATTACGTTTTTACTCGCGTCATATACTACTTATAAGTAGCGCACACCGTTTGAAGTTGTATTGCATAGAGAGAGAGACTGTTCGTAGCTTAGCAGTTTTGAAAGAAAAATCCCCCATACATAGTTAGTAGAAATCTAAGTTAACATCTATAAGGATAATTATATCAATGGGGAAATCAAACGAGTTTATCATGATCCCTCATATTAGTTGAATATTTATGATCAATAAATAAAGAAAAAAGTCATTAGATCAATTAGATCAATTGGGATATGATATTTAACTGTATTCAATATTAAACATCTGAAGGAATCCTCTGGTTTAAAGTGGTATATATCTTGTTTGAGCCTTTAGAAAAATAGTGTTACAACTCCATCATTCTGGTCGAGTAATATGGTGGGTGAATTAAAGTTAGGCATTGACACAGTTGAATACCACTTCAATGGTCTGTAGGTAAAGCATGAACTCGCGATGTTAGAAGGTCCTGAATTCAACTCCCGATTTCATGCATGGTTGTTCATACGCACCGCTGGGTAGTCCCATCTTAAGAAGAAACAGTCTTTCAGACATCATATCATTCTAATGGCCTTGATAGATTCCTGAAACTGATCCTAAGTGATCTGCAGTTAGTAACTATTCGAGATGGGAGCTGATTTAAATGAAGAAACATTAGAATACGCATAATAACCTATGAAGTGTCATTAAAGGATTAGGAGTAAGGTTTAGGAATTATAGATATAAGTTAGGATAATGATGAAAGAAGAATGACTTATAGATATATAGGAATGAATTAGGTATTAAATTGAAACTTCGATTTTAAATCTTAAGAGCGCTGAATTTGTTTTGATAGGTTTGTCAGTTGTGAAAAAATGTTATATATCTTTTTTTTCATGAAAATATACTCAATTTCTTGAAGTCATTCCTCATAGTCACTTATTTTTATTTGCATTACTGGGTTGTGAAGATTGTTAAGTTACACATTTTTGAAACCAGGAATCGATCAATATTTGACCATCATTAGAAACCTGGAAGCACTGCAGGACGGCCGTTTCGTCCTGGTACGGGACTCTTCAGCAGTGCGCATCCACGACTCCTGAACCCCGCAGGATTCGAACCCAGGACCTTCGGTACTGTAGGCGAACGCCTAACCATCGGACCACTGAGCCGATATCTGACGGTGTTAATGTCTAACTTGATCAATTCACGGAGTTGTGCAACCTCATACACAGTCTTCGGTAGTTACTGTCTACACCCGAACAGGCTGAACTTCACTGGTCGCGCACTGCTGAGGAGTCCCATATCAGGACGAAACGGCCGTCTTTCAGTGCTTCCAGGTTTCTAATGGTGGTCTAACATTGATCGATTCATGGTTTCAAAAATGTGTAACTTATTTTTATTCTTTAGTCCTGTTATATTTATCGATTTCAGGTCTTTACGTGATTAAATATCGTTTGGTTTTGGCTTCCTCCTAAGTCTGTTTGATGTATCCCTTACTGCGTATTGAATTTCGGTCATAAGTTTAAAAGTCACCGCTATCTTAGATTTAATTGCTTATTTGGTTTAGCCCATTTCCTTCCACCACTCTCATACGAATGCTACATTTATAATAAATGTACATGTGTACATGTTCAAACTAATGCTTGGTAAATACGATACAAAATATTGGTTTAAAAAACTCAAATAATAGTAGTAATAATAATCAAATTATAACTTATGTTTCATGAGGTGATGTTAGCTGTTGTGACCCTAAACAGTTTAGTACAGTGCATATCATTATTCATAGAAAATCTAAGGAGCTGAATTAGTAATCGATTTTGTCACCCAATTTATGTTTGTACTATTAAACAATCAGAAACTTAGAAGATAACAGTCGTAATCCATCATAGTTAATTTGCACTTTAATACTATAGAGAACAATCAATATAGAATGAGACTGTCAGGCATGGTAGCCTTCAATGTTGACTGAATTGATCGATATTTATGTATGTGATTACTAATTTTACAAGGGGAATTCAATAAATTAAATAAGAAAGACTAGCTAATAGATGAGTTCTGTTTTGAAATGATATGTACAGTTCACAATTATTTAAATTTACACTCATTTGTCAAGAGTAATTTTACATTGGTTTTCAAGTGAACCAAGGAGACTGTTCACGTGTTGACATTTCAATGTGAACTGTTCGGCTCAATCCCGTGGTGCAACCACACTGGTACTTGACACTCTGTTGGATCATTCACACCATTTATGTACACTGGTACATATATAGCAATTATTTCCGATCCCTGATCGCATCAATCAATATGGACCGCATGAACAGGTTAAATCGACCCATCCGGCTTACATGACTGTCAAACCGGTTATTATTAACAATAGTGATATGCAACATAGCACCCCGAGGACAATGGCCTTCGAGAATGTTGCAAAACAACCACCAGTATCAATGAAATCAGTCACCCTGTTAACCAGTTTTGTATATGCACTTTAAGCAATATTTGCCAAAGCAATGCCAAGCCATCCATAATATTCACAGCGAACCTCTGGTTTCATAGGAAACCTTCAGTTCTATATAGCAGTATTAGTATGTGGTATACACTCAGTATGGCATAGGATAGCAAGAGATGCAGCTCAGTTTGATTTAAATGGACTCAAACACTCTTACTACCCTTTGTCTCATGTCGAGTAATGATTTTTTCGCAATACAGGAAATTTTGCATTTTTCGACCATATGAGACCTGATTTAGGGGTAGTAAGTATCCTTGATATGTACAGACGTAAATATAAAAATTATTTTTTAAATGAGAGCTTTATATTTCCGATTTTGTCGAAAGTATAGACTAGTTAGTTTAGGATGTTAAGTGATTGGAGGTAGTTAAGATGAGCGGCTATGGGCCTAGATTTTATACTATTTAGCACTTGTCAACAAGATGTATATTCACTTTCGATGGAATATGTACTTTTATTGAGGCATAACTTAACAGCATTCAAAGGTAGAGTCATAAACTTTTCTAACTAAGCTTATTAAGACATTAGTATTCATATGACATCGAAGATGGTTTTATGGATAAGGAATCACAAACTTATATTTGAGAAAGATGTTTTATGTGAACGCTAAAGTCAGAGAGTTGTAGAAGAATATAATTCAAAACTTTAGGATGACTTTATTATAAAGGACATTAAAATTAGTATTCACTAACAGATGTAAATTTTTTCAATAATTTTAAAGACAATCTATCTCATCTCATTACTTAATATTCATATGTTAGCTCACCTTTTCGTGGAACCAATTAGATTAACAGTTTCACATAAGTTAATTTACGCACTGCTATATGAACATTATTGTGTAATGAAACAACAACAGATGTAGAAAAAGTACGTTTATGTAACACTGTCAACATTAGATACTCAGTTAAAACGCATTCCTAATTGAGATTTCAATGAAAGGAGACTTAACAAAAACATTTTTTGTAAATAAAGGAGAGATAAAATTAACCTAATATGAAAAGAATAAGAAAGGGTAGGAAAATTGTCACATTACTCTAGGCTTAAGGATTACCAAGGTAAATTCAAGGTTATGACAAATTGTTTCTGTACACATAAAGGAGGTTTTAACTTTCTGATAGCCAAGGCCTCCATAAACCTCGAAATTCGTCCTTCAACATTTCTATACAATGTTTTGAAGGCTGTCTTGATGTCAATCTTATGCCCTGTCTCAATTATGTGTTTGGCGATCGATGAACATGGTTTTCTATTTCCAACGTTAATCGGCTCATCTGACGTTAACTGATTTTGAAGCCACTTAGGTATTATAATGTTCCATAACCCTTGATTGCAAAGTCCGATTACTCCTCCCTATGTATATGTGTCCACACAAACATGTAAATTGATAAATGCAATGTTTCAGCAGTAATAACGCCCCCTATTACATAGTAGGGTTAGATATTAAAAAGAAAAATTCATTTCACCTTTGGTCCTACAATGGGACAAATTTTTAGTTTCACACTTCTCAGCTTCTACTTTGTGCCATTACTTAAGTTAAATTAATTTATTCACTTTTAATGTTTTGTCCTGATCCAGTTCCATTTCTAAATTCATTCTAGTACATATTATCATAAAATGTCGGAATTGTTATTCTTTACTTAGTTTCCACTATACTGTTTGAGTAACTTTTCCAAAGCACCACAGCAATTCCATTTTCAGTTTGCTTTTGCGTTTTTATTATTTGGAAGTGAGAGAGTCATCACCGATGACGTCGATTAATGGTCAAAAAACATTGTGAATGTACCTGATTTGAAGTTAGAATCAACTTAAGAACTATTGAATATTTGAAAACATTAATTATTTTCTTCAGATGGTATTGAAGATATTAGTTCAGATCAATAATTTTGCTATGGCCGTGTTTTGTCATCAATAAAAATTGAAGGTCAATAGAACAAGCTGTTGGTTAAATTTGAAGAAATTCGAATAATTCGGTTATCCCCGAAGTTTTTACTCATAGTGTTGTCTCAAAGGATAATGAAAGTTTCAGAAATGAACCAGCCAACTAAGAGGATGAAGCTCCATCGGAGTTATCCTTTTGAACAACAAATCTTCACCACTGGAAGTATTTACTTAGACATTTCAAGTGTTCAATAGTTCATTGGACAGTATAACCCCATGATTAAAATGAGTTACTTACTGGACAATCTCCATAGGTTTGATTGATTAACAATAAAAAGTAAATTGGCCTGTTGGTTCTCTAACTAAGATCAGTTCATGATCTCAATAACAGTTAAAAATTTTCAAAAACACCCATAGTACTAACTATCATGCACCTGCAACTGAATAACTTCAAGAGGCATTCCTAGGAGTTACAGATTGAAGCTGTAACCAGTAAAGTTCAGCCAAGCTTGATGTGAATTAGATATCTCATTGTGAAAATTAGAACAACACATATAAGCGAACAATATTGTTTTCGATTAGATCGTCGTCAGGCTTTACTCTAATATACATGAATATTTATCATGCACCTTTGACCTACTTTAGTTATAATATTTTATAAATTTTCCTACTGCTATCAGTACTCACCTGTCTTCCTACTACCCACTTGTGCTTTTGCCTTTTTCATTTCATTGTGATTATCACTCAAATTGCCTTGATTGGTTTAACATTTTCAAGTATAAATATTCATGTATATTAGAGTAAAGCTTGATGACGACCTAATCGAAAACAATAATATTGTTCGCTTATATGTGTTGTTCTAATTAGATATCTACCAAGAATAGTGGGAGATGGTTGCGCATTAATACATACTGATTAAATTTAGATATGTCCACCATTTTTTGTCCTCAGTTTATTTATGAAACAAAGCAAACATATGTATTAATTTATCATGGACTAGTAACCAATCCGACATTTGTACAGTTCCAGGCATAGGATGAATTTTAATGATCAAGTTACACTGTAGTCACTAGTATAAGTACTTAGATATATTTCTGTATTTAATACAAGATGTTAGGATCCATTGTATCTAGGTTTCGCGTCAGTTGGGATTTGTTGATGAGTCATATCTGTAATATTGACAAAACTTGTGCTCCCTGTAGAAGTAGGACCTGAAACATCCAGCACTGAAGTCAAAGTTGTTACCAATGAGTTATATGTGTGTCTCATTTATGAATATTATTATTGAGGAGTAATTTCTGTCACTGAGAATTTGAAAAGCTCCAAGTATCACAGCTTACAGTTAAAACGTCAAAACACTTATGGACCACTGAGCCGGTATCTAACGGTGTTAGTGTCTAACTTCGATTAATACATGGTCTTGAACATGCTCATCCATTGCTTCACACCCAAGCAGGGTTGAACTCCACTAGTCACGACTTCTCACTAGAACTAAGAGAAACTTCCCCACAGAGCTAGTCACTAGTGAGTACAGCATAATTTGCATGAGAGGATTGTAGAGATTGTTGAAATCATGAGTCGGTCAATGTTAGACTACCATAAGAAACCTAGAAGCACTGGGCGGCCGTTTCGTTCTGGTATGGGACTCATCAGTAGTGCACATCCACGACTCCCTGAATTCGCAACATTGGAACCCGGAACCTTCCGTCTTGCACGCGAACGCCTTACCTTTGAACCACTGAGCCGAGTCATGAAAGTTTCAGGAGTCATGGATGTGCACTACTGATGAGTCTTGAACGGTCGTCCAATGCATCCAGGTTTCTAATGCTAGTCTAACATTGATCGATTTATGATTTCCAAAAGTAACTCAACAATCTCCACAACCTTGTCATGTAAAACACATCTAGATGAATTGATCTATTCATTAGTGTACTCAGTTTAAACCGAGAAGATTTTTTGACGGCTACCTTGTTCTGCTTGAAATTCTGTAAAGTTTATAGGGTCAATTAAGTGATTTTTTGGTACTACAGTTATTTTCTTATCGTATGAATACAGAAAACTATCTTTTTTTCTACATATTCCACATTTGAATTTAGTACATCAGATTCAAATTCAGACAGTGAACCAGAAATGTCAATAACTATTCAAAACTCTCTAAATCAACATCATAGTTTACGAGGTGATGATATAATTTTCACCAATGAAGAACAAAATATCCTCCTATTAGATCAAACAAAACAATTAAAATTATCTGATGACAATCCAAATGACAATTTAAACAAATCACATAAATTGAAAAGAAGAAAGAAGAACAAAAAGAAGAAGTTACAAGCACTTCGTCATCATCATCATCATCGCATTTTTCCAATGCAAAAATATTCATCTAAGAATTTGGCATCAATTGATAATCAAACTACTTACAATTCCATACAAAATTCAAAATTATTATCATCCTCCTCATCCTCATCATCACCACCAGCATGCCTAGCAGTAGTAGATGAACAAAGAGATTGTGATAATAAATTATTCAAGTGTGAGATGATGAAACAAAAATCTCAGGTAGTTAGTTAGTTCATGTTATGCATGCTTGTGAAAACCATGTTAATTGATACGTTTGAACTATGAAAAGTTTACCTTAGTTGGAAAACGAGAACGAGGATCGATGATCCAGCGGCATGTCAGGCTACTCGAATCCGATTGTCCCAAACCCCGCCCTCATTGAGTAAAAGAAGAAGACTTGATACGAAGTAGAACATGTATTCTACAAGCATCCAGAAAGTACGAGATCCGAGTCCAGAAGAGAATCAGTATCTCGGACTAGGGATCCGGGTCCGAGTCCGGGTCATGAAACGTTGCAGATAATGCGTATGTATACTGTTAAGTCGAATAGGAAACAACATTTGAAGTATGTGACATTGATAGTTAGGACGACTAATAGGAATCGACCAATAGAATGAGAGTCATAACAACAATTCTCTTAGGATAGTGGATGAATATCCTAACAGTTCAACTTATGTGTATGAGTGTTTTACTGACATATTTTATTGGTTAATTCATGTTCATATCGATTTATTGATTGATTGATTTTCTTATTTTGATCATTGTCAATAATAAATCATGTACTTGTATTTTATAGGGCGCATGAAGTATGTCTAACTAATATTATTGAATAGTAGTTTAGTTAAGGTTACTTAAAATAGTTCATAGCTGTATATTTATATATTTGAGTTAGAACAATTATCAATGGACAGTGATCAGATGACCCAATCAATCGATTTGTATCAAAGATAGTTTGTTTTTTTATAGATAGGTAGGTAACATAAATGATATTTTGCGATTGTTTTGGACAACATGTTCGCTCTTAATATATGAACTTGTGTTACATTGGTTTGGGTGTTTGCAGTTCGTTAGATTTGTATTTCATCTGCTTATGAAATCATGATTTTGGCTAAATTAGTAAAAACAAAACAGTCTGACTAATATCATCATCGATTAATTAATTTGTTAATAGAATACGTTTGTGTGTACTAATAAGTTAGTCAGTAATGAATGATCAATGTATTACGAGTTTCTCTTTCTCTTGGTGATCGACTGGACTATGAAGACGTCGACATCTGGAGGGAAGCACGGTGTCAACTGGACAGTTAGGACGCAGCTGGACGATCTGGACTTCGCAGATGACCTGGCTCTTCTATCTCACACGCAACAACAAATGCAAGAGAAGACGACCAGTGTAGCAGCAGCCTCTGCAACAGTAGGTCTCAACATACATAAAGGGAAAAGTAAAATTCTCCGACGCAACACAACATGCACCAATCAAATCATTCTTGATGGAGATGCCTTGGAGGACGTTAACACCTTTACATATCTGGGCAGCATCATCGACGAGGAAGGTGGATCGGATGCAGATGTGAGGGCGCGGATTGGCAAAGCAAGGGTTGCATTTCTACGGTTGAGAAATATCTGGAACCCCAAAAAACTTTCAACCAAAACCAAAATCATGATTTTCAATACAAATGTGAAGACAGTTCTACTGTATGGAGCGGAAACTTGGAGAACTACGAAAGGCATCATCCAGAAGATACAAGTGTTTATTAACAGTTGTCTACGCAAAATACTTCGGATTCGTTGGCCAGATACCATCAGCAACAACGTACTGTGGGAGAGAACAAACCAGATTCCAGTGGAGGAGGAAATCAGGAAGAAGCGGTGGAAGTGGATAGGACACACACTACGAAAAGCACCAAACTGCGTCACGAGACAAGCCCTCACATGGAACCCTCAAGGCAAAAGGAAAAGAGGAAGGCCAAGGAACACATTACGCCGAGAAGTAGAGAAAGATATGAGAGGAATGAACAAACATTGGACACAACTGGGAAGGGAAGCCCAGGACAGAGTTGGTTGGAGAAAACTGGTGGCAAGCCTATGCTCGATTGGGGGTAATAGGCGTAATTAAGTAAGTATGTAGTTCTGTAGATGACATTTATCAAAAAGTGTCATCCAGGGCTGTAACAAAAGCTACTGTGAACTGAACAGCAGTCTAGAACTCCTTAGAAATCGGCAATAACAGCCTGTTAGCAGGATATAGATTGTAATGAAGTATGTCCATTATTGGATTATATGTTGAAGCACGCCAACGGGCGCATTCCCAGTAGTTAATTAGCTTTAGTGGATAGCTGGAAAATGTTCACGAATATATTCTTGTGTAAAACTTATAAATATGTTAGCTTTTTTTTTGCTACTGTGATTCCCTAAAATTCAATTTCATTTCATTTTAAGATATGATTAACTACCTATCCATGCTGTGTTCTGATTTCGGGGACTAGGGTTCAAAGAATACTAAGCATTAAAATAACTGGATTGTATGCGTGAGAAAATTAACACAACCTCATAAATGTGTAAGTAACGGTAGATAGGTAGGTATAGGTAGTAAATGTCGCCAAAGTGGCACTCCCTTACGACCTTATACAAGACCGAAATAAAGGAATTTCACTTTTATGATGAACAAGAGAGTCAGGATCCAAAAGTTCATGGCCACAGTTTCAGTGAATTTGTGATCACGTACTGTGACTTAATATTTCATCAACTAAATTAGTGAGAATGTAAATAATTCACGGTTGATTGATACAAAAATACAATTGAATAGAAATGATTTGTATACAGTTCAAAAGATTAGATGATTGTGTGTACACACATAGTTCATTTTGAATAGTCTATCCGAAATGAATAAAATACTGTCCAAATTATTGATCTCTTTTTCAGAAATGTCAGTTCAATTAGAACTATTATGCCGTCAGTGACGGTCAAAACCGGATATTTTAGCTCAGAGTTACTTCATAATCTAATTAATTTTCTATTTATGTACATACTTTATATATTATAGAATGATAAAGAATTATTGAATCGAAGATTTTATTATCTGAATAAATATGCTGGACAATCAAATCATGGTATACCATGTTTTGTTGAAGAAAGACTATTTCATCGTTCATGTCAGGTACGTTTATATACATATATATATTACTGAAATTATGAATCACTCATTATTAGACTACCATTAGGAACCTAGAAGCACTGGACGGACATTTCGTCCTGGCATGGGACTCATTAGCAGAGCGCATCCACGACTCCTGTGACTAGCGGGATTCGCACTCGGGACCTTCGGGCCTTGCGCGCGCGAGCCTAACCTCTGCCTTACTGAGACTGCATCCAACGAAGCTTAATGCTAACTCTGATCAATCTACATATGATGGAGATGTTAGATCCCTAGAACTCGCTTCATGAATATCTTTATTTTGGATTTATTTCATGGACCGATCAGTTGACCTTGAGATCAAATTTCTCACCATGAAAATCCTTGGCTGTGATTAGTTACTGTGTCATCTGAGTGTGCTATTTTTGTGACTGTCCCAAAGACATTATAGAAATACTTGGATTGGATTCATTGTGAGTGTGGGTGTTTGTAGAATAAAATTTCTACGCTGTATCAAGACTTCTTGCTGATACAATTTGTTCAAGGGATCACAGTAGCCTACCTGGACGCTGGTACAATGTTATTCGACTAATGTGAACTAGTAATAGTTTAAGCATACCTAGAGACGAGCGAAGCAACATATATAGACAATTTCTAGTTTTTAACAGAGAATCTGAATACTGTCTCATTTCTTACTTTTTTTTCTAATGAATGCATTATAACTGGTATTCATTAAAATGGTTCAGTGGAAAACAATTTGATAGACTGTCGATGATACATCAATGTAGTGAACGGATTCGGCTTTCTATCATTACAACCAAGTTGAAGTACACTAGTTGAAACACCTTTATCTATCTGCCTGAAAATAGAAGCCACTTGATTACTGTGTTGAAATGCTTTTTTTTTGAAATTGTTCACAAAAATAAGATGAGCTTCATTAAATTAAGTAAATCTTACCTGATTGTATTTTTTAATCAACTTGTGGTGCGCGCTACTTATAAGTAGTATATAACGCGAGTAAAAACGTAATGTCTGGCAGCATATGGGGGAAGATCAAGAAAGGAAGAACGGGAACACAATGGGATTTGTATGAAACGCATGAACAGTGAAATGTCAGACAATGGATTGATGTTTGCAACAGTCCAGTTCGATATGATGGATTGATATTTTGCAAATTAACGATTTACGATATGGTTTTCCTATTTTACCAATTAACTAAGTCATACTTTATGTGTATTCAATAGATAAGAACCTTGTCGAATATATGATGTATTCATTATTCCAACCAGTCAGACTTTAAATACCTGTATTTAGAAAAAAATTAAACGTATGAAAGAAAACTGTAGATAAAGCAGTAATAGTATTAGTCGTGGAGTCATGGATGCGCACTGCTGATGGGTCCCATACCAGGACGAAACAGCCGTCCAGTGCTTCCAGGTTTCTAATGGTGGTCTAACAATGATTGATTGATGAAATCAAATGTGTAAAAACACAAACCTCCAAATCTCTGCCCAAAAATAGTATTAGTGTTCCTTTTCTTTGGCATATTATCATTTTTAAATTGATGTCATTCAATTTAAATTATTATCAAGTTCGATCGCTTATGACTGACTGATTAACTGAGACTAGCTGATAAATTCATGTTATTAATGTATAACAAACTACATATCATTTTATCTTTGTTTTTGTTGGGGACATTAGATCTCTAGAACTCACTTACGAAGGTCCTAATTTTGTAATGTTATTCTGAAATTTAGAATTTCCATGTTTCCCCCTGGGAAATCCATGACTGTCATTGGTTGATGGATTATTTAAGTACGCTATTTTGTGGCTCTACCGAGGGCTTGTCTATCATTGCGTAAATAAGCTTGATTTGTATGCCTAGATACCTCAATCTTTCTGGATGAGACTGTAGAATACATTCTCTAAGCCTTATCAAGACTTCTTGCTTTAGTTAGCAGGACCCAGGGACAATTGGATTAGAACAGCATATCGTGTCACTGAGTCATTGCTCTTCATTCCGTTTACTGAGTACAGTGAACTCATGATAGTTTCAAACATATCGATTGGCGAATAAATCACTTTTGTACAAACATTCAGAATCATTAGAAAAACATTTACTTTACTAAACAATATTTTCTGATTTTATAGCGAATTCGTACAGTTTGGGAAAATACCGATCTAACTAAATCACAAACAATACACGCACAACGAGTAAGAGAAATTTTTTTTCTATTGTTGTTGTGGTGGTTTTTTCTGCTTCTCATTGTATTCACAGTAAATCGATATGATAAATCTTTTTTTCTCTTTTATCAATCAATGTCATTGGTTAATCATTTGAGTGATAGATTCATCTGGAAAGTCATCATTGATTTTATATATGCGCATTGATTTCACTTAAACATACACAGATATCACCATTGGTTAATTGTCATCAGATAATAGTTGTGAATCGATTAAAATTTAAAAATATATAGAGAGACAGGATTAAATTCCGGTCCTAATATGGTGAAGGAGATTTTTTAATTCACGAACATGATTTTGTCGGAGTTGCTTTCGCTAATCTGTGTAGTTTTATCATAATGCTTTTATTATTTTCCGGGATAATAATTATGACCAGCACAAATTTCAGATCTACTTCTTTCTATCTTTTCGGGCAGAGTTTTGGAGCTTTTGTGTTTTTACACATTTGAAATCATCAATCAATCATTGTTAGATCACCATTAGAGACCTGGAAGCACTGGACGGCCGTTTCGTCCTGGTATGGGACTCATCTGTTGGGGACGTTAGATCCCCAGAGCTCACTTGGAAAAGGTCCTAATTTTGGATTTTTTCTTAATGTTTTCGCGCATAAATTGCTTAGTTGACATCCAGCTTACATTTCCCATTCGGAAAATCCTTGAATGTCATTAGTTGATGGATTGTTTCAATAGGCTATTTTTGTGGCTCTCTCAAGGACGTTTCTATCATTATATAAATAAAATCAATTTGTGTGCTTGTCAACCCCGTATTTTCTGAGTACTTCTAGAATACACTTTCTAAGCCTTATCAAGACTTCTTGATATAGTTAGCCACGCTGAGGACAAACGGATTAGAATAGCCTATTGTGTCACTGCATCGTATGTCTTCGCACTAGTTTACCTAGTAAGGTGAACTGATAATAGTTCAAACATATCGGTTGACCAGCATATCACTACACTGAATTCCTACTGAGTTGTTATAATCATAATATCGACTTACTTGTTTCAATCATAATATGAGAATAATTAAGTAATTTGCTCATTTAAAGTACAAAATTATATACACAACTTTTAATCATATAAAGAAGGTAACGATATGACTTAAGTGAATAAACTACAAACTAGATCAATCAAAATTTGAATATTCTGCTCATATTTCATTATTAAAAACAAATTATTTGTTCAATAGTGAATATGAGTTCATGATGAAAATTTATTCAACTTCACAAATTGAACAATCAACACTACATGAACAATATTAATAAGTTTATATTTTAAATAAATTAATTTCATTATGATTCTATTTCTAGCTTAGCATAATATATATTGATTGTCAGTCAGTCAGTTGCAACGTAGAACTTCGTACATATGTACGTAAGTTCATGTTGCTATACCACATTAGCATAGAGACGCAAGATAAAGATAGTAGAGGTACTAATGGTAATGAAGAAGACTAGGGTTTCAAGATAGTATTCAAGAAGTATGATTCAGTGAGATACAGTTAGAAAGACCGAGGCTGCTTCCCGACCGAAGCTGCTACCTTGACGTGGTGGTCGGGCTTGACTATCGTGATGACCCAGCCAAACTATACTGGCTGGAACATATGTTCCTGAAGGTTCTACCATGCCAGACAGGTCGACTGCAGAATGATGAGCTAATCAAGGTCTGAGGGTGAAGTCGTACTGCTGACTGCAGAGAGGTGTGACAGCAGTAAGGTGTTTCCTTCGGATAACCAGCATCTGCAGCGATGCTGCCTTCTCACAAGGAAGGAAGGGTTAGAAAAGGTCGACCCTAAGAATGTCACACCTCACCCTACCTCACGGATTTCTGTTTCCGTCGGTAAGGGTGCCCACTAAGGGCTTTCAAGAACGGAGCTAATACTCAAAAAACCTTTCATAAAAGGCCGTGCGTGACCGGTCTCAAGTAGTTGTCCCTTGGGCTCTGCGGTCACGCTCCCAGGTCGTTGAGACGAACGCTAATCTACCTTCCTTTTCAGGTTCCTCAAGAAACAACCTTCCGCGATGTGGGCAGCCTGGAAGTGACAACCACCCTCATACCCGTAACAGCACGAGAGACCAAATTGGTCAAAATCAAATCATTCCTACACCCCCTAATATATTGATTGTACTAATAATAGAATAAGATATAATTAAAAATTATTATTATTATTATTAGATAATGTCGACAGTGAATGCTTTAAATAGATATTAAACTGGACAAAGATTAAAATTTAATCAATTGTATTTAGTTCAATGATAAATAATCATAGAATAATTAAATAGTCTGTTATAATTAAGTTCAATAAGCATTGAACAAGGAGGTTGTTTGATTTTTTGTTTCAGTTCGAAAATTTCTTACCTGGTTACGTTTCACATCACAATGTTAATTATTCATGATAAGTTTTTTAAATTTTAGCTTATATCTAGCTAACTAATTAATGCCTAACAATATCAAATTACCATCGAAAACCCCCTAATAAATTTATCACTGTTGGGGACGTTAGATACTCAGAACTCGCTTGATAAATGCCTTAATTTTGAATTTTACGTTTCCGAGCATGGGCTGATCAGTTAGCTGACTTTGAGATTTCATTTCTCACCAGGGAGAACCCATGGCTGTGATTGGTTGCTGTGTATTTTATTGTGCTATTTTTGTGACTGTCAATAGGACGTTTGTATGATGTATAAATAAACGAGATTTGTGTGCTTGAACGCACTGTGCTAGTTGGGTGTTTGTAGAATATACTTTCTATGCTAAATCGAGACTATTGGTTAGCCATCGGATCAGGGTAGCCTACCTGGACGTTGGTCCATTGTCTCGTTCGCGTTTATCGATTAAGGTGAACCCGTCATTGTTTCAAGCATACTTGGTGACGAACTTAACGGTCACTATAGACAGAATTAAAAAGCAGCCATATAGCAAAAGAGATCACTTAAATGCCATTGTAAATATCGCGAACAGAGAGACAGAAGAAAACTTACTCCACATTATAAAAAGAGCATTTATGATTAATTTATCAATCTCATTTACAATTCTATCAACACAACCACAACTACAATTCATGTTCTATTTTTCTTCGTTTTTCACTTATATTTCAGAAATTTGTAGAACGATTTATAAAAAACGTAAGTTTAGTCAATGGGTAATGCTTTTTTTGATGCTTGATAAATTACATCACAGACTAATTTTAACTGAACACACATTGGAAATCAAGGACGAACTAGAACAGTAATTTTTTCATGTTTATAATAAGCAGTGAGAATTTATGACCACATTTCGAGATAGAAGAAACTAAAGTTTTCGGGTCTCACAGCAACTGCATAATTCCTAAAATTCCACTGTGATGTCGTCTATAAAATTCAGCAAAATGTACAAATCTTCTGCAATAATTTTTTTAATGTTTCTGTCCAATTTCCCAATGATTTTATTAATTTTCCAACTGATTTATTTATCAAAACAACGTAGTAGTTGAAACAAAGATTCATAGTGTTGTGGATTGTACAGATGTGAAAAGTATGTTATACTTAAAACACTTTACATATACAAACGATAGCAAAGACAAAGGTATGTATATATATCATCAATCAGTCATTGTTAGACCACCATGAGAAACCTAGAAGCACTAGATGGCCGTTTTATCCTGGTGTGGGACTCATACGCAGTGCGCATTCATGACTCCTCTTACTCACCGGATTCAAAACCGGGAGCTTCGGTCTTGAGCGCGAACGCTTAACCTCTGGACCACTGGGCCGGCATCCAACGGTGTTAATGTCTAACTCTGATCAATCTAGGGATTTTGCGCGACCTCACGCATTTGTCTTTGGTAGTTACTGCCTACACTCAACAAGGTTGAACTTCACTGACTAAGTCTGTTAACTAGAACATTGATAATTTCCTCACTAGTGATCACACTATACGATTTTTTCACTTAGAGATTCACTCATTGAAATCATCAATCAATGATTGCTGATGAGTCCCATTCACCAGGACAAAATGGCTGTCCAGTGCCTCCAAGTTTCTAATGGTGGTCTTACAAGGATTTATAGGATTAGTCAAAAAAATCCAATGACTTTGTTTTGATCATTAACAAAAATAACTAACTGTTCAATTATAAGTGAATGTCTTGACATCTATTGGTTCATGTAAATCCTCCTATCGCTAGACCTCAATCAGAAAATGAAAAAGTGTGGTAGACTCAATTAAATAAATCAAATTGTGTGTGAGGAATGGCTGGTTTTATTGATGAATTTTTCATTACTCAATTAATTTTCATCATGAGTTGTATGTTAGTGAGAAGTTATTACGAATGAAATCGTTCTAGTTGATTGTCACGCAACTACTTCAGGTATACTGATCACTACAATTGGCTAAACATGACACCAGTTACCACTTAGTGGTCTATGAACATTTGTAAAACAGAATGAAAGTGTTATCAGTATTTTTGACTTGTAACGTTTACACAAATACTTGAGCAATGTGTATCTACATTCTTATCCGATATAATTTGACGATAATTTTTTTTACTGGTACAATTGTGTACACCAGAATAACTCGAGCACAGTTGCTGATAAAGGTTTATGCCATCATTTGTTATCCTCTGTATTTGTCTTGTAAAACCAGACTATTTACGAGAGAAATAACTGGTCTTTAGTGTTATAGACAGTCCGTTTCTTTTAGTCCTAATTGTAGCTGCTACATTGTCAAGATGATTGGTTCCAGATATCATCATCATCTCTAACAATTGTCTCTGAGTCTCTAAGATTACGATCCTAGGTCGCTATGATCATCAATAATCTACTTTTCCTTTTCAAGTACATTAAGTGAAACAATCCTTACATGGTGTGAGAAATCGGTCGGTGACAGCTGTTTTCATTCCTCTGGTAACCCTACAGAACACTTTTCTCCATATCGAACCCATTTATAATTAAAAACACTGCATTTGAGGAACATCATGGTTTGTGTATAATTTTCATACGTAGCTTAGGTTAACAATTCATGCAGCTTCATGAAAATGCCAGTAAATCGTTTTATGGAACTATGATAAATAATCGTTACTCAGTGAAGCTAAGGACAGTTTACAGATTTTTACATCTAAGAGGAGACTAATAGCAAGCGTAATATTTTAACATTCTCTCAAGATATCGTTTTGTTGGTTTTAATTAACTCAGCAGTATAGAATGATTCAATCTATTCTTTCGAAAGTTTTCATCAGATATTACCCTTAAAATCTGAAATGTAAAACTAATCAATCTGCATTCAAACAAGAATGATCAAATTTCAATCTATAATATCAACAACAGGATAATCTGAACCATTTCAAATTGAATTAAACCTCATACCCGTCGTACAAAATTGTGATTGTCTGGATTCAGTTGCTAAGTTGAAACGGCATTCTAAGCCGACGGTACTGGGTTCGGGACCCAAAGTGATCAGCTCCGGGAATCAGTTATATCCAACTACAGCTAAGATGAAATGCTCATCCTGGATTCTACTGCTAGTTAAATTCTATCTAATCTACATAAACTTTGATAGAACAGTGGGAAAACGGGAGTTGATCTGAAAAATGGGATGCATTTGCGCCATATATTTCGAACAATCTGATCACACGTATATTTGTCAAGGTCAACATCAACCAATCAAGATCGAGGTTAGCAGAACTAGCTACAGATCAAACGTGGAGAAATTCTAATACTTCATTTCCTTCTGAAGTTTGTTGTTGTTCAGAAGAATAATGAAAGCTTACAACCAAAATATCCAGCTCAGAGAACAAAATACCAACACAATTTGCCGAGGCGTTTTATTTGAAAATTAACAAAGGTCAATAAAACCTTACATCCATAAAATGGCTTAAAGATTATCAGGCTGAATTCAAATTATTTCCATACACATATGAAGGGTTGAAATTTGTGAATAGCTAAGGCTTCTCTAAGCCCTAGAATTCATCCTTGAGAACTTCTATGAATTTTAAAAATTATATTGATGTTTTGCTATCGATTAGCATAACTTTCTATTTTGACATCTTGGTACATGTTCCAAGATCCTTTATTGCATTGACCCTATGTATGCATGTCCACACAAACATGTAAATTGATCGACAGATAGAATGGGATATGACGTAGTCGTCAGGGCAATTTCTAGGCCTATAGCGCGAATACAGCACATTTTTCAGATCAACTCCGTCTTCTCATTGTTCTATCAAAATTTATAATAGTGACCAATCGGTTTAAATATTCTACATAAACCATATATTGTATTCTGTTAAAAGTTATCTAGTCACTCGTATTAAATGTTCCGGAATTGAATTGTCAATTGTTAAAAACTAAATAAGGAAGCTCATACCACCATCAAGTGTGGATTTTTTTTCAAGTCACAGATACAGTCAACTCCGATTGTGTGTACTACTAATTTTGCTCAAAAATGATTTGGTTACAAATTCGCTCGTTTATATTCTTATCGATTGTTTGTTTTTTTGGATTTGAGTTTTTCAGCTAATCTGCAACAAGAAATAAGTTCAACTCCTTAATTCTTTGTTTTGATCTGTCCATCTCAGTTTTTAATAAATAGTAAATTAAGAATGTAAGCTTTTGAATTATTGGAAAAAATATCTCAGATTAAAGCAACTTTAAATCCTGAGAATGAAATCAGTACTAATACCTGAACTTTCAGATGATAGTGCATGAAAGTAAAATTATCAAGGAAGTTCTTAATCCTATCAGTATAAAGGTTTGTGGAGAATACTAGATATTATTAAGGTCGGAGACTGGCCTAAGTTAGCCGCAAAGTACTAAACAGTCTATTCATTGTAGAATAGGAAATCTCAGCACGGATACAGAAAGCTCGATTGGCTTTTGCCAACCTGACTTATGGCGTAGGCAAGATATCCGTTTGCTAACCAAAGGACGAGTGTACTGTGCAGCAGTTCGCTCCGTCCTACTGTACGGATACGAGACTTGGTCGTTAAGAGTAGAGGACTTTCGTAGGTTACTAGTCTTCGATCATCGATGTCTCCGAAGCATTGCTCGTGTATCATGGGACAACCGAGTAAGCAGTGATGTTGTTATAAAACAAATTCTAGGTAGGGATTCAAAATCAATAGATGAAGCATTGGAACTTCATCAGTTGAGATGGTTGGGACATGTGTTACGTATGCCTAACCACCGACTGCCGCGACGACCTATGTTTTGTGATGTAGTAATAGGTTGGAATAAAGGTAAGGGCGGCCAGACCAAAATATGGCAGAAATCCATGAAGTCACTGACTAGTGGACTGAGTCATGTTGGTAGATGTAGACTACCTGATTGGGGTCCACGAGACGAAAGTCACCGATGGTTAGAGACGTTGAACAACATAGCTCAGAATCGTTTGCAATGGCGCAGATGCATCCACTCTTTGTGTTCTATGAAATTCTATGCTTCTTCATTCCTCATAATCTCTGCCTTTCTCCTTCTAAATTTATCTTACTGAATTATACTTTTCGAATCATATCTTCGCTCCCTAATCTTCTCCATTACTGCTAATACTTCTACTATCTCTACGACTAAGGGATTTGAAGTGACAGTTGCGCCTCTCTGCTGATGGGGCATGGCAACCTGAACTGATGTACTTACGTACGAAGTTCTGCGTTGTATCTGTCTGTCTGAATAGATTCTTGAGCAGAGCGCATGCACGATCCAACCAAAGATGAAATATATGACCTTCAGGTCTCATAGTATACAAACCATTGACTGAAAGTTCAGTGATATAACTCATTACGATATATATACAGATCCTAGGTCTGATCCCTAGTGAACAGTGCTAAAAATTTCCGTATTGGATCGAAACAACTGTCCATCATTTTCTGGTTTCAAATGATTGTCTAAATTCGAAAATGTCACTTAGGTAAAAATAAAAGCTGATAGACAAGATTCATTGCTCATATAGATGCTTTTGATCATGTTTAGTAAGTAGTCTAAGCTGAATGATAATTTAAATTAATGAACTTTCATTGCCATTGTGGACATGGTCATCGTGTACATTCTCCATGAAGTTCTAGTGATATTGTCCAAAATGACAACGAAATCTCAGCTCAAAAAAAATTTACCATTTGAACTTAAAGAAATATATTAAGTCAATAATTGTTTCTCTAGGTTTATATTATATATGCTGATATTTTGACCTTGCTTTTACAAGATTGCATGATTAAATGGAAACGCAGTTTAAATGAAGATGATGTTGATCACAAAATTATGTGTGTTCAATTATTATTTAAGACTGTAATAAAATCAATAATATAAAGTCTTTTATATTTATTGTACTTTGACATCAATAAACTAGAAAAAAAACAGAAACCTTCAGTACGCGTTACAACAAGGTTGAATTTATTTTATAGTCAACATAAAAACAAATCATAATTAGTTAGATGTTAACATTTTTAAAATGGTTGTTTGTTTTTTAAGTAAATTGAAATACTATTTAGTAGTGGTTCAATTGGCTCAGTGGGAACCTTGAACTTTGAAGCCGGATCACTTTGAATTTGAATACTAAAGGGGAGTATGAATTAGATGAAAATTGCAGATATGCCTTATTGTGATGAAAAGCCAGCTGGTATGAAGAACCTAGGTTGAATGTTTCCAATTACATAGCATTTCATTGACAGCTTGACGTGAGAATATCAGTCAGTCAGTCAGAGAGATGCAACATAGAATTTCGTACGTAAGTACATCAGTTCATGTTGCCATACCACATCAGCACAGAGATATAATTCTCAATTCAAATCCAATAGTAAAAGAGGTAGTAAAGTTATTAGAAGTAATCGGAAAGGTTAGGATTGGAAGATATTATTCAAGAAGTATGATTTAGTGAGAAAAGTTTAGAAAGTCAAAACTAGAAGTGTTGAAGAATCCAGAAGATTATGACTTGAAAGAACACAAAGGATGAATGCACCGGCGCCATTGCAAAGGGTTTTGAGCCATGTCATTCATGGTCTCTAACCATCGATTATTATCATCTCGCGGACCCCAACCAGGTAGTCGACAATTACCGACATGGCTAAGTCCACTCGTCAATGACTTCATGGATTTACGCCATGTTTAGGTTTGGCCGCCCCTAGCTTTCTTCCAACCTATTCCTACACTACAAAACAAAGCTCGTCGAGGCAGTCGGTGGACGGGCATTCGTAACAAATGTCCCAACCATCTCAACTGATGAAGTTTCACTACTTCGTCTATTCATTTGCCATCAATGCCTAGTACTCGTTTCCTAACGACAGCATTGCTAATTCGGTTGTCCCATGATACACGAGCAATGTTCCGGAGAAACCTACGATCGAAAACCAGTAACCTATGCATATCTTCTATTCTGACTGGCCATGTTTCACAGCCATAAAGCAGGACGGGGCAAACTACTGCACAGTACACTCGTCCTTTCGTCAGCAAACGGATATCTCGCCTACGTCATAAGTGACGCAGGTTGGCAAAAGCCAATCGAGCCTTCTGTATCCGAGCTGATATTTCGTCAGTCATCAGGCCATCAGCAGTGATAAGACTCTCAAGATAAGTGAAGCGGTCAACACGCTCGACTACTTCACTCCCTATCACTAGTTCAGGTGCCGATGCAACCCAATCTTGAAGCAACATTTTGCATTTCGAGGGGGAAAACCGCATCCCGAACATGCTTGCATTGTTGCTTAGGGTAATCAGAGGACAGCTGCACTTTGTCAGCGTCTTCACCAAGTAGGACTATGTCATCGGCATATTCTAAGTCAATAAGCGAGCCAGCAGGTAAAAGGTCTACTCCTGAAAATTCAGACGAGGATAAGGATATATCTAGGAACATGTCTATGATAAAATTAAACAAGAATGGAGACAGTGGACATCCCTGACGGACACCACTTGAAGTGAAGAATTCCGGTGACAGTTCGCCATAAGCTCTCACTCGACCAGTGGTGTTAGAGTAGAGAGCTTGAATGAGGTTAATGTACTTCTTTGATACACCTTTCAATGAAAGACACTGTCACAGAACCTCACGATCAACAGATTCGAATGCCCGCTTTATGTCCAGGAAGACAACTATTGTAGGACGCCTAAATGTGTGTCTATGTTCCAGGACTTGTCGTAGTGTGAAAATGTGGTCTGTACAACCACGTCCAGGTCGTCAACCAGACTGGTTTTCTCGAGTCTGCTCTTCACGAGCTTTCGTTAAGCGTCGAATTATTATTGAGGTCAATATTTTAGAAACTATATTAGTTAGACTTATTCCCCTGTGATTGTCACAAGAAGACTTTTGTCCTTTCTCTTGAATTAGGACAATCAGTGATTGAGACCAGTCGGATGGGATTACGTCCAGTTCCCAGATTCTACCTAAGATCTCAGTCAACCTAGCAGATAAAACTGGACCACCACCCTTAAATATCTCAGGGGTTAGTCTATCAGGACCTGCAGCTCGCCCTCGCTTCAGATTTCCTAACACTTTCTCAACTTCATTAAGACTAGGGGGACTTAGGTCGATTTGCCATTCAGGATGACTGGAGATCGTGGGTAACCGAAGAGTGGCTCGAGGCCAGTTGAACTGATCCCTAAATTGTTCTGCCCATCGGTCCAGTCTCCTAGATTGAGAATGGATAATAAGACCATCCTTTTCCGAAGTAGTCTCACTCACACTTGGGTTCCTAATACCAGTTTCCTTGATGAGTCTAAATAGTTGCCTACTGTTGCCTATCGCCTCTGCCTTTTCCATCGCTTTTGCTTTCTCCACCCACCACTGTTCGCGGTTGTTACGTAGGCTTTTTATCAGTCTACGTCTAAGCTGACTCCGCTCCTCACCGCACTCAGAGCCAGGCGGGATGAGTTTTCGAGCATACATCAGTTCGGTAGATGCTATTGAGACCCACGGCTTCATCCTAGAATTATGGTTTACCATACTAGAAGATATCACTGCTGTTTCCACAGCCTTTTGGATGTCATACCGACCTGCTTCTGGATGAGAATCGCTTACATGGTTGCTTAACTCTGTTTCTAGTTGCTTCTGAAATATATGTATATATATATATATATATATATATATATATATATATATACTATATATTGGACAAACATGAAAGTTTCGAGTAATAACAATGAAAATAGGTCTAGTGATTATTGTTAAAATTATAGTCACATTGATAGAGAGATGTGAAATTGCTTTGATTTATCCAAGTAGATTAGACAGTTTATCATTATTCAAGAGAATAAGATACTTCAGAAAAGAAATCAGTTACAGCATGTTGCTTCGAGTTTGTGTTTGCTTATGTTTCAATTCAAAAGCAGTGATTAGTGTTGGGCTTGACTCGATACTGTATTATGATCTGTTGCGGTTATTAAGTGCAACAGTTACCCTTATAATCCATTTGTATTGGCCGCTTAAATCTTACCACTGATGTGTAAGACTGCAGTTGATCAAACTCTCTTTGGTATGTATGGAACCTAGGCAAAGTCTCTCGATAGTGCCATTGAGACATAAAAAAATAGTGGCTAGTAGTACAATGTAGAACGTGCGTCTCGTCATCTAGATGTACTTACTACATCCAAGAGTTGCATTTGAACTTAATAACTTCGCTTGAAACTCTAACGCCTTGTCTACATAGCTGTTTGGTTCATATAACAATTGACTTGTCCAATTAAGTGAATTTCGACTCATATCCGTCTACTAATCAAAGCATGAATCTACTGAGCAGCAATTTGCTCCATCCTGCTTTACAGGTGTGAAACATGGTCATTAAGACTACGGCATATTGTTAAGCTACTTGTATTCGATCATAGATCTCTTTGAAGCATTGCTCGTATATCCTGAGACCATTAAGTAAGTAATATTGTTGTTAGGATACGGGTACTAGGCAATGATGGTAAATCAATTAAGGAAGTAGTGAATCTAATTATTTAAACACTACTTATTACGATTATTACTCGAAATCCGTTTATATAAATTTAGAGTTAGACATTAACACTGTTGGATACCGGCCCAGTGGTTCGATGGTTAGGCGTTCGCGCTCAATACCGAAGGTCCCGGGTTCGAATCCTGCGAGGTGCAGGAGTCGTGGATGCGCACTGCTGATGAGTCCCATACCAGGACGAAACGGCCGTCTTTCAGTGCTTCCAGGCTCCTAATGGTGGTCTAACATTGATCGATTCATGGTTTCAAAAATGTGTAACTTAACAATCTTCACAACCCCGTAATTCATAATAAATTGTCCTGATTGGTTCAACATTTTCATATGAAATATTCATGTATATTAGAGAGTAAAGCCTAATGTTGATCTAACTGAAAGCAACAATTTTATTCGCTTATTATCTGTGTTGTAGAAAGATATAAACATAAAAGGAAATGAGAGGGGGGATAAGAGTTCAATGATATGCAGTTTCGGCTTCTATTGATCCAGTCGTGGTTCAAAGTAAACACAGAGGCTGAATATAATATCTCTTTTTTCGGTGTTGATCCAGATGAATTCAATTTTACAGAGGAGTTGTAACAAATGTTCGCACAATATATTTTGTTCATAATAAGTATACATTTTATAGTTTCATAACAATAAGTTTACTCATATAATCAGATAGGTCAGAGAAATACAATCCTCTAGTGAGTAATCATCATTCATGAAAAACACTGCCTATTACTCAATTTTGATTGGTTGATTTATCAATCTTCTTAATAACTGCTCCAAATCAGATCAAGGTTGTATATAAATTGATCTAACTTACAGAAGATTAGCGATTTTTTTTTAAAAATATTTACAATCAAATTCTAAAAATTTTCAATGAAACAAACAAACAATCAATCCTATTTCTCAATTTATTCATTTTAGTTAGAAATGAAAATTGTCAAATTAAAAACTACTGACAATCTTCTATTGAATAGTGGTGATATGTTAACATATTTAAAACAAATCCTATCGGAAGCTAAACATCAACTACAATTAATTCAAAGTCAGCTAATACCAATAGCTGATAAAATTCAACCATACAAATCAAGCATGATGATTCAACATGAAGTGACAACAACAATAAACACAAATGACAACAATACAATACAACCACCATGTCCACCATCATCATTACCAATCTTTACTTCAACAAGTCGTCAAATAAAAACTCAATCAGCGGTAATAACCACTGCATGGAAAGATACTAATGTAAAAAGAAATTTGTCAAAAACCGAAGGAAATGAAATAAATATTGATAATAATAATAATAATAATAATTTAAATCCTCGAAGTAGATCATGCAGCCTGTTTGTTCGACATAATCGGAATAATAATTATCATTACAATAATAATAATAATAATAATAATAATAATAATAGTAATAACGATAATAGTAATAATAATAATAATAATAAATTTCTCCAACTGCCTAAAATTGTTGAAACGATATCGGAAAAGAGTTTTATTGATCATTCCAATATGCCTAATGGTATAGAGACATGAATGTTTGTTTAGTTTATATAATATATATATATAACATGTTTTGAAGAAAATTTTTTTATATCGAAACATTGTGAAAGTGATGTAATTTTTGGAAATAAAAAAATAATGCAAAACTGCTATATATATATATATATATATATATATATATATATATATATATATATATAGGATGTTGGTAAGAAATGTATGATAATAAACTTACAAAGCTAACAGACAGACAGATACAACACAGAACTTCGTACGTATGTACATCAGTTCACATTGTCATACCGCATTAGCACAGAGACGCAACTGTCAATTCAAATCACATAGTGGTAGCGATGGTAGAAGTATTAGCAGTAATGAAGAATATTAGGCGTTGATTCAGTGGGATAAAGTTAGAAAGAGAAAAAAATAGAGAAGAGGAATTCAGAAGGTTAGAATTTCAGAGAACACAAAGTGTGGATGTACCTGAACCATTGCGAACGATTTTGAGCCATGTCGTTCAACGTCTCTAACCATCCGTGACTTTCGTCTCGCAGAACCCAACCAGATAGTCTACATCTACCAACATGACTCAGTTCACTTGTCAGTGATTTCTGGGATTTCTGCTATGTTTAGGCTTGGCCGACCCTAGCTTTCTTCCAACCTACTCCTACACCACAAAACAAAGCTCGTCGAGGCAGTCGGTGGACGAGCATTCGTAACAAATGTCCCAACCACCTCAACTGATGAAGTGTCATTACTTCATCTATTGATGAACCATCCTTACCTAGTACTCGTTTCCTGACAACAGCATTGCTTACTCGGTTGTCCCGAGATATACCAGCAATGTTTCGGAGACACCTATGTTCGAAGACAAACAATCTACGAATGTCCTCTACTCTCACCGGCCATGTTTCGCATCCGTATAGTAGGACGGAGAGAACTGCTGCGCAGTACACACGTCCTTTGTTTAGCAGACGGATATCTCACTTGCGCCATAGGTGACACAACTTGGCAAAAGCCAATCAAGCCCTCTGTATCCGTGCTAATCGATTCATTGATTCAGTCAGTCAGTCAGTTGCAACGTAGAACTTCGTACGTAAGTACATCAGTTCATGTCGCCATACCACATCAGCACAGAGATATAATTGTCAATTCAAATCCAATAGAAGAAGAGGTAGTAAAGGTATTAGAAGTAATCGGAGAGGTTAGGATGAAAAGATATTATTCATGAAGTATGATTCAATGAGATAAGTTTAGAAAGTAAAAACTAGAGGTGTTGTAGAACTCAGAAGATTAGGATTTGAGAGAACACAAAGAATAAATGCACTGGCGCCATTGCGAACGATTTTGAGCCATGTAATTCAAGGTCTCTAGCCATCGATTATTATCATCTCGCGGACCCCAACCAGGTAGTCGACAATTACCGACATGGCTAAGTCCACTCGTCAATGACTTCATGGATTTCTGCCATGTTTTTGTCTGGCCGCCCTTAGCTTTCTTCCAACCTATTCCTACACTACAAAACAAAGCTCGACGAGGCAGTCGGTGATTAGGCATACGCTACACGTGTCCCAACCACCTCAACTGATGAAGTTTCACCACTTCATCGATTGATCTGCCATTCTTACCTAGTACCCGTTTCCTAACAACAGCGTTGCTCACTCGGTTGTCCCACGATATACGAGCAATGCTTCGAAGACATCTATAATCGAAAACCAATAACCGACGGGTATCTTCAACTCTCATTGGCCATGTTTCACAGCCATAAAGAAAGACGGAGCGAACCACTGCGCAGTACACTCGTCCTTTAGTCAGCAAACGGATATCTCGCCTACGCCATAAGTGACGCAGGTTGGCGAAAGCCAATCGAGCCTTCTGTATCCGTGCCGAGATTTCGTCAGTCACCAGGCCATCGGCACTGATGAGACTCCCAAGATAAGTGAAGCGGTCTACACGTTCGACTACTTCACTCCCTATCACTAGTTCAGGTGCCGATGCAACCCAATCTCGAAGCAACATTTTGCATTTCGAGGGGGAAAACCGCATCCCGAACATGCTTGCATTGTTGCTTAGGGTAGTCAGAAGACTGCTGCATTTTGTCAGCGTCTTCACCAAGTAGGACAATGTCATCGGCATATTCTAAGTCAATAAGCGAGCCACCTGGTAAAAGGTCTACTCCAGAAAATTCAGACGAGGATAAGGTTATTTCTAGGAGCATGTCTATGATAAAATTAAACAAGAATGGAGAGAGTGGACATCCCTGACGGACACCACTTGAAGTGAAGAATTCCGGTGACAGTTCGCCATAAGCTCTCACTCGACCAGTGGTGTTTGAGTAGAGAGCTTGTATGAGGTTAATGTACTTCTTTGGTACACCTTTCAATGACAGACACTGCCACAGAACCTCACGATCCACTGAGTCAAATGCCGCCTTAAGGTCCAGGAAAACAACTATTGTAGGACGTCTAAATGTGTGTCTGTGTTCCAGGACCTGTCGTAGTGTGAAAATGTGGTCTATACAACCACGTCCAAGTCGAAAACCAGATTGGTTTTCTCGAGTCTGCTCTTCACGAGCTTTCGTTAAGTGTCGAATTATTATTGAGGCCAATATTTTAGATACTATATTAGTTAGACTTATTCCCCTGTGATTGTCACAAGAAGACTTCTGTCCTTTCTTATAGATTGGGACAATCAGTGATTGAGACCAGTCGGATGGGATTACGTCCAGTTCCCAGATTCTACCTAAGATCTCAGTCAACCTAGCTGCTAAAACTGGACCACCATCCTTAAATATCTCAGGGGTCAGTCTATCAGGACCTGCAGCTCGTCCTCGCTTCAGATTTCCTAAAGCTTTTTCAACTTCATTAAGACTAGGGGGACTTACGTCGATTTGCCATTCAGGATGACTCGAGATCGTGGGTAACCGAAGAGTGGCTCGAGGCCAGTTGAACTGATCCCTAAAGTGTTCTGCCCATCGATCCAGTCTCCTGGATTGAGAATGAATAATAGTCCCGTCATTTTCTGAGATAGTCTCGCTTACACTAGGATTCCTAATACCAGTTTCCTTGATAAGTCGGAAAAGTTGTCTACTGTTGCCTATCGCCGCTGCCTTTTCCATCGCTTTTGCTTTCGCCAGCCACCACTGTTCGCGATCGTTACGTAGGCTTTTTATAAGTCTGCGCCTAAGTTGACTTCGTTCTTCATCATGTTCAGAGCCAGGTGGGATGAGTTTTCGGGCATCCATCAGATCGGTGGATGCTACTGAGATCCACGGTTTCATTCTAGCCTTATGGTCAACCTTACTAGCAGATATCACTGCTGTTTCCACAGCCTTTTTGATATCATTCCATCCTGCTTCCGGATGGGAATCGCTTAAATGGTCGCCTAACTGCTTTTCTAGTTGTTCCTGAAATATATTTTTCGCCTTATTATCATTAAGCAAAACCCTAAGAGGCTTTCTTACGGTGTCTTTCCTACGCCCAGTAAGCTTCAAACAAATACGCGCTCGCACTAGGGCATGATCTGAATCTAGACATGTGCTCCAGAACGAGCCGATTCATTGATTACTATAATGATATGCTGTTAGCTTAGTAATTACTATTTTACATTGTTCTCATTGTAAAATCTAAATTTCTTTAAGATATTTAAGTAATATAGTCTAGGAATTTTAATTAGAATCTAAGAGGGTTTCCTAGAAATTAATTAGGAGTCTGAGAAATCACCACTGATGACAAATGCGGTGCAATGATGTTCGTTGAATAAGGAAAGTTGCCACTTCATGCTCATTATCAAAAGTGAAGCCCGAATGTTCTAAGACTCAATAGGGTATGTAACCCTCAAATTACTTAGTGGTAAAAGCTTGATCGAATTACTCTGTAATTTTTCTTGTCATTACAGTGTTTTTCCCCACCATAATAGTAAGAACCAAGACAGAAAGTCTTCCCATTTCAGGTAAGTCTACTGGCCATTCGTAAGACTGTCCCCGTTAAATCTGTGAAGCTGTAGTCAGTATGTACATAAAACTAATCTGAAATCAAACAAAACGTAACTTATTTGGAAGGGTTTGTAATCGCCTGATATTGATGTTTGGCATTTTAATTGATCAGCCTATAGCGAAAAACATTCATCCTAAGTGGAAGTCTTGATACTGACTGTTCGCTACAAACTTCTAGCATACTTGAATTATGGCTGAATGGAACCCAGGAAGTGTCTCATCACATATGTAGCTTGTCAGCCGAACCTACCTGCATCCCGGTGAATGTCAGTCAGTCACCTACAACGTAGAACTCCGTACACACGTATATCAATTCAAGTGGCCATACCACATTAACACAGATACGCAATTGTCAGTTCAAATCCCATAATGGTAGAGATAGTAGAATTATTAGCGGTAATCAAAAGAATTAGTGATCGAAGATATCATTCGACTTTGTGAATGTTAGAAGGCCTAGACAATATAGTTTACAAGTATTCGTTTATCTTTCACCAAATTTGTAGACAGTACGGAGTTCACCTTCAACAAAGAATAGAATACCTTGGAAACCTTCAGTTAACACCTTTCAAATGTTAAAACTGTAGATCACTATGATAAAATTTAAAGCTTAGATTGTGAAGTGATTTAATAGATTAGTAGTTTAAAGGTATAAGGTCAAGCCTTTAAAATTCTATCGTCCAGAAAATGATTCAACGAAAGTGTAAGTACTTTACGTTAAATCGAAAAAATAAATATCGACAGTAAACTACTTTGATGAATATAAAACTCTCCAAACCAGATGAATGCTGTTCGTAATCAAGTCTCACAGAAATAACATATGTCACCAATCCTATCACAATCATTGCTAAGTTTGTAGATTATGTTCAATTAGCAGAATGCCTATGAGTCAACTTTCCATTTTTTTTTACCTACGATAATATAAAATGAAGAGCTTTCAGTTAAAAACCGACATTTAGGAATTGTCGCTAGTCAGTCAGCTACAATGAAGAACTCGGTACGTACGTACCGCCTTAACAAATGGCCAGACCAATTCCATTAGTAGTAGAAATATTAGCAGTAACAGATAAGATTAGGGCTTGAAGATATGATTCGAGCAGTATAATCCACGAAACGTAGCTTATCGAGGCAGTTGGTGGTTAGGCTTATGTAACACATGTCTCAACAACGTCAACTGACGAAGCCTCAATACTTCATCTATTGATCAGCCATCCCCACCTAGAACACTTTCCTAACAGCAACTTTGCTCACTCGGTAATCCTAGAATACACGAGCTATGCTTCCAAAATACCTATGATCGGAAACCAGTACCTTACGAATATCCCTTACTCTTAACAGTGATGCTTCACAACCACCAAGTATGATCGAGCCAACTGCTGTGCACTACACTCGTCCTCTGGTTTGTAGACGGGTATCTAGACTACAACATAGGTGATTCAAGTTGGCAAAGGATAGTGAAACCTTCTGTATCCGTTCTGAGATTTCGTCACACACCAGGCTATCAGCACTGATCAGACTCACAAGATATGTGAGGCGGTCGACACGCCCTACTATTTTGCTGCCTATTACTAGTTCAAATGCCGATGCAAGCCAATCCTAAGGCAACATTTTGCATTTTGAAACGGCTAATCGCATCTCAAACATGCTTGCATTGTTGCTTAGTGTGGTCAGAAGACTATATTTTGTCAGCGTATTCAACAAATAGAACTATGTCATCGGCATATTCTAAGTCAACAAGCGGATCTCCTGGTAGGTCAACAACCGGAAAGTCTAATGACAGTGTCGTATCTAAAAGCATGACAATGTTAAAGTTGAATAAGAATGGAGAAAGTGAACAGCCCTGGCAAATACCACACGAGGCATTCAATTCCGATTATATTTCGCCATACGCTCTCACTCGATTAGTAGTGTTCGAACAGAGAGGCCGTATAAGGTAATGTACTTCTTTGGTACACCTTTTAATGACAAACATTGCTATAGAGCCTCACGATCCATAGAGTGAAGCGCCACCCTAAGATCTTGGAATATAACTAATTCTGGTTGTCAGGATCTGTATCTATGCCCTAAGACCTAACGAAGTGTGAATATTTGATGTATACGTCAACGTCCATGTCTGAAAACATCATCGTTTTCACGAGCTCTAGTTAGGTTGTGGTACATGATAAATTTATGCAACAAACACAATCTCATATGTAGAGTATTCATGTTTAAAACCTTTCTCTACTATCCATATCCAAAATCACTAGATACGCCTAATAACGTAGCCAGTTTAAACATCTGAAAAAGGTCGCATATACAAACACTCTCCCTGCCAATTACTTTAAGAATCATGTACTGTTTGTGTATATATGCATATATTTTGATATTATAGATTACATCCATTTTTTTTTAAATTGAATTAGTCCACACATATGTATATGAGGTTAACACAATTGATTTTATGTGTGAGAATGTCCAAGAATCATCGGGAGAATAAAGACTTTTTGGAGAATTTCCTACTGACATCTTTCACTATGCATCGATGTTAAAATTAAGAGCTAATACACAACAAATTAAAGAAGAAAAACAAATAAAACTGCATATTTGTATAATGAACATATTAAACAGACAGTTGTTCTAGGATAAGTAGGGAAGGGAGATATAACAAAGTGAACAAAAGAATAAAAGGTGTTGAAGGGAATTATTGTGATGTGCGCAGTATGTACGCTATGGTATGAAATTAATGAGAAAGTATGCAGAACACACATATGAACTGGTCTAATAAGAAGCAAAGAATGAAAAGGCTTCTGACAACTTTAAAAAGCGTAACTGTTGACACAGCACATGAGTACATATAATGCAACACAGTTTGTGAGAACTGGAACGGAAAACACACTGACGAAAAATACATATTGACAGTCTACTTTGTTAGAAAAAAAAAAGTTTAGTGCATATTCTCTCTAGAAATGAAATAAGTACTACATAATGTTGATCTTTAGGGTGAACAACCCAGAGCATTATCTTGACTGATTTGATTGAAGGAGTCTGTCAACAGCCGCGTTCACATCTCCAAATGTAGCGATTAATGCTGAAAAACAAACAGAGAAGCTGGTTAAACGTGCTTATACTGACTAAACACCTTCTTAAAAAATGGTTAGACCTTTCCTGGATATGAATTGTAAACTGTATTAAATCAGACAACTACCCAAATGGAAATCATACTGACAGTGAAATTATGAAGTTATGTTTGTTGTACAAAGGAATAGATATTACGTGACTACATCACATGATGATGATTCGCAAAATGTATATAGAATGAATTATGAAGCATTTTTTCGATCATTGTTATCAACAACGTAGCTCACAACAAACCAATGGAAATCTATTTAGCTTTAGATGTGCAGTGGAAAAATGATACAATATTAGCTAATCATTAGATTGAATCCTATTTAACACCATCTAATGTACACGCATATAGATTAATTTGATTAACTGGTGACGGGTGATAGAGCGCCATAATAAAAGAAAACGGCAAATTTATTAAGGATAATTGAATACTAATCAGTTCATCAGTTTAGTAAACCTATAAGCTTGGTGGTTTAAACGCACTTGACTAACGCCCATCCAACTAACTTTGAGAAGTGAAATAAGATAGATAGTTTCCGAATGATGACCTATCATTTGCACATTATAATGTACTAAACAGTTATAAATCTCTAAGGCTAGCATGACAGAACTTTTGTTACCTATAAGACAGGTTGATTTAAACTTTCATTATAAACCTGCAAACCGTTATAGTGAAGAATACAATTACCTTGCAAATTAGCTTCTCGGTTGACAAAGCCCATACTAGCAAGCACTTCAAGTTGAGCTTGATATCGTTGTTCAGGTGGCTACAAAATAAGAAAAATAAATTGTCAAGAAGACATCTTTTGAGTGCCAAATAAATTTTGCAAATGAATTCAAATAAATAGAATACTGTAAAAGATTCTTACAGCATTGTTTGTGGCACTCAATCCATTATTGGTAGTAGACATCATATTCAACATACTGGATAACAGTGTGGTCAATTCAGCTTGATTAGGTGGATTGGTTGTAGTATCAGTAGTACGGTCAGAGGTTGTGGAATCAGAGTTATCTCCAGGAGTTGGAACTGTCACCGGGGTTTCTGTAGTTGTGGTTGTGCCAGATGTAACTGAACCTGGACCAGTTGGAGGTGCGGACATACCTAAACTAGTTAACACACCAGGGGCTTCTTGTTGCAGTGTCTGGAGCCCTTGCTGAATTTGCATCATAGCCTTTAGAGAAAATAAAAGAGTTAGAACATGATTAAGACTAAAAATAGGAGTCAAATTTGTAACAGAAGGTAATAAAGTTGAGGCCAAGTTAAATTTATGCATATAAGACCCATAAAATGAATAGTTGGCGGTACATACTTCTAGATGCCTCAATGAATGTGAAGTACAATAGTTGACAAACCATGAAAGTCAAGAAAGCCAATAATCAAGAACTACTTATTGAATACGTAATAGTTCAGCTGGTAAAATTTCGCATCGTAGCATTCTCTTTTGTGTTTCAAAATCGTGAGACAAATACATACATTTGAACTGTGTTCAGTTTAACATTTTCAACACTTAGATACTCAAAGCTTCTGAAGTATTGATTTTATTGTTATCGTTCAACAGACGTTAGTGAAAAATACAAGCCAAACGCCTATGTCTAGATACAATTACGCTTTTCTTTCGCAGGAAGTCAGAGTACGAGTTTAGATCTCTTAAATATGATTGAATACTGGCGAAACAGATGACAAAAATACTAAGTGGATAGAAATCCTTAATAACATTTGCGTACTAACGAAGAGCATACTGATCACATCAATGATTTACTTTTGCGAAGTGTAAGTTGGTTGTCTTATGAACAGAAGTATTAAGCGATTAAATATAAAGAGTGATACTGCATAACGTTGATCAAATATTTGCGATTTTAGGAAAGCCTGGAAATCGATTATGATATATCAGTATATATTTGTAGTGCTGTGAGAGTTGAAACGGATATAGTTTGGGCAGCAATTTAATCAGTCGGTCAACAACAACATAGAACTTCGTACGTACGTACATCAGTTCAAGTTACCATACCACATTACCACAGATGATTATTCAAGAAGTATAATTCAGAGAGATAAGTTTAGAAAGACGAAGGTAGGGGTGTTGACGAATCCAGAAGTTTGGGATTTGAGAGAACACAAAGTGTGGATGTACCTGAACCATTGCAAACGATTTTGAGCTATGTCGTTCAACGTCTCTAACCATCCGTGACTTTCGTCTCGCAGAACCCAACCAGGTAGTCTACATCTACCAACATGACTCAGTTCACTTGTCAGTGATTTCAGGGATTTCTGCCATGTTTAGGTTTGGCCGACCCTAGCTTTCTTCCAACCTACTCCTACACTACAAAACAGCTCGTCGACGCAGTCGGTGGACGGGCATTCGTAACAAATGTCCCAATTAAGAAGTGAAACTTCTTCATCTATTCATTTGCCATCCATGCCTAGTACTCGTTTCCTAACGACAGCATTGCTAATTCGGTTGTCCCATGATACACGAGCAATATTCCGGAGAAACCTATGATCGAAAACCAGTAACCTATGCATATCTTCTATTCTGACTGGCCATGTTTCACAGCCATAAAGCAGGACGGGGCGAACTACTGCGCAGTTCACTCGTCTTTTAATCAGCAAACGGATATCTCGCCTACGCCATAAGTGACGCAGGTTGGCAAAAGCCAATCGAGCCTTCTGTTTCCGTGCTGAGATTTCGTCAAAAACCGGGCCATTAGCACTGATGAGACTCACGAGATAAGTCAAGCGGTCTACACGCTCGACTACTTCACTCCCTATCACTAGTTCAGATGCCAATACAAGCCAATCCTGAGGCAAAATTTTGCGTTTCGAGGGGGAGAAACGCATCCCAAATATGTTTGCATTGTTGCTCAGGCATGTTCCATATGCTTAACTAGCATTTATCAGAAAGTGTTATATTTTGCACATATTGGGTGAACCGTTTTTTGAGTAATCACGCTACAACTCGAAAATAATCTATTTATAAATGTGGCCAGTAATCATTATCCAATACAAGCAGGATAGGAACGGACTGCTAATTCATAAAAATCATTTATTAACCAACCATCTTTATTCCAGCATGCTTATGGAAACCGGTTATTTGAGGCATTACCAAACTATTGAAGCACAGAAATATTCATATTATTTCAAAAATAAGTTCAGCAAATTCAACCTATTTAGAGGCCCGTTACGCATAGCCTCTTTATGAGTTTTTAGTGTTAGCTCCGCCATTTTGTAAGAGGTCTTACCACCGCGGACGAGAATCCGTCAGGTAAAGTGAGGTGTAACATTTTTGGGGTCGACCTATGTTATGAACGCACGTCACAATGTCAATTGATATGCTTGAACTATTACGAGCTCACCTTAGTCGGTAAATGAGAATGAGGATCGATGATCCGGCGACACAACAGGCTACTCTAATTCGATTGTCCCCACCCCCCCCATTAATTAGAAGAAGACTTGATATGAAGTAGAACGTGTATTCTACAAGCACACAGAAAGTACGCGGTCCGAGTCCAGACGAGGATAAGTATCCCGGACTGAGGATGCGGATCAAACATTTGAAGTATGTGACATTGATAGGTAGGACGACTAACAGAAATTGACCAATCAAATTAGACTTACAAATGATTCTCTTAGGATGTTTGGTGAATATCCTAACAACTTTTTTTAACTTCATCCTTCCTTTTAGTATCATCAGCCTCCAACCGACCTGTCTGGCATGGTAGAACCTACAAGGAACATGTGTTCCAGCCAATATAGACCGGTTGGGTCATCACAATAGGCAAACCCGACCAGCAAGTCAAGGTAGCAGCTACGGTCGGGCGATAGTTAAGAAGCTTGTACTATTTAGTTTTATGTGTATAATTAAAGTCACGGTGATTTTAAACCTATCAGTTTGCCTTCTGTTGTAAATAGGAAACATCTTTTGTATATTTACGCAATACGTACTAATTATTCCTCAAATGATATAAACACTTAAAATTGATACAAACTGAATGCAATCTATACAAAAATAGATGACAACACAATAATAAAGTAAGATTATTGTTATCTTAAATAATTAATATTACGACTTACTTGGAGAGCACGAGGATTTGATAACATATTCATAAATGATGGTTGATTGATTTGGTTAGCTAATTGTGGGAGCATTTGTCGCATTTGATCACGTACATTTGGATTAACACTAGAAATCATTGGATTATTCATGATTAAATTTTCCATAACTGAAGGGTTTGCACTCATTGCTTCAAGCATGGCTTGCACGTATGGGACCTGGTCAGTACGATAAGCGAAAAATGTTACTTAGAATTACAAATGATTGAGTGGTCACTGATAATATGAAGAAGTTACTGTTATTCAACAGGTTACCGGTTATAATATCTGGAGTAATTAAGGACTTTACAAAACCACCATTTACAAATTTGTTATTTAGATGTTTTTTCCATAATCATTTCCCATTACTAATATTGCGACTTATCTTCATCATACACAATACTATTTAGAATGTTTCACGTTAATTTTTCAAAAAAATTGCAAGATTACAACTTTTTGTAAAAGCTACCATACAGTTTTACTAACTTCTGAACATCGAAAATTATTAGGACTCTAATTTGCTGAATAAAATAAACAGTTACAATTCTCTCTTTATTACAACCCAGCTATTCCTAATGCTTAGTATCCTCGGACAACAATTTACTCGAAATGTTCTCCTAAATCAGAACACGGTTGAAAAGGAAATAGATTATATTCAAATAGCAATGTTATCAAACAATCGATCGTAAAATAGGAATTCGTACGTAAGTACATCAGTTCATGTTTCCATACCACATTACCACTGAGATGTAATTGTCAGCTCAAATAACATAGTAGCAGGGGTAGTAGACGCATTAGCAGTGATCGGAAAGGTTAGGGTTCAAAGATATTATTCAAGTAGAATCTAGTAAAATAAACTTAAAAAGAAAAAAAGTGATGAGGAATTCAGAGGTTTAGAATTTGAGAGAACACAAAGAATGAATGCACCGGCTCCATTACAAACGGTTTTAAGCCATGACATTCGGGTTCTCTAACCATCGATTACTATTATGGCGCCAACCCCAACCAAGTAGTCCATACCAACTAACATGATGCAGTTCAGCTGTCAGTGACTTCATGGATTTGTGCCATGTTTTGGTCTGGTCGACCCTAGCCTTCTTCCAACCTATTTCTACATCGCAAAACATAGCTCGACAGGGCAGTCGGTGGTTAGGCATACGTAACACATGTCCCAAACACCTCAACTGAAGTTTCAAAATTTCATTTATTGATCAGCCACCCTTACCTAGGACCCGTTTCCTAACGACGGCATTGCTCACTTGGTTAACTCCGTCTGAAGACCCTCCGGGGCTACTGCCTAAGTCCGGATAAGGGAGGAGGGTTGGGCTTGCAGGTGGCGACTCCATCCCTCAAAAAACTAACTCGCTAAAAAAACGATCACAAGAAAAAATAATTCAAACAATATAAACTCTTCTCTGGGAGTTAAAAGATCTTCATTTAGGGGAGTTGTGACGTCTCATGATGAAAGCCGAGTACCTTCGGAAGTCATGAGGCTGATACCCGTTCTGACAACCAGAACCTTTGCATGGTGTGGATAGCCGGAAAGTAACATCCGATCTCATACCCATAAAAGCACACGAGACCAAATTGGTCACAGTCAACAAGGTTAGATGGAAGACAGAAGTTACAAAGGAAAAAGACGTTAGTACTTTAGTTTCCTTACATGAGAAGATTCTAGAATGTTGCGTCAGTATCGGGTAGCGCTAAATGGATACGAAAGAGCCAATAAGAATACAGCAACGCAATCATGCTTTAATCTAATCTATGTCCCCACTGACAAAAGTAAACACTGCTGTCGTTTATACTTCAGTAAGTCACTGACAAGTGGACTGAGCCATGTGTGTAGGTGTAGACTACCTGTTTGAGGTCCGTGAGACAATATTAACCGATGGTTAGCGAAGTTGAATGACATGGCTCGAAATCGTTCGCATTGGTGCATGTGCATCTATTCTTTGTATCCTCTCGAATTCTAACCTTCTGGACTCATGATGTGCTTTCTCTTCTCAAATTTGTTTCACTGGATTGTACTGCTCGAATCATATCTTTAAGCCCTAATCTTATCTATTACTACTCCTTCTACTACATCTACTGCTGTGGGATTTGAATTGACAATTGCGTCTCCTTACTGATGTGATATGGCAACCTGAACTTATGTACGCATATACGAAGTTCTACTTTGTAACGTACTGACTGACTGAGGCTAGGAAAAAAATCAAACATTTCCTTTAATAAAAAACGTGTTTGCAACTCAAACATTAATGAATGATCTCACCGAACACCAAGTACCACATAAACACTCACCTGGAAAGCATTTGATACCAACTCAGGACTAGAAGACAGTTGGTTTAACATAGTCTGCACAAAATCACTATTACGATTTGAATTTGCCGAACTAGGTGCTGCTGGAGTATTATTATTTGAGGTTGGGTTGTTTGCAGCTGGAGCCCAAGGATTCGGCATCGGCTCAGTGGAAGGAGCACCCTGTCGCATGCCACCTAAACAATTCAGAAAAATATTTGAAATGTCATACAGATTATCTCAAGTTTCTAGCTGGTCATTTAACGAAGCCTGACAGAAAGATACCAACTATCTACTAACCAAATTACGAAGCTTCAATTCGGCAATTAAATGATCCATAAATCACAACATGAAGCAGTATGAACGTTTACGTACCTGCTAAATTTGCGAAGGGATTCTGATCAGAATTGCCATCGGAATTGTTACCACTTAAGCTGGAGCCAATGCTTGAAGCTGCATCCATTATCGGTTCTTGGATATCCCGAAATATTCGCTGTAAATGATTCATTCCGCCGGGAACCGATTCCAGATTTGAAATCGCTCGATCATAATTGCGGACCATTTCTTGCATCATAGCTGGGTTGCGGGCTATTTCCATAGACTGTCGAAGAAGATCTGGGTTGTTAAGCATGTGTCCTAACTCAGGATTGCGCTATAAATGACAATAGTATTAATTTAGCCGAATGAACGTTAAGAAGCAGAGCATTAATATTTTAAGAGAATCACCATTTACTTACTTCAATCAAATCACGCATTTGAGGATTAGCTTGAAATAAACTTCTAATAACCTCTGGATTGCTCATCAAAGATTGAACAAGAGGGCTATCTAGCATGCTGCGAAGAAGTTCTGGATTCTGCATCACCTGAGCCTGCATGGCCTGTTGCATACCAGCGAAAGTGTTCACTACAAATACAAACAATTGTTCATCAATACATCAATCTATTTATGAATAATAAATTTCTAAATATTCTATATCTTTAATTGTAAAATTAAAATATTGTGTTTTAAGAAGAGTAAGAATTAAACCTGGCAATCAGATCCAATTAATGGAGGGAGAAACTTGTTTGTTGACACTATTGTCTGTATGTTTATTTGGAGGTTTGTGTTAGTGATTCGGTTACGTGAGTCACTTGTCAACGACACTATATAACTATACACCTATTAGTCAGAATCCTAGCCACTACGTTAACAAACTAAATGCGTTTATAACATTTCTGTTTAACTACAAAACAGAAAGTATCTGCCGCAAACCAAAAGCAAATTAAAATTTCTGATTACCAAGTATGCGAGAGCGGCTTGATGTTCTATGCTGTTTTCTAGCATCTTGTGGCGAAAAGTAGAAATATGTCTTACCTATGATCGAAAACATAATACAGCAAACTACACCGATTGCTTGGTCGCGACTAACTGATCGACCTAGACAGTCTTCACTTTTCTGCATTCAATACCTCGTTGCGTTTTAAGATGGCATCAATTATAAAAAGACAGGATACTGAGTAATCAGTCATTTGGTCTTAATAAAACAATTTACAAGAGAGCGAATGAAAGGTAACTTCATGAACAAGAATAGAGATAGAGGTTTACTAGTGCAAACCTGAACAATAGATTTTTTCGATATTTAGTGGTGAACATGGGTGCCCATAATATTTGATGAGTCACAAAGGCTATACATAAAATTAGCTAGCAGTGAACTCATAAGAACCTGTCCATATTTTTACATAAGGTATGGCTCCGTAAAATTAGCGTTAGACACCTATTCAGATTACTATTAGCTTGAATAAATAGGCCTAACATTTTTTATCTACCTTATCAAACAAACATTTTCTTTCAGAAACCCGAAATGCTCCGATGCGATTGAGAGTAGGGAAAGTTCACTTCCCCTCTCCAAACACTTTCATATGGTCACATGAGTACAGATCCCGACAAGGAAGTTCTACCCTGCATTCTTGTAATGGGGATGATGTTTAGGAACAAGAGAGGACGAAAAGCGGAGATCCAGAAAGACCTGATTATAAAACAATGGTGAGCTACGAAGTAGAACTTCGTACATGCGTACATAAGTGAAGGTTGCCATACCACATACACTCGTCCTCTGGTTTGTAGACGGGTATCTAGAATACAACATAGGTGATTCAAGTTGGCAAAGGCTAGTGAAACATTCTGTATCCGTTCTGAGATTTCGTCACATACCTGGCTATCGGCACTGATCAGACTCACAAGATATGTGAGGCGGTCTACACGCCCTACTATTTTGCTTCCTATTACTAGTTCAAATGCTGATGCAAGCCAATCCTAAGGCAACACTTTGCATTTTGAAAGGGAGAATCGCATCTCAAACATGTTTGCATTGTTGCTTAGTGTGGTCAGAAGACTATATTTTGTCAGCGTATTCACCAAATAGAACATGTCATCGGCATATTCTTAGTCAACAAGCGGATCTTCTGGTAGGTCAATAACCGAAAAGTCTAATGACAGCACTCGAAGCAATCAATTTTGATAACAGTTCGCCGGGTGGTTATCCTGAAACTAACGTAAGCTAAACCAACCGTTTAGAACTAGACATGTTCAGAAATTATGCATACACCGAACATAACTTAAATATCGACGTATTTGCATGCATATAAAACCGAACTACGCTAGGCAGAAAAGCTCATAGAATTGAACATGATAGTTTTTTGTCAATCATGGTCGGGGATAAAACGCAACGACACTACAAATATGAACCGACTGTTTTATCCAAACTCACATTACTTGAAACGAGTTTCTGAAACCGTAGAAGGAACGGTAATGACTTGAATAAGGGGTCTCAATCCACTTTCATTCGAAGTGCTTTAAATATTATACTCTCTACTTCAATGCACTTGCATGAGATCTTCGAGTACTGAATATTTGTTAGAGATAATTCAAAAAGTTGTCGAAAAGACTAGATTTTGCTGCCCTACAGAATAGCTGGTTAGGGCAAATTTGTAGTCGGAGTATACCGATTTGCGGAACGTAGGCAAACAGAGGATATGAACAAGCTAAAAGAAAAACCTTACGGCAAAATGACAGTGTTAGCGAAAATTATTTCGAAAAGTTGATCACTAGTTATAGGAAACTTACTCCCAGTAGTGCCAGTTTGTGATGTATTGCTTGGCGGGCTTCTGTTTTCCCTTGGGCTATCACTCACATCTGTTACAACTGAAGACGTTCCCGTTGGATTAACCTGAGAGGGCTAAAATCCACTCAAACTTGATCTAATTCGAACAAACCTGTTGCTGCTTCTATAAGAATAATTATAGTGAAAAATCGCGAACTTACTGAGATCACCAGATGAATAGTAGAGCAATCTCTTATGCTATGCTGTTCAATAGTATCATCATCTTTAAGAATCTTGCCTCCAAATATTAAGATGAGTCTCTCTGATGGAGTCTGAAATGCTTTGGAAGCCTCACTTCGAAGCTGTTATCAGAATAAAATATACTAATAGTAACAAACAAGTTACTTCTTTAACTGAGCATGAACTAGGAACAGAAACTGTTTTCTCTTCTCGTAGAGCCTTGATAGTCAAACTGAAGGTTGTCATCACTAATCTATGGGTTCGAATGTGGCACCTTCCAACTCTACACATACAGTTATAACAAATACCTATAAAATGGTCCTTCTGTTAAATTTTTTCACTAGTTGTATAGTTGAAAACACTGGTACTCTACGTCACCGACTTTAATATTTAGATCTTACTGCAATTATATTCAGAGGACATAAATCAATGAGTAATTTTAGGGCTCGGTCTGTTTTCCATTATCCAATTTCTTTTTCATGATCTTCTATATACCATTTGATTTATTTGCGCTCGATTTTTGTTTTTTCAGTACGGTTTCAGGTTCCAGGTGTTATCAGAAAGAAGAATAACAAAATTCAAGATCTGACCATTAACGTTGTCCAAATTTCTTCAGTACCTCACAATGTATGTCACTCAGATTTGATTGCAACTCCAGTTAAAGCTAGGGAATCGATACAAACTAACGGCGAGGAATGATCTAATACAAAACAGAAACCAGTTTGCTCAATCAGAGCTGAGAAATGGAAAGCTGGTCACTCTTGAATGTCAGTTATCTTTTGCTGAGTCCAGGGCTCATTTTAAGTGCGAGATAGGGTTGATGCTTCAAGTTATCTATGCGCACACGTTGTTAAAGGTTTATAGACTCAGTGGTTAAAAGTACTAGGAATGGAATCAAACCCGGTTGCTGTTCGTGGTATTCAAACCTTGTGAGTAATGCTTAATACTATAGAATGAACAAGCAAAATGGATTGAGTCTTCTATCTTAAAGACTACGGTGTCATTATTTTCATATCTTTTTATCTCATTCGAATATAGCGTATTCTGTCTTTATTCGAGTATGTGTACTCATCACATGTCTAGCTTATTTTTTTCGAACTATGAATGGCTAATCTTGTTTTATCAAATGGGGTTGTCCCACTCGCCTGCATCACTTTACCATGCTTTCACGCTTCTCGTTCTCATTTCAGTCTGCATACTCCATGTATGAAACGTATATACCCAATTAAAACCGTATCGACCTTATAATTACCGCCATTGTAAAGACGGCGTTAGCCAAAATGTTATAAAGGGAAATTAGAGAGAGGATTTGATTAACTCATTCAATCGTTTTCTCGAATTTTAGTCAAATAGCAGGACATTAATGGTGCATCACTCGACGAACATTTTAAGAGTGAGAATCTGTAAAAGAATCAAAACTGTGGTTGGATACCAGCGAAAAGGGATAGAATAGAAAATTTTTGGATGATGAGGCTTCGACGAAGAATGTTGCAGAAGTCGCTTACGATATGGAACGAAGCTGTTTAAACTGCAATGCAATCTCTTGCACAGAAGTCCTTAGACTGGTCGACAAGTGACCTGAGTTCGGTGTTCAACTAAATTCTGACAGATCAGACGCTGTTACAGAAACACTTATTGGAAAGTGAGTTGTCAAAAAACTCATTCAAACCAAAGCTAGATGAGGCAGTTATTACACATATTTCAGTTCAATGTGGTAAGGAAAAGATTGGCTACGACTCAGACACTGAATTACCTGAACTTGATCTCGTATTGGTGAATTACAAGGATGATGTCACGACTATATACCACCCCAAATCTCTTCAGAATGTTTTTAATCTATCTTCAGTCCAGGATAAACAACTAAAAGATTGGAAGAATAACATAGCGATACTTGGCTTAAAAATAATTACGTGAAGCAAACCTGAGAGCTATCAACCATTAAGCCTCACCACTGTTGTCGCTAAAATTCTGAAAAAGGGTTATTTAGAAGGATTTGCTTAAGTATTTCGACAAAAACCTAATTCTTCATAAAAAAGATTTTAGAAAGGTTATTCATGTCTGAAAAACTTATTGGTAGCTGAAGGATAAAAAATAACTGCAGATGTAACCTTTATCCAGTGTTGTAAGGCCTTTCACAAGGGTTGACGCAACAAGCTGCAGTCTAAGTGAATTAATTTCTAGCTTGAGGGAAACGTGGTGCGATGAATAACTAATACATTTGTTTTACATTTCACTACTTTTTGTTATATTCAAATCTGATTTAACAATACAATATCACACTGCTTACTTCAGATTCGAGTTCTCGTGTTGTTTTAAAAACATTGGCTGATTTGGATTCTTAGCATCTCGTCAGACTATTCCAAGTTAATGATAGGTTTCTAAGAGAAAACCAAGCCTGTTTCCTATGGGTCCAGTTGTCATGACGATGGTGCAATTTATGCGCGAACTATAAAAGTAGTGACATTTTCTTACGTGGTATATTTTTCTTCGGAAATTTATCATTTGTAGGGTATTAGACAATTTAATTAAGTTATATATCATATCCGATGCAGTTGTCTCCTAGAAATCAAACCTGATTTTTTAACCGGTTAATACATATTTGTCGTAGACTAGCATTCCGAAGTACTATATAAAAACCGATAGCAGTTTGATAACGTTCTTAACTTCTGAATATACTAGTCTAAATCTACATATCGACTGACAGCAATACTCACACTTAATAACTAAAAATCTTATCCATAAAATCTTCCCCTACCTCTACTGATTTTAGAATTAACCCAGTTAATAAACAACAAGTTATTAAACTCTTATATATCTGCGTGAATTAGAAAAGTAATTATCACACTCAATTTCCAATTATGACCAATAATTGGCTTATATCATCTACTTCTAAACCACTCAGAAGATCAAAATATATAAGCCCTGCAGTGGAACACTTCTGCGAAGAAAACGGGATTAGTGAAAAATAAACATTTATTATTGTACTCCTTTTGTTTAACTGTACCAAAAACACCTACTGTAGATGAATTTTCTACCGTAGCAGTTCAATTTGTTTACAGTAGGTGTAAGTCGAACGCACCCTCCCTTAGTCCAATATCAAAACACAATTATTCTAGGAGAAAGTGGTCTATATTATGGTAAAATGGAAATACAAACAAATACCTGACTTTTAATACACCTTCCAAGTCCCAATTACCCTGATGGGTATCCAGTTCCAAAAGAATAGGTGATGCTAGTATTAACTGCAACGATATCAAATCCAAATATGGCTGTAGCCATATTATATATCAAATTTAAACAACATGTGTACAGTTCAGAAGCAAACATGAAAGCTTCAATATAAATACAAAATATAGAAATAATAACAACATACAATGATAAAATCTCAAAATGGAATCAAATAGAGTACCAAAATGTCAACAGAAAGAGTCAGTCATATCATAACACAAATATATATACATGGAGGGATTTTCCAAAAAACTAAACATTCAAAAAAGATTCTACACCTACTTGCGCGCGACGTTCTTTTACGCGACGCTGCCATTTTTCATACACTACTGTTCTATGTAACGCCTTCTTTCTCCTTCAAATAAGTATTGGACCCTGGATTTATTTCTATAGTTTATGACGGGATAGTAATGAATATTTAGTGATGATCGTAGTCAATCTCGACTCAGTCACCACTAAAACCCTACTTTTAATGAATCTGTTATTGGAAGTGTCACGCCTCTTTATTTTGAACTCTGTACCTCTCATCCACAACACCATCTTTAGTGAGTAATATGTATGACATCTCTTTACTTAGCATACCAACAGTGAAACTCGTAGATATGAGGTACTATACCCACGTAGTCTGAAACGTCTACAGAATAAACGTCAAAACAAACTTGTGAAGCCAAAATCTAAAAGTACACAAAACAAGGTTTTGAATCATCCATCCGACATTGATCATAATTCTAATCGTCACAGCAGCGAGAAACGACAGTTACAGACCTAACTCGCCCAAATTAGTGATAAGCTTAGCCAGCTAGTACCCCGCACGCACATATGGACCTCAAATAATGATAGGAACCTGGTGAAACTAACTGAAGCTGAATACATCCTACAGATTGTAACTGAAGAAGCTACAAAAATAATAACGTCTTCCTATGATGCGATTGCACATAAACTCCCTGACCGCACTTATTCGACTACGCTAAGGGTCACATGTCTTGAAACGAATGAAATGGCAAGCTTCAGTTGTTAAGTCATACGTCTCGGAATAAACTCTGACAAATCGACTTACCCTCTTTTGTTCGAACTTGGCTGCCGTAACGATGCCGAACAATCTATTCATTGGAAGGAAAATATTAGCTCATCAATCCTGTACAAAGATATAAAAGTTACTCTAGATCTAACGCCTTGTCAACGTAGTATGAACAGACAACAAGCTACAACATTTCATTTCTGTGTCACAGCAGACAACCTACTGAAGATAACTCACAATGTCATGAAAATAAATAAACACGTCAATCACCCTATAGATCTTGCTGAGTCTATGGACTTTAAATTTTTATGTGAAGTACCAATCCCGACCATAATCGAGAACTCTAAAGACACCTGCATTTCTAGTTCAGGCTGTTCGAACTTTAGTGTGCTTGAATACGTTCAACAAAACAACACGAATCGGGATGGAATCAATCAACTAAAGACTAGGCGTCCCAAATGTATAACACTCAAAAAACAGCAACGAATCTGAATACCGAAGGGCTCTGTATAAAGTTGTATATGTATATGTCCATTATTACCTAAACTGATGTCTCTTCTCAGTAATTAATTCAAATTTTGTTCCGGAAGTTCGATCAATAAACTTAGTTTTTACAAATATACAGGAATACTTTTCTGTCCTTTCTGTAGAGCTCACGTATTTGTGACCCAAAAAGTAATTATTAAACATATAAAAGTATCAACGGCAAAGGATTAGCAGTTACTTGGTAAAACATAATGCTTCGGGTTCTGGAAGGGTACTTTAATTCATAATCAACAATAACACGAATACAGTTAACGTAGCAACGCAATCAAAAATGGAAATAACCAGTATGATAGCTACCATTGCCAAAATGTCAAATAAGATGACAAGAGTGTATTTTATAAGAATGGCAGAAGTACAGTATAAAAGTAAGAAAAGCAACAACTGCAGTAACAAAACAAATGTTAGCAATCTCATATTCAGTTAAGGTTCAACGGAATTTTTAGATGAAACGATAGGGAAGAATAAACTCACGATTAAGGGTAATAAATTATCATAGAAAAGTGTACATTTCAAGGGATTTACACTCATAGAACCTCAAAAAGGATCACACATCTGTTAGTTCAGGTGTTCTTCTGCATTTTTCCAGCGTTTTCAGTATCAAAAACATAAACAAATATAATGTTCGGTGCGATTGTACACCTGAGAAA